TAATGCTGGGAACAATAGATGGCAAAAGAAGAAGGGGACAGTAGAGGATGAGGTGGCTGGATGGAGTCACTGAAGCAGTTGAAGTGAGCCTGAGTAGACTCTGGGAGATGGTGGAGGACAGGAAGGCCTGGAGGAATTGTCCATGGGGTCGCGATGGGTCGGACATGACTTCACGATTAACAACAACATAAATCTTCCTCTCACAACATAGCAATATCAACTCTGATATTGTTACCATCCTTTTATGGCAGACGTAGCTTTTAGTTCTTCTTGACAGCAGAAATTCAACAGTTTCATCCAATCCTGGCACTTCCGTGTTAGAAAATGGTGCATCTTCTGGATTCCTAGTTGACGTGAAGCTGGAAAAGGCGCTGGTCAAAAACTACTTATGTGTAGAAAGCATTCAGAAGAGGGGCTCTGTCCAAGACTTCTTCACATGTTAGGTTTCCACTAGAATACCCATGAATTTTACAAATGACTGTCTGGAAGGCTATCCAGTCCAAGACTGGCTTATAGATACAGAAGACAGAAGAACAGCTGGAACCTTGCCCACCTGGCCAGCTCCAGGAGTCCTCTTTTGCCCTCTTTTTTGGTGATATGAAAGCAGGCATCTTCATGCAGGGAGCACTGTTTTAAGGAATTCAAATATATACGTAGCTAGGGATGAATGAGGGATTTGGGGGATGGGAATTCTTGAATTCCCTGGACTTGGCTCCCTGGGCTCTGGCCCACTTTCTTGTGGCCTTGAGTCAGGCTTCCTGGTGGCCAAACTTCTCTTGTGGCCATGAGTCTGACTGGGCAATCACACTGTGCTTACCAGGAACCAGGCCTTTGTGGAAGCTCTACGAGCAGCAACCCCCATCCATGCACGTGGCTTGTAGCGTTTATTTACACTGCATGTGCTGCAGAAACATAGAAATGGAGCAAGTCAGAAGGGACCTCCCGGGCCATCTAGTCTGACCCCTGGCTCCAGCCGGCTCTGCTCATGACATGTCCACCATCTGCATGTCTAGCCTATCCTTGAACACCATCACTGATGGGGTCTTAACCTCCTCCCGTAGAAGCCCATTCCATACCCTCGGGCTCCTAACTGTCAGGAAGTACTTCCTGGCATCCAAATTGAACCTTGGTTCCTTGAGCTTGGCTTCATTGGAGCACATCCTGCCTTCCTCTGCAGGGGAGAACAGGTCTCTACCCACCTCCGTGTGACATCCCCTCACATACCTGTATGTCACCAAGAGATTCCCTTGGATTCTCCTCTTCTCCAGGCTGAAAAGGCCCATTTCCCTCAGTCTCGCCTCATACAGCTTCCCTGCAAACCGGTCACCAACCTTGTGGGCCTTCACTGCACTGACTCTAACCCAGCTATATCCTTCCTGCAATGAGGGGCCGAAGACTGAACACAATAGTCCAGTTGCGGGCACACCAGAGTCATGTAGAGTGGCAGTAATACCTCTCTCGATCTAGAAGCCACACTTCTGGCTATGCAACCAAGGGAGGCATTCGACCTCTTGACTGCCGCGTCACGCTGCTGACTCATTGCAGGCCGGTTGAGCCTGCAGTTGACCAGCACCTGAGGTCCCTTTTTGGTTGTACTGCCAGCAACCCAGAAGAAGGTTGCTGGCAGTACAACCAGAATTCTGCAAGTGTTCGTGGACATCTTCTCAACTTGGCTCCCTTCCTTGGACAGGACCATGCCCAAGAAGAAGTCCAACAAACTGAAGAGGGACAGCTTCCAGTGAAGATCATTGCAACCCTGATATTTCCTCCTAGGAGAATAAAACTACTATTTAAAAGAGAGAGATCCAAATATCACCTCTAATTGGGGGAAGAGGCCCCAGTCTTTGAATCTGCATCTTTTTATAAATGATTACTGGAGCTTACAGGCAAAGAATGGCTGATTAAGTAAACCAGTGTGGGGAATTCAGCAGTGAACCGACTTTGCTTCATGGTCCTCGCTGTCTCCCTACGATGGCCAGAACAAGTTGCTTCATCCCTACAAGCAGGGCGGCTCTGGGATGTTCTGCTGGTGCCCCCTCCCATCCCAGGTGCAAAAGCTGAATGGACTGGTCGCTGCATCTTTCTTCATCCCTGGGAATATGACGGCCTCCTTAGCTGGACCCGACGGCAGCAGGGTGCACGGCAGGCGAAGCGGCAGATGGGTCTCTGTTTCGATGCTTTGCTGTCACAAGAAGCAGTTGGATGAACCACCATGCCCAATCGAGAGGCCAGCCCTGCCTACCAGTGGGGCCACCGGAACAGGACTTTAGGGCAGCCATCCAGAGGCCTACCCAGGTGAATTGGTAGGAGGGCCCCCAAATTCAACAACCTCGGCTTGCCACATGGTTAAGAAAGCAATGCCATCGATAGAGTGGGTAGGGCGTCACCCCGGGGTTTAAAATTGCATAACTGCATCACTGAGCCATACTGTGCATTTACTTATTTACTAGAATTATTATTATTATTATTATTATTATTATTATTATTATTATTATTATTATAACATTTCTATGCCGCCCCTTGCCGAAACCTCGGGGCGGCTTACAACATGATAAAATACATTGAAATACAATAGTACATAATAAATTACCATTAAATATAAAAATACAAAAAATACATTGATTTACAAATATAAAATTAAAATTATCAGTATAAAATAAAAATATAGGAGGAGAAAGAGAAGGAAGAAGAAGTTGCCCTGGCCAGATCATATGTTTTAACAATTGAAATGATGTTTAAATAAAAAGGTCTTTACCTGGCGCCAAAAAACCAGTAACGATGGTGCCAGGCGGACCTCTTTGGGGAGTGAATTCCATAGGTTGGGCGCCACTGCAGAGAAAGCCCTCCTCCGAGTACTTACTCTCCCAATTTCTTTCACGGAGGGTTCCCGGAGAAGGGACTCTCCTGCAGATCTCAGAGGGCGGTCGGGCATATACGGACGTAAGCGCTCGTTCAGGTAGCGAGGACCCAAGCCGTTTAGGGCTTTGTAGGTCATAATCAACACCTTGAATTGGGCCCGGGCTTCAATGGGAAGCCAGTGAAGCTGACGGAGGACTGGAGTTAAGCTGACGGAGGACTGGAGAATAACCCCTGCATCTCTTTCCCCAAGTAAAGACTTCTTGCCAGAAATATGTAAACAATCAAAACTCAAGTTTAAGTTCTCCGATTTCCAATTGAAAGCCTGTTTCATCTTGTGTCCAAATCAGTGTACCATCTTTTGTTCCTTCTGTTTTCACATGTGTATGTTTTCCTCCATATCTCCCCCAACAGATGTGTCTATGGTGCACATCTTTGAAATATATGCATTATTTGCTCCTTGATTGAGAATCATAGAAACAAAGCAAGTCAAAAGGATCCTCCTGGGCCATCTAGTCTGACCCCCTGCTCCAGCCAGCTCCGCTCGTGTAATCCCCAACATGTGGTTGTCTAGTCTTGCCTTGAACATGCTCATCAATGGGGCTTCAACCACCTCCCTTGGAAGCCCACTCCATATCCAAGAGGTCCTAACTGTCAGGAAGAATTTCCTGACATCCAACCTGAAGCCTGGTTCCTTGAGCTTTGCCCCACTGGAATGTGTCCTGCCCTCCACTGCAGGGAAGCACAGGACATGGCCCTCCGCCACATGACATCCCCTCACCTGCCTATAAGTTGCTAAAAGATCCCCTCAGAGTCTCCTCTTCCCAGGCTGAAAAGACCCAGTTCCCTCCATCTCTCCTCATATGTCATCCTTCCCAGCCCGAATACCATCCTTGTGGCCCTGCGCTGGACCGATTCTAACCTCTCTCGATGAAAGAGTGTTTATGCGACCTTTTCAGGCACATTTTAAAATGTGTAACCCCTGCTGAATCCACTGGGAGTGGGTTGTTTCATGAGTCACACTGCAGGTTCAGGAATATAGGAACTCTGAGTGCAGCGTCAGCCCAGCAGGTGTAAATACTTCCCCGAATCAGACTGAACTGCATTTCCTGTGCACCCTTTCTTGCTGCCTGCCTGCAAGTCCTTCCTTCAATGCCATAAATTTCCCTATTGCAGGGAAACTTCCCTATTGATGTCAACAAAACAGAAGTTACCAATTTTAGAATAAAGCAGGTCACTTAACATCATTTCTGAAAATGCAACTTGTCCAGATACATAATAAATGGAACAGCAGAGCTGGTCTCATTCGACCTGTGCACTGTGAGGCAGGCTGTCTTGCACTTTGCACTGTGTCACAGACTGGAATTCACTCGGTGCAGCTTTCCCCAGTCAGGGCTGGCCCTTCCACGAGTGAGACAGCCACCCCAGAGGGGGCTTGTAGCCCCTCCGTGATTCCCCCTGCACACCCCAGCTAGCCTGCCGCCTAAAGATGACCCCGTTCTTCTGCCAAGAGTCAAGATTTGGCTGCCAACCTGGTCGGCTGGCACACACGAACAGAAGGCCATCCTCATGGCTTCCACTCCTTGAGGGGGGGAACCCTCTCATGCAGCAGATTTCGGGTGCCACAAAGGGCCAGGAAATGGTAAGTTGCTTAATTTATTACGGTGGCCTTTCTTTTACTGCCAGGGAGGGGTGCGGTTGCCTGTGCAGTATCCTGCCTCAGGCACTTGAACAAATTGGCCAGAGACCAACGGGGATGTCATCCTCCGGGACCAAAATGCTTGGGGCAGGTTCTGCTACCTGTCATGCCATTCTCAGAGGCATGGAAGTCCTGGCAGAAGAAAAGTAGCAAAGTGACAGAACTGGGCTCTGTCTGTGCCGCACCTAATATCTACCCTTTAGCTGAGAGGGGCAGCAATTAATCACCAAGGATGGCAAGGTTGGCCTGGGAGCCAGGCTTTCCTGGGCCCTTTGACAGGTATTCTAGATGCAGGAGGAAATGGACTGAATAGGTGGGGGGGACTTTCCCTTGCTGCTCCTCAGCTATTTAACTGCAAGCGCAGGACGTGCTTCAGAGGCAGCCCGGCAGTCGGAGCGAGGCAGGACAGAGGCCCCGCTTTTCTCCGCCTGCCGCCTCCCAAGCCATGCCGCTTGCCAGGCATCTCTGCTTGCTCCTCTGCATGGGAGTCGCGAATGGATTCCGCCCCAACCACGAATCCGGGGACATCGCTCCATCTGACTTCACGGATGCTGATATCACGGAAATAGGAGTGCTGCGGGCTGTGGCCTGGTACCTGGAGAGGAACCCCTTGCCCGGAAAACCTCCCATGAGCCCCGGGCAGCTAGAAAATATGGTGCCGCTGAACGCTACTGGGCTCTTCAAGGCTTATTTCCAAGGTAGGGGATGGAAGAGAGTAGCTCAGTGAGCAGAACACCTGCTTGCAAGCAGAGGGTGCCAGGTGATTATTACATTGCACCTCTTCCTCTTGCAAGGAGACCAAGGTGGCTCTCGCCATTCTTTCCTCCGTTTTCTCCTCAGAACCCTTTGTGCTCAGTTCGGCTGAATGGCCCCAGCAACCCAGTGCACTTCATGACCAAGGCGGGACTAGAATCCAGATCTTCCAAGTCCCAGTCCCTCATTCGGGCACCCACAAAACATTGGCCCTATAGCTTCCCTATAATCTTCTCTAAAACATGAGACCTCTCTAGCCCTCCCAGTGGACCCAGGTGTCATGGTACTGAGTCTGAGCCTTCCACCATTAAAGCCCTAGTGCAGAATTGGCAGGCTCTGTTAGCAGCTCCAGCCAGCTCTGGACCTGGCATCAGCCTGAGTGAGGTAGGCACCACCAGAGGCAGATGCCGGAGGAGGGCAGGGCCCTGGGTGCACCACACAGCTGGCCTTGCACCCCCAGAATGACCCTGGTGCAGTGGAGGATGCTGTCCCACCCCTAGTGTCAAGGAAAGTCCCATCAGCTTCTGCCTGAAGAACTGTGAGTTGGGGACATCTTGGTAAGGCTGACCCAACAACTCCACCCACCACAGCCTATTTGCACTGATCTGACCCTCACCTCAGTAATGCCTAAGAGAAGACTTGAGCGTATGATTCCATCTTGCTAGAAGGCTCTGAAGATCCTTTAAGGGTCTCCAGCCCCTCATTCCATCCTTGTCCTCCCCACAATCAGGCTTCCAGAATGGAAGGATCCCTCTTGTACAATTGTATGTGCAGATCTAAGGTTCTATCATCTTCATAAACGGAGTTTCCCATTCCTTCCCATGCAGCTGACATCTCTCCCAGCCGGTTAATCAAAGCCATCCAGGAAATTGTTAATGGGAATAACCAAGTGGAGAGGTACCACAAACATGACAGCAGCTTCTTCTTCTATTGCGAAGAGATCCCCAAAAGTAAGGACTATTCTGCCTTAAGAGATGTGGAGCTATGCTTGGGGTGAGGTGTGTAGCTGACCTCAGTCGCAAATGAAAGTGGGGGGCACGTCTTGTCGGTTTGCAGGGCGGTAGTCACGCTAGTCTGTGGCAGCAGAAGTGGAGCTCGGGTGTCACCATTAAGAACAACACACAAAGCGTAGCATTCGCTTTTGCAGACAATGGTCCAGTTCATCAGATGCATGAAAGGTTATCCTGACCTGGCCAGTACGTACACACCTGGTAGCGGGGATGGTGTGGAACTGGGTAAAGCAGTGAGCTCAGAAGGAAACATGAAAAACTTAGCAAGGCACAAAAATCAAAAATTAAAGCGAAACAACGGGAGTGCCATCACCAGGCTAAAAAGGGATTTGTAAAGCTAATAAATGTTCATTTTAAAAGCAACAGAATTAAAGGCTTGCTGGGAAAGTATCCAAACACCAGCGGAGCACCCTGTCCTCTGCCAAGTAAAGAGGGGGGAAATTTAAACCAGGCTCAGACACGCTGGTTCAGGAAGATGGGAGCTGCAGTCCAGAGATGGGCAGCTTTGGAACAACCGAGGGTCCATTTTCGCTCTGCACATTCCACAGGGAGAGCACCAGAGTGGGGGATCAGCAGCAAACTGCTCTGAAGTGCCCCACGGTGCAGAGGCACTTCTATTTATGCCACCTCCAAATCTGGTACCCTGGCATAGTGCCAGAGGCCACAAGGGACCCATGCAATGCACGCTGCCCACCTCCAGGGTAGTCCAACAGATCAGGGGGGCACCAGCTCAGGGAAGCCTGATGTAAGGCCCCAGACAAGCCTCTCTTGTGCCTTGCCACCAAAGGCAAGAGGGCCCGACCAAGGACTCCTTTGCCCAGCCATGGAACATGAGCTTTGCCAGCTAGCTTGCTTGCACGGGAGTCCCCCATCCTCTGGAGGTTCTGGAGGGCCTCTGGGCAGGACACCCACCATGGATCTCCCCATCTCTAGCTGTGCATTAGCATCCTTATCAGCCACGGCTGGTCTTCCTCCTGCATGCCAGGCAGAGAAGCCACGGACGACATCCAATGCTCCTCACCATCACTGCTGCCTGGGCCAGAGTAACAGGTAACGTGGCATGCATTTGTGGGTGGAGGAGGGGTGGGGGGACTGGTCTGAACTGGCTCTTCTCTGCTATTCGTTCCAAGGTATCAAGCAACTCCAAAACCTGCAGGAATCTGTGCTGTCTGCCATGAAAGGTACCGTGAACTCATCAGGTTTGGCATCGGCTCGTCTAAGTGCCGGGATGGCTCTCCATGTGCAGCAGAAATTCTACAGCAACACCAACTGGGTGGAGATGAGGAAAGGAGAAACTTACAGACACCTGTGTAAGTGATGATAATTGTGGAAAACCTGGAATGGACTCTGCCTTGCTTTCAGTGGAAGCTTTTGCTTGACACACTGTGATCCCCTTGCAAGTTATTGTGTTCATATATTAAAAAGTTTTATATGTCTGTGTGTTTAATGTATACTCCCACCTTTCTACTTATGGGCTGAAATCAGGTTACAGAATAAGAATAAACCCATGAAATCTGCTGAAATGCAGACTTAAGTGGCTTCCCACTGTGCCTAAAATGGAATCTTTCCCCATTTCATGTGCCCTACAGTGAGCCCGACAAGTCCTGCTTTCCCCGTTGCCCCAGCCTCTATGGAAACCTGCCGTGACTGCATCCCAGAACCAAGGTAAGTTCACAATCAAATACTCTGATCCAGGAGCAGGTAACCATTTCTCTCTGCAGAGCCCGAATCCCTTTGTGAGTAACCTGCCAGTTGGTGATGAGCAGATGCAAGGCCCCTGCCAGGGGAAGGTGAACCACCCCTTTTCGCCATTCTGGCACCCTCTTATCTCGTTCTGCCAGCCAGATTCCCTCTTGCCTCACTTTCTGTGGGCTGCCAAGGATGGAGCCCTTGCAGGAATTCTGAGCTGCTCACCCGCAGAAGGACTTTTGAAATCAGGCTGAGGGCCACGTGTGGCCTTTGGGCTGCAGCTTGCTCAGCCCAAACTGTGGAGTATGTTGGCTGCCCCTATTTACCACAAGAGAGAGGGAATCCTGGTGGCCGTCCCAGGTCTGGCGGCAGTACTGTTTTTATCTTTAGCAAATAACCAGTGTGGGTTAGGATGTGCGATCTTAGTCCTTGGGAATCTACCCTCAGCCAGAATATTCATCCCAAATGGCACTTCAAGCTTTTTTTTTCCCCAAATTCTCTTGTAGAAACCAGTACCGGTGTGAGGAAAACATATTAGTGAATGGCCTGCTCACTAGTGGATATAAGGTATCATCAACATGCAGGATGAAACAAAGGGGTAAGACCACCTATCATTGCCAGGAGAGAGAGAGAGAGAGAGAGAGAGAGAGAGAGAGAGAGAGAGAGAGAGAGAGAGAGAGAGAGAGAGATATTTGCCAGTCTCTATGCACTTTTGTTAGAGGGGGCATGAATACATGGAAGACAGATCTAGAGCTGGAGACCAGACAGCCAATTTCTCAGTTCCCTGTGGGACTCCATCTGGCTGTTGACACCGGCTATGGGATGGGTCAGTTCCATAAAGGAAACCACAGTCTTGAGTTTACAAGCTGAGCATTGCTGTCAAGGTCAGGACATTTTGGAGGGCTTCCATTCACAAGGTTGCCATAAGTCAGAGCCAACACGGCAACGCATAATGACGAGGCTCACTCAGTGGCAGTAAGAGCTTTGATCTAAAAATAAATGTAAGTATTTTGGCCCCACGCCTTCCGCCTAGCCCTCACACCGCCGCAGTGTGGTCCCATGGGCTTCTCCAAAATTGAATCCAGCTCTTGAGTGGACAGGCCATTGATGGTTCCAGCACGGCCCTCTGCCTGCTCTTATGTCCTCCAGGAGCTGAGGAGTATCTGAGCAATCGCTAAAACTCTCTTTATCAAAGCATGGGGATGGGCAGACTGGAACGCAGAGATGCAGTTCATGCCCTCCCCAACTTTCCCAACCTGCAGGAACAGCTGCTATGAGGAACCCTTCAACATCCCAAGCAGATGGAATGGGATCGATCCATATAAGATTGTTGTTTTTTCTAAGAATGTGAACTGACCTTGGGTCTGGCTTACGTCACACGGGGGCATGCCCAGTCCCAGACTGAGCAGATGTAAAGGCTAAATGCAGACCTCGATACATAAATGAAAGACAGAGAGGGCTCCCACAGTGGTATATTTCTGATTTAGACCAGCCATTACTTTAACCCATTCCTGTATTTCACATGTGACTCTGGAGTGGGCAGAAAGGGAACCTCTGTGTGATTTGGATTTTGGCTCCCGTAACCGCTTGCAAACATGGCCAGTGCGGCAGGAGTACTATAGACCTACCTTCTGTTCACTTCGGGCCTATGCCATCTTTTACTCTGTCCTTTCTACAGGCAAATGTGGACATGGTGGGAGAGATGATGTGACCCAAAGTTTTCCTCCCACTGGCGGCATCAACAAAGAGACTTCAAACCCCCTGCTCTCCCCACACTATTACTTCCACCAGCAAGCAGCTGAATTAGCCATCCAAGCAACAAGGGACTTCTTTGTAGGAGATGGTAAGCCCTCAAGGGAGCTGGGTTTTGAAAACCTGCCACAGCGTCCTGCTCCCATCCCTGGAGAAGAGCGGCCCAGTGGCTGGAAATAATGAAATGTGCATTCCAACACTTCTGGATGGGCCTAGGTGAAGGGAAGCTGGTCTAGGAGCTATGAACAAAAACCATCCCTGTATCTTCAGCTTTCCTTCCTTTGCCAGTAACTCGAAGGCAACCAATTACCCCTTACCGCTGGAGATGCAGTTGGATGCAACACAGACATAACCTGACTTTGCTCTCTCTCTGCCCAGGACCTAGTCTCATTAACCAGATAGGCCATGATACGTTCAAGGCCTTTTTGAACTTGGAAGGCTACTCCCTCACCTTTGTGATAGATACAACGGGCAGCATGTCAGAGGAAATCCAGCAGGTCAAAACAACATGCATCAAAATGCTCCAGAACTATTTTGGCTCCCCGGATGCTCCCTTTAACTACATTGTTGTGCCCTTCAATGACCCAGGTGAGGAAGCAACAGAACGAGTGTGATTCTCTCCAAACTAGTCTGGTATGGAATTGCCCTCCTTCATCTTTTCTGCTGTTACCAGGAAGCAAAATCACATCACGGCTGACCTGTTGGTGTTTTTGCGGTAAGAACAGCCTCCCAGTGGTATAGTGGAGGGGCAAATACAGGACCTTTTTCAGCACAGGGACTGACAGAATAACTCCCTCCGAGAAGTGCAGGAGAAGATAGCAAGGCTTTCAAGCTTTACTACTGTTTGTGGCAGATTAGCACTGAGGAAGCCAGAAATAATGAAGTGGAGAAAGGATGCATCTCTCCTTTCTTTGAAGGGGATTCCTACTTCATGATAGCAGTTTAAATAGTAACCTGTCTTTGTGAGAGTGTTTTGCATTTCTGATTATCATAAGCAGATGGAGATCTGTGCTTAAAATTTCATGGGTTGAACCTATGCAGTCAGAAATGAGCACCACTGAATTCTGTGGTGTTCACTCGTAGCTGATTAACTAGTTGTAACTCATCAGGGTTTTATGATTCTATGTCTTTGGGGCTCAGTCTCTACCCATATCTCTCCCGACAGCTGTTGGCCCAGTCTTTCAGACTGATAAGGTGGATGAGATGGAGGCCTTTATCTCGAGCCTCCGTGTTAGTGGTGGTGGTGACTGCCCAGAAATGTCCATGACTGGTCTAAAGTTGGCTCTGCAAGAGAGCTTGCCAAGGTAACCATTCCACCTCATCTTTCTGCCCTGGTTCTTGGTATATATCCCATGGTCTCTTCTCCTCCATCCTAGTATTTGGCTTCAGTTGCACAAGAGGCTGCTGCTTCCTTAAATCTCTCTGCCATTCCCCCCCTTGTGCTACTCCTTTTATTATTTATTAAATTTATATCCCACTTTTCTACCAAAAATGGAACTCAGGTTGGCTAAAACAGCATTCAAGGCAAGGATACTTCTAATTACTTCTCAGATAACTAGTGTGATGGTACCTCTCTCACACTTCTTTCATATCCTTCCTGAAAACATTTTTCTACAAAGCCCTAAAAACTCCAGTCTTCACCCCCACCAACATTTCCCAAGTCTGCATGATTATTTCTTCTCACATTCACCTTGTGCTAATCTCTCTTTGGCCCTTCCCTTCCTTCTGTTTGGCAGTGATCTAGTGGAGCCTGGACCTGAAGGGACACAGTACTGGGACTTCTGGTCACCTGGGATAGCGACATCCCGTGTTAGCCACCTCAGAACTTGCTGTCCCCTCTGCTCTTAGTTGCGATCTTTGTAATAGGTGTGGTAGGCAGAGGCTGACTTTTCTCAGCAACAAAACATGGTTGCAAGCAGAGATGAAGCCCCGGTAGAGCTGAAAGCAGCTAGAATTGGTCTGTTGAAGTGTAGGAGCAACATCTCTGCCAGCACGTTTGGACTCTCCTTGGGGTATGGCTAGTGGGACTTAGCGGATACGCACCTGCATTTCCCATAAGACCATCCCTAGCTAGTCCAGCATATTCTTTCTTCCCAGAGTGGCCAACCAGATACCAAAATGGAGAAAGCACAAGAAGAGCCCTGCTGGATCAGGCCAAGGGTCCATCCGCTCCAGCACTGTGTTCACACAGTGGCAACCAGATGCCCACAGGCAGACCATGGGCAGAACAGCAGGGCAGGATCAGCTCCCCAGCCCCATTGCCGTGCAACTGGCACCCACAGGCATCCTGCCGTTGATACTGGAAGCGTCCTGTGGCCACCGGGACTGCCAGCCTCAGCCAGCCTTCTCCTCCCTGAATTGGACCAGTTCCCCTTTAAAGCCATCCCAGCTGGTGGCCGTCACTGCATCTTGCATTCCACAGTTCACGATGTCCCGTGCGAGGACGTCCTTCCTCTGAGCTGTCCTGAATCTCCCAGCTTCATGGACTGGCCACTTTGGGTTCTCGTATTATGAGAGAGGGAGAAAAGTGTCTAAGCTAGTAAACAGGAAGATTTGAATGATGAAGAGGAGGAACAGGTCCAGAGGGCCTCACCAGTAGACCCTCAGCAACTGCCCAGCAATGCCTACCCTTGAAACACACCCTTTAGATTGTCTTGCATCCCCTGCTATGGGTAAGGTTCTTGCAAAACTAAAGACTTGTATGCTGCTAGGGGCAGGGGCCTTCCAATCCCCACCTTTATGGTTGTTGTGACAGAGCTTGTTCATGATGTAAAGCATCATGTATATCGGTGGTGGTACCTGGGTAGCGATGAATTTGACTGAGCCGTGCCTGTTTCTTATTCAAGGTCACTATCACCCTAACTCCTTTCTGCCTCCTCCAGATCCAAGATTTTCACCTTTACTGATGCTGACGCCAAAGATGAATCACTGCTGGATGAAATCAAAGCCCTGATTGATTCCTCACAGTCTGAGGTGAACTACTTCCTCACAGGGAGTTGTTCCAGCCGGAAACGCAGAAGTATGTAAATATTGGCAGGGGTTCTTAGGTTACTGAGGGAAAGTCAGCAGCCACTGAAAAAATCTTTCTGCCTGACATCAGCCTTGTAGATAAGCCCACAAAAGTGACAAGCATACCATAAACAGGCTGCTGTTGTTGTTAGTCATAAAGTCATGCCCGACCCATTGTTACCCCATGGACAACATTCCTCCAGGTTCTCCTGTCCTCCACCATCCCTCGGGGTCCACCCAAGCCCACACCGACTGCCTCAGCGACTCCATCCAGCCACCTCATCCTCTGCCATCCCCTTCTTTTGCTGTCAATTGTTCCCAGCATCAGGGTCTTCTCCAGGGAGTCCTTCTTTCTCGTTAGGGTGCCAAAGTATTTGAGTTTCATCTTCAGTTCCTGGCCTTCTAAAGAGCAGCCAGGGTTGATCTCCTCTAGGACTGACTGGTTTGATCACCTTGCAGTCCAAGCAGGAGTCTCCTCCAGCACCACAATTCAAAGGCCTCAATCCTTCAGCGCTCATCGTTCCTTATGGTCCAACTTTCACAGCCATACATTGCAACTGGGGAAAGCATAGCCTTGACTATAGGTACTTTTGTTGGCAGGATGATGTCTCTGCTTTTTAGTATGCTGTCTAGATTTGCCATAACTTTCCTCCCCAGGAGCAAGCGTCTTTTAATTTCTTGGCTGCAGTCACTGTCTGCGGTGATCTTGGAGCCCAAGAAAATAAATCTGTCACTACCTCCATTTCTTTCCCATCTATTTGCCAGGAAGTGAATAGGACCAGATGCCGTGATCTTAGTTTCTTAATGTTAAGTTTCAAGCCAACTTTTGTGCTCTCCTCTTTCACCCGCATCAATAGGCTCTTTAGTTCCTCTTCACTTTCTGCCATGAGAGTGGTATAAACAGGCTAGGAAGTGCTAAAAGTACAATCCTATGCGTAGAGACACATGGCTAGCTGGAGAATGCTGGAAGTTGTGGGATTATTCTTTCTAAATGTGCATAGGATCGCACTCAAAGCTAAATGACAGTTTTCCTTTCCTCTGTAGCTGACACCAAGCAGACTGATAGCTGAGAAAGGAGTCCAGCCCATTGAATTCTGGTCACAGCATGGCATTCTGGTCACCTAAGGTGACTGAACGAATTGTTCAGTACACGGTACTGATGCCTGTAATCCAGTCCCTTGTTACCCCAGTAATGCCCAAAGCATGGCTGACGGGAAGTACTTGTTGTTTCTTTCCAACTGACACAGCACATCCCTGCCCAAATCAGAGCTTCACCCATTCCTGCAGCTGTATCAAGGTGAACCGGGCTTCCATAGTGTGTCAATATTGCACAACAGAGACCTGCAAGTCGAGATTCAAATGTGATTCTGGGCTGGCTAAAACAGCTTCCCTGTGAAGCATTTTTGCCTGCAACCAGACGGTTTTAGGTTTACTTTCAGGTTTCCACTTGGTGTAAAGAAATCTTCGCTGAGTCTGCATTGACTGATCCAATCTGCATCAATTTCCTTCTGTATTCCAAGGGTGCAGAATCTCTTTTGCTTCAAGAAAGCAAAAGTTTCAGAGCAAGTCCCAGGTGCTGCCTCCTAGTGGTAGGAGGGGCTAAAGGCTAAGGGGTGAAGCATGAAGTGCTGACATATTTTACCTTTAAGTTCTTCTTGCCAGAAACGAAGCCTTAGAAGAAGGCTTTCCATCTTTTGCAATGAAGAAGGCTGCACAAAAGCCAGGAAGTTCCAATCAGTCTGTGGCCAGGGAAAAAGAGGTGGGGTCAGGGTAAAGGGCATGGTCTTATGGGGAACCCCAAGGAGCGAAGTGGGGCCCCAAATCTAGCTGCACCCCCTGCTGCATCGATCCTCCCAGTGCAGGCGCCACCTTAGAAGAGCCATGCCTTCCCGCAAGAGAGACGAAGAGGAACTAGATGTCTGGATGTGAAAGTGCTTTAATTAAACAGTTTAAAAAACCCTAATGCACTTCTCTAATCGATGGAAATGTTTTATTGAATTAAAGATAAACACCCTAGCTTAAAAGCAGGTCTGGGGTCTGTGGCTGGGATGCTGGTGCCCTATTTTGCATTGATGATAGCAGCTGCTCAGAACTCTTTGTCAGTTCCTTCCCATCAACCTGCCCTGCCTGTTATTTTCCACTCACTTTGTATCATGCTTAAACCAGCCCTGAATATCACAATTCACTCCTGGTAAGCACAAGTGACCAGTACTTCCACACAAGCGACTAAGCTAGTTGGCAGAGAGGCGCAGATGTATCTTCCCAGTCTTCTTGGTTTCCCTGCTAATGACAGAGGAAGAAAAGTCTTTTTTTTTCCCTGAAAAAGGGGCATTTTCATTAGCCAGCTGCAAGGCGAATAGCTTGCATCTCCATGGTGATGGTGGAGGAGAGGATTTCCAGCATGGAAACACAAGTTACTAGCCTCTCACTGGGCCACTAAATAAAATACAGACTAGTAACTTTTACGGATTAATAGACAAGCCTTATTCAAAGAGGGCCCAGATTTTCTAGAAAAATAGTGGAATCTAGTGAGCTAAAGCAAGGGCTGTTTTGAAATGTTGTGCTTCTTCCCCCACCACCATAAAAGGGGATGCTATCAGATTAGACTAGTCCATTCAAGTGCAAAATCATCTAAGTTCAGCATCATTTTCTCAGTGACAGAGAGAGAAGCTGAATCAAGCAGAACACCAGCTTCTCTTTAAAAAGAGTATGTAAGAGGATCCCATTTAGTCCAGCCTGTGGGCACATCTGTGACTCTCAATCTCTTTCTGGTTCTCGGTCTCCTGACCCTAGTCTCATACTGTCCTTTTTCCATGACAGCTTTATTTTTAACTCACACAGAAATCTGTACCAAGGTTGGGGTGCATTTTTCAAATATATGCATTTTAGGACATTTTTTCATGTCTTTAAAATGTGCATGTTATCAAATGTATGTTTTCTTTTGCAAAATGCATCCCGAGCAAGGAAATATGTGGCTTTCCAGACACAAATTGCATTTGGTTTCTCATTCCGTTTCCGGAGGTGCTAAATTGCATAATCGTGCATTAAACTACAAACTTGGTGAACTTGCCACCTATCCTTAATTCTTTTTTTTCTTTACATTAGCCAGACAGATGCTTCCTGCAAGTGATATCAGTGTTCCAACCTTGCATTTAATCAGGTACCTTGTCACCTAGGTGAACAGGAAATAAGCAGGCCGTGGCCTACATTTCTAAGCTAGCTGTTCAGCAGGGGACCTCCTTTCCTTACCAGCCAGCATGGAAACAGAAATTACTACCTTCCTAGCATGCTGCTCAAAAAATGCAGGCCAGTAAGTTTTGCGGGCTTATTTGCAAGGCTGCAGTGGCCTTAGCTGCTGCAACTACCCACGCAGCTACCCAATTCGCATGCAGCCGAAATTGTTCTGCTGTCTTGAGCTATTTCTTCATATGAAATTTACCAAAATAAAGCACTGCTTGCTCTTCTAACTTCAGAAGGCACACTGCAGAGAACTTTTGTATCCCAAAATGTATAAGTTTTGTAGTTATAAAAGAACAGATCACAACAGTACTGTTTTATTGACTTACCTGACGATATCTTAATCCTCCTTCAGGTGATATAACTCAGTAAGGATGGAGGAAAATTTTGTTTGGCTTGCAGTTTAATGCAAAATTACCAAATTCCACATGTTCGAACTAAGGGCAGTATCCCAGTATATTGATCTGTCAGTGCAAATGGCATTGCAGCGGAGGCAGAGTTAGGGGACAGCCCGCTAGGACTGGAGCCCCGAATCCTTAATTTGAAGGCCAGCCACTCCACTACCCTGCTGCCCATGTGCATTGGTTGAAATAAAGGTGCAGTGCCCCTCCTGATCCCACTGGACCAGGCTAGATCTCAGGAAAAGCTTCCTGACTGTCAGAGCAACACGGCAGTGGAACCCGCTGCCCAGAGAGGTGGGGGGCTCTCCCACACACACTGGAGACATTCAAGGAGAAACTGGACAGCCTCCTGAGTCGAGGATGTCGCTTGGGTCCAACCCCCTGCTGTTGCAGGACACCGATGGCCTTCTTGACCCCTTCCAACTCTGCTCTTCTAGGGTTCTGTGATCAGTTGGCTTTTTGCCCATGTGCGTTTCACCTCTTGCTACCCATCCCTGAGTTAGTTTGAAGATTTTTTTTTCTGAAATCAAAATGCCCTCCTTACATCCACTTTTATGTGTAGGGGTGTCTTTAAGAGACAGGGTCCTTTGCAGACACTTGCAACAAAGGCTTTAGGACATATGTAAATTAGCATATGTGAATTTGTGGGGCTTAGCACCAGCCCTGAGCTGTTCTACTGGAAACTAGCTTCTGGACTATACAAAAGAGAAGTATCCAAATTAAGTTACGTTTGCCCAAGCATGACTATACAACCAGCTTGTGCAACAGAGAAATACAGTGTTGCTCAGTTAATGCAATTGGACTTTTCAGAATGACTTCTTTGGATACTGCCCCAATAAACAAACCACAATCCGGTTATTCTTCAATAATTTCTCCAAACTTAGAGAGCCAGTGTGGTGTAGTGGTTAAGAGCCTGGGACTGGGAATCAGGCGATCTGGGTTCTAGTCCCCACTTGGCCATGGAGCCAACTGGGTGACTTTGAGCCAGTCACAGACTCTCAGCCCAACCTACCTCACAGGGTTGTTGTTGTTGTGAGGATAAGATGGAGGAGGAGAATGATGTAAACTGCCTTGAGTCCTTTGAGGAAAAGGCAGGATATAAATCAATCAATCAATAAAACTTTGAAATGGAGTTCTCCAATCAAAGTGCACAGATTAAGGAAAGCTGCAGACAATAATGCATTATATCATGAACATCATGTTTAAAAGTATGTGTATTATGATCACTTGCATAGAAGAATGCATGCATTCATGGAAATGCATATTGTTGCTGTTGTTGTTGCTTTTACTTTACATTTCTATATTGCCTGTAGCCAAAAATCTCTGAGTGGTTCACAACACTTAAATGGCCCATCCAGATTTCAGCCAAGCCCAACCCTGCTTAGCTTTCAAGATTAGGCAGGATCAGGCACTTCAGGCTATATAGAAGCTTAATGAATATTAATATTCATGCAAACATTATTTTTAATCTCAAGGTTCAGCACAAACTGAATTTAAGTATAAAACTATTCCCAGAGACAAGGACAAAGTTTGGAATTGACTTGTAAGATGAGAAAAATAAGAAACTGAAATTGACAAATTGATTGGCCCCGTAAGAGAAGCTGCGAAAGAGAACACAACTGCTTGGCTTCAGGATCATAACCGCTCAAATAACTAATAGCTTTTACTTTCCTGTGTGTGAATGAAAGAGTCAAGGGGAACAGCTTTCAAGATGCTCAACTCTGCTCTCAACCTACACAGGCACTGAAGAAGAATTTGAGGCATCTGAGAGAAGTTACGCTAATGTCTACGAAGAAATAGCTGCTCATTCTGATGGCTTCTGTGTTCGGACCAGCAAAAGGGAGCTCAGCCAAATGCTACCCCTAATGGAGACTTCCCTGAACTCTGCCCCTGTTAAGGTGGCCCGTGGTCATATGGAAGGGACTCATTTCCATTTTGCAGTAGAAAGCAGCCTCGTGAATTTGCTTGTTTCCGTGGCCAGACCAAACTACGGCATCATAACCAGCATCACCCTGAAGCTGCCCTCAGGTAGGAGGCATGGAGAAAAGAGCCGTACCACAAGCAGATCCCAGGAGAGGGGTGCTTGCAAAAATCCCCACAGCATCTTGCACTCCCCCCGCAGCTCCATCACCTTTGTGTCATTCCATGGCAGGTGAGCACCTCACATCTGCTCAGATGCTGGTCGACACAGACACCCACAAGCTGCTGAAGGTGCCTTCCATCGAGGAATACGGGCTGTGGACGTTGATCGTGTCTCCCGGAGGTTCCGCTGAAGTGGAAGTCAGGGGCAAGAGCTTGCTGGATTTTTCTTACCAGATTATGGAAGAGCAGGAGGGATACGTGCTTCCAGTCCAGGGACGCCCTGTAAAAGGTCAGTTGTCGTGGATGTGAAGCAGCCACAGTGCAGGCAGGGCTATACATGATGTGTGTCACACAAATGAAAAGCCCACTTTCCTAAGAATAAAGCAACTCAAGAACGGGTGTCTCTACAGGGAATAACTGAGTAGGGGGTGGCAGGCTGAGCCACAGTCGCCTTTTTCCTCGCCAGTAAAGCCCTATCCCGTAGGACTTTCTTGAGGCAGTTTTCCCAGTTCTTGCAAGTCTGTTTGGTGAAGGCTTGGCAATGAACACGTCTGTCGGCGTGACGTCCTTCACTGGGACGGATCGAGCAGAGCAAGCGCGTGTCTGTAGACGGCATCTTTGCTCCACACTGGGCCTGCCTTCTGAAAGCAGAACACTGTGCCATTGAGAAGAAATAAGTGATGAGGAATAAAGGTAAAGAGAGTTTTTGGTACAGAGAAGGGTTTATTTTTTAAATTATTTTTGGTGGGGGGATTAGTTGAGGGGAGGGGAAAAGGGAAGGGTGTGAAGAGGGTTTAAGGTTGTGATAAAGGTTAGGGTAGTGAGACTTTGTAAGGGATTTAGGATAAGAAGACAAAGATATATGTAAAGTACAAAGTGTAGAAGAAGTTTGCAAGGGAAATCGAAAGCAATGAGAGAACCCGAGGCACAGCGAACGGGGGTTGAAAGCAGACTGGCAAGAGGGCGGGGACTCTGCCCATATATTCGAGGGGGTGGGGGAGCAGATTTCCCACCAAAAATATTACTAGCTGAGGGAATCTTCCCGAATACAGGCCCTGCGCAGGTGCAGCACCCATAGGTGTGATGCACGGAGACCACGACAGAGAATTGGGTAGTACTGAGTACACCAGCCCTCCCCTGCTGTGCTGAATTCCAGCTGGCTGGAGATAGGGAGAGTTGGACACAGTGCATCTCTGGGGTGCCAGATTCAGAAAAACCATGCTGGCAGTGGATGACTGGTGTTGCAATCCAACCCATTTGCAAGGCATCCGGTTGGAAGAGGCTGGATTGCACCAAGACAACCCCGTCAGTGATTCCACATACGTTGAGGGCCCGCAATAGTCCTCCAGCCACTACACACCTCTGTCGGTCAGCTGCGGCACTGCAAAAGCGTCAGTCTTTGCCCTGTGTGTGCGCTCAGTCATTCATGGTACAATCCAATGGGGACACCCATGAGCCTTCGAACCTGGGGGGCTACAAGTGCTCTGTGCAAGGCAGAAGCAGCAGCGGAGAAGATCTCTGCCTCCCCATTCTTCTTTTGTTCATCTTTTCCAGGTGAAAACTACACGGTCTCCCTTAAGCTCATGGGAGATACTGGAGGTGTTCAGCTCAAGCGCCTGGTTGTTCTCTCTAGCCAAGGGACCCCAATAGACTCCGTTGATTTGAACCAAAGTATGGATGCCCTCGGCAACCTCTTTGCCACCGCTTTCCTTCCCTTACGTGCTTCGGTATGTGCCCATTCCTGTGTTTGCCTGCAAAACGAAGGGTGTAGAACCCCGTTCAGCTCCAGGACCAAATTCCATTCCAGGGAAGCTTCTGGGGACCACATTCCACTGGCTGGGCAGGGTGAAAGCGAGCAGGCAAAAAGCGAAATGGGTGGGGTGCAAAAGACCAGCATATCTAGGCTGAAAACTTGGACTTGTAGCAACTACGCTTTACGAGAAACTCTGTGGCAATTTAGGATGGGGAAAATCTATGCAAATGCCGGGAAACCACCAAACAATTAGTGACTGGGAAAGGAGACATGGCTAGCTAGGGAGCTACATTTGGTCCCCAGCCTGAGGTTCTGCACTCCTACACAGAATAGTCCTGAAAAAAAACATCTAGGATGGATAATCCCCTCAAATCCTTGGCTATCCCATTATATCTTTAAAAGCCTCAGCATCAAGCCCCATCTTAATCTGGCATTGAGAAGATGACAAGGTTGGCACCAGGAAGGCCTCAGTAGGGAGTCTATTCCATTGATGGGGCCACCACAGAGAAAGCCTTTCTTCTTGGTGGGCATGTCCTGAGTGGAGCCAGTTGGAGCCGGGGATCAGACGACATGGCCCAGGAGGCACCTTATGACTCGCTCTGTTTCTATGTTTCTTATGGCTGCCCACTGAACCTCCCTTGGAGCTGGCACTCAGAAGAAGGCCCCAGATGGTGGGCATAGGGCCCAGACAGATTGTGGTCTGGAGAGGTGCTCCATCGGGTACTGTGGTTCCTAGCCATGTAAGGCTTGATGGGTGAAAACCAGCACTTGGAATTGGACCCAGAAGCACACCGGCAGCCCATGTCAAGTGGTCTTGTGTGTTCAGAATGATGGGCAACAGGTATTAAGCTGGTTGCTGGTCACAGACACTCAGACCAACCTACTTGCAGATAAGATTGAGAGTGGGAGGAGGAGAATGTAGTAAACTGCCTTAAGTTCTTTAAAAAGGAAGGAAGGAAGGAAGGAAGGAAGGAAGGAAGGAAGGAAGGAAGGAAGGAGGAAGGAAGGAAGGAAGGAAGGAAGGAAGGAAGGAAGGAAGGAAGGAAGGAAGCAGATATAAATCTCATAAATAAATAAATAAATGTTTTCCCACTGAGCTATTCAGCTCCAGGGAACTTAGCAAATTTCTTTCCCATTAGCCTCTTCCTTTACAACAAGATGTGCAGGGAACGTATGAAATACCTTCCATAATTATTCCTTCTCCTTTGCCTTCTAGGACAGCATGTTGAGTTTGGAAGGTGTGTCTTCAAGCCATCTGCCCTTTACACGAATCAGCAGTAGCCACATCATCACAGAGTCCGTGAAAATCGTCCTCTTGCCAGACCAAAGCAGTGAGTCCCTGGGGAGGCAGGACAAAATACCCGTAATAGCCTTCCCTCCACTCAGGCCGGTTCCCACCCGAAGGGAGCCGGGAACATCGCAGCTGTCTTATGCTGCCCCAAGACGCTTTCCTGCTAAGGCAAAGGACATGGTGGCACATGGTGGTACCCTGCTGTCCCAGCTCCACATAAAGGAGCCAGAAGGAATTGCAGTCCAGCCCTACTTCAACCCCAGCAAGGGGGCAGCATCAAGCACAACTCTGCCCTCCAAGTGAGGGGAATATCTGGGGCGGGGGTCCTCAAACTTTTTCAACAGGGGGCCAGTTGAAAGGTGCCAGTGGTGGGCGCGGGCTGGCAAGGCAGCATCGGTGCCGGGCTTGGGCCAGCAAGGGGGCAGGAGTTGCGGGTGCGTGGCGAGGCAGGGGCAGGCGCACGTGTGGTGGCGGCTTGCTCACTCAGCGGTTGTTTTCTCCAAGTGACTCCAAAACCTCTGAGGCGGCCAGATGGATGTGCGTGGCAAGCTAGATCCAGCCCACAGGTCGCAATTTGAGGACCCATGGTCTGGGGGTTCAGGAGAAAGGGATGGGGGACTCCAGTCACCCCTAGTCTCTGCCACCTGAGGCCGTTGTCTCACACTGCCTGGTAATGATAAGGCCTGGCCTCACCACTACAGCTAACCAGCTCCCTCCCATTTCCTCCAGCAAGAGCCGTTAAGTGTAAGAACAGGAATTGTAACCTTCCAGAGCAAAAACCACTTGCTAAATATTGGGGATCCTTTGCAGGTGTTATCTATGAAACACCACCCATCTAGGTCGGAAGCAGGAAGAACACAGCTGAAATCTACTTCTGCACCTCTCAGTGATTTGCAGTAGGTCAGCAAAGGGTTTTGACTCCCGGTGGCTTGGTGGTCAAACAGTTCCAGCAATCAGGCTCTGAAAATCAAGGCGCTTTGGAAGAAACAGGAATAGATGCACTGAGAGCCAGTTCTGCCCTTGAAAGCAAAATTTTGGGCCGAGCACTGTGCAACAGTTCCGTGTCCCCACTCCCTGATGCCCCATTTTGCACCTGGCTCCAGTGAAGGGATTTCAGGGTTCTCATGAAAAGTAAAGTGGATGCTGCAAACCTACAGACTCCTCACCGTGATCTAGATTTTCTTTTCATCTGGGTGGTTTTTGGCTGGTCCACCAAGTACATAAAAGTCCAGCTGGCTCCAGTCCAAGGTCATTGCTTGTAGAATACTGGAAAGGATGTTTGCAAGCTGCACTTCCTTCCTCCCTCCCGCAGTCACCAGCCTCAAACTGCTCACAGCAAAAGTCTCTTTATTGTTTCTACACGTAAATTATCCAGTCAGGTTTCTGAGCATGCACAAAGCGGTTTGTTGAACCCAACCTAGCAATTATTTCCAAAACTCTGCTTATGGACACGCTTGCGACCCAACCCTTGGGAAGGGACTCTGTGAAAGTGTGTGCAACTTTTTGCTACACGCTAAACAACCCATTGTGCCTCTCGCCACTGCTGCCACCTGGCCAAGGGGGCTCTCTCAGAGGGGAGCATCTGAGCCCTGTTTGAAGATCCCCCAGTCTCAACTGCCCCCCACTGTCCTGTACCTCCATGCTGTCCCCCAGGGTGGGCCTCCGCCTCTGCCCTCTTGTTCTTCCTTGGGCGAATCTCTGGCTCTCCATTCCCTGCTGTATCCCATGGACTTGAGCCAAGTCCTGCTCTTCAGTCCCATCTAAATATTCCTCTTCTGAATCAAAATTCAAAACAGCCACGTTGGCGCAGTGTGTCTGGCTCCCAGCACAAGCAAGAAAAAGAACATGGGATGAAAGGAGCGGGATCAGGCGGTTTAGACCTGTCCTCCACCACCAATGCATCCGACAGCCATTAAGTCCTGCTGCCATTAAGTTCATATGTATCATATGTGCATGTGCACAGCAGGAGTGGGGGACCCTGCTTAGGCCACGATTCTTCCCCCTCATGCATGGACCTATCGTCAATAGGAGGACTGCAGGCTGTACGTCGCACACCTCTTGCTTCTTGGGAAAGAATACAAGATGTTGTGCGACCTGCTTAAACATTTTACTTTTGTGTACGCTGCCCGTAACACCAGATGCCTGAAGTGGACAATGTCCATGGCAAGGTTATGCCAAAAGAGTTGTGTTGTTCTTTAAAATGCTGCAAGATTCTTGGTTTTGCTGAGAGAGGGTAGCACAGCTAACCACCTGGAAATGAGAAAAATTAAGCTTTGAAGAGGAATGGGAAAGAGGAGAGAAGGTGGGGGCACCTTAAAATGACAGAGCCAGAAGGCTGACTTGGTCCACCTCTGAGACTATCAGCCAAGGGCTTCTCTAGCAGTCTGGGCCAGCAGCTGACCACATGGTGAGGAGCACCTTCTGCTTTTCCTCCACAGGCACCATGTCACCAGGAGAGACCTTGGACATCTCCGTCCTAGTGATGAATGACGGGGCAGCCTCATCATTCACATTTAAGATCTGGGACGATCTGGGTTTGATGAGGACTTTCAGCCCAGAAGAAAGTTTCATAGATTCCGGAGAGAACGTCACAGTCACCGCAACCTTTGCGGCCGCTGCAGAGAGTGACAGCTTTGCCTCCAGGTGAGGACGGATGGCAACGTTGCCCGAAGGGTAGCAGCCGAGGCTCCAGCATAATTTAAGGCAGGAGTGGAAGCTTGACGTGGGGGAGAAGGAGCATAGCACGCCCAAAAGAGGACATACATACTGCCAAAAAAGAGGAAATGCAGCAAGGAGGGCAAAAGGTGGCACTGGCCAGCGTAACATTACACTATGCAAACATGCATGTCCTCTATTCCCCGAAAATAAGACCTAGCATGATTTTTCAGGATGCTCATAATAGAAGCCCTACCCCAAAAATAAGCCCCAGTTAAGATCGTCAGCCAGACAGACGCATTTAGTACGCCCATTGCAACATACAGAGGATGTTCTTTTATTATTATTAAAATGATAATATAATAATAACAATAATAACAACAATATAATTAAATATAAATAATATTATTGACATTAACACTTAAAATAAATGATAATATAAATTATAATGAAGTATTTGTAAATACCCAAGCGGGCACCTTTGGACGAGAGGTAAACGCCTATGTAAACAGATGAAAGCAAGACCTATTGCTGAATGACCAACTGGAGTACAGACAGAACACACAAATAACATGCGCACTTGATAACAAACTGACGTGTTTCATAATTCAGTATGTCGTGTGTTGCAACGGACGTACTTAATGCTCTCGTGAGCTGCCACTCCTGTCTCGTAAGTCTTTAATTAACACTTGATTTAATGGCAGATTTAAAGGGAATAATATTTTGACCCCCAGACAAGATGAGTGCAAAAAGAAAGAGCTATTCCATCAGGTACAAGAAAGGAATCATGGAAGACTCTTGGGGCAAGAGTCTTACGGCTTTCCTAAGAAAAAAGAAGGCATCACCTGAAAATAAGCGCTAATGCGTCCTTTGGAGCAAAAATCAACATAAGACCAGGACTGATTTTCAGGGAAGCACAGTATAAATGCAAGGGACAGCTCATTCCTATTATATTTAGATAGGAATACAACACAGGTCCTCCGAGTGAGGAAGACCGTGTCCAAGGGACCCATGCCGTGTGCCTGCGGCCCTTGCTGTCCAGCTCCTGCCAGCAGCTGATGGGTAACCTCAGGGCTGCTGCGACCCCCCCTGCCTAATGCGCTGTGTTCTGGAAGCCAAGCTTGGATTGGCAGATGAGTGGGACGTGGACATTGTGCACCTCAGCGGAGTGGGATTATTATATTATGATGTGTGAGCTCCTGAAGAGCATCACTTGCCGTCTATGCTTCCCCACCCAATGGACACACTCCTTCATTCCTATGCACCTTCGCGGCCTTTGAGATCTATGCAGGGGGCCCTCCCGTGTGAGCCGTCCCTTACAGAGGGGAGCAGGGAGGGCCTTTTCTGCAGCTGCCCCCCACATCTGGAATGCTCTCCCCAAGGAGGTTCGCCTGGCGCCTTCCTTACTTTCTTTTCGGCACCAGGTGAAGACCTTCCTTTTAAAAAAAATATCTTAACAACTAATGCCGTGAGACCTTTGTTTCGTATTTTCTGCTTGTATTTTATTTTTAATGTGTTATTGGTGTTTATTGCATTTTTATCTTGTAATTGTGAGCCGCCCAGAGGTGCCGTGACACAATTTGGAGGCATACAAATATTTTAAATAAAGAACTAACCCCATAATACTGTTCTTCCAGCATTGCTACATTCATGGCCAAGGGTTCAGCTGCACAGAACTACCTGAAACTGCCCATTACTGTCATCCCTCAGGCGGCCCTGGTGAGTAATCCACCATATGCAGGGTTCATTCCTAGAGGCTACTCACAACTAACCTTCAGTGAAGAATTTTGTACACGTCCTAATTCAGGAAATCCTCCTGCAATAGCTATGTGAACTGTTTCTTTTATTTTTAGATAGATGTGGTTTGGGTTTTGTATTCTCATGGGATTCTAAGCCAAACGTAGGGTGCTAGAGTTCACTTGTTTATGTATTTACCTATGGAATTTATAAATTGCACTAATAGTCCTAAACAGGACTCTATGGGTAGTGAATAATGAAAACCAAGAAAATACAAAAATATCCCAGTTTAGACAACTACATAAATCAATTAAATATTAGCAGGTATAGTAAAGCAAACCCAGCAATAAATTCATATAAAATTGAAAGAACACAATCCAGTTTTAAAAAATGCCTGGAAGACTTGTTATCCCTCATATGCAGCCTGGATGCAGTTCAGAACAGCTCTCCAACAGGAGCCTTTCCATCACAGGAATTGCCTTGCTCTGTGGCCCTGCCCTGCCCCATGACAAAGAGCCTGCCCTGGCAAGGTGAGAAGCAGGACAGATTTCTCTCCAGAAGCCCAGTTAAGCCCAGAAGAACATTCCTGTCAGATGAGATCAAGGTCTACCCAGTCCAGCAGTCTCCTCCACACGCTCACACAAGCACCAAGCACCCTCTCATCCATGTTCCCCAGCAAGAGTATACAGAAGCATATGACCTGCAGATGGCAGGAAAATGCCCTTCTGCTGATCAAATGATTTCCCTCAAGAAGTACCCCAAAGGCTGTCACAAAGAGGAAGGTCAAGCTCTCTTCTTGCTGATGCCAGAGTGTAGGACACGGAATAAGCAAGTCAAGCTGCAACAACCCAGATTCAGGCTGGACATCAGGGAAAGTTTCCTCACTGTCAGAGCAATAGGACAGTGGAACCAGCTGCCTAGAGAGATGGTGGGCTCTCCCACACTAGAGACATTCAGAAAAAAACCGGACAGCCATCTGAGTGGGATGGTGTAGCTCGGTGTCCTGCAACAGCAGGGGGCTGCACTTGATGGCCGTCATGGCCCCTTCCAGCTCTACTATTCTATATTCTATACGCATATTGCCTGATTATTGATCTGATGCAATATGTTGTTTCCCCTGCATAAAACTGTTTTTCATTTAGTGTTTCATACTTAAATGCTTTGGGGGTTTGCTTTTCTTTAAAATCTGCATGCAAATTGCCTTAATTAAAGGTGGATCGAGACTGTTCTATGAGCTGGTAAGTTGAAACATGGTTTGTCATGTAATCCAAGACATTCTAATTATTAGCAAATGATATTAATTGCAAACATGGATCAAAAGAATGTAACCCATCCCTCCCAACCCCCTGCGCAAGGCAGAAATGCAATTTAAGCCTCTCTGGCGGGTGACTGACTGTCGCTGTTTGACTTCCTTCAGGGAAGAAGAGCCGAGCACCTTCCCAGCCGCTCAGCTCTGGCTACTGGCAAGCTTTTCTGGAAGTCAAACATGCTGCAGCTCTCTTCCAAATGAGAGCACTTTAGGCACTTGAAAAGTGCTAGCAGGCCTCTCTTCAGTTTTCCCTTCTCCAGGCTAAATAAAAAGATATGGATGTTTATGCCCCTTTCTTGAAACAGGAGACACAGATTTAAACTAATGGCTTTTGCTTCATGCATTACTGAGTTACTGGATATTGCAGTTTTACACTAGTTCTGGGAATCAACGACAGAGCTTTTGGCTAGTGACCAGTACAGAAATGTAAAATAAATTAATAGGATGTCACAGGGTCCTATGACCCTACCCGGTGCCTTATGAACGAGTTCTGGAACGTCCCCATGGTTCTCAGCCAGCACGGGCATTACAGAGTTGGGAAGCTACACACCTGGGGGAGACCAGGTTGGGAGAAGCTAACCTGTGCACATCCCACCACCCCTTTATACACTCAGCCTTTGTAGGGGGAGATTCCCAGTAAGAGCCATAGATATCTTACATCTTATCATGGAACTGATGACTACACACGGGGATTCCTAACCAACCTGTGGTCCATCCAACAGGAAACAGACGAGACCCCGCCAGTCCACAAGGTTGTTGAGTTTTATATTCAATGTGTGGGCGACATGCAGAACCGACCGGGTTGCAATCAGAAGAACTGGCATGTGAGGTTTTCGGCAAAGGATGCTCAAAGCGCAGTCACTGTCCAAACCAACACAAATCCTTCTGGCCTGTCTTGCAGCCCTCAAGGGACTTCTGGTAACAAGGAAGTCACCTGTGACTATCAGTGAGTACCCAGCCGTGCTTTGTAGAAAGCCATGAGAGCGTAAAAAATGACCTCTGGGGCAGGGGAGGATTGTGAATGGAAGGCGCCATCACCTGGATCCCTTGTGGAATTCCACAAACAAGACGAATAGGGGTGAAATTTACTTCATATTTCAATGTGAAATCAAGTTTCACACTTTTGAACCACTCTGCCAACTGCAACTCAAGTTATTCCTCAGTTATACGTCTTTCTTTGGCTCTTGCAATGGAGTTCTCTAATCAAAAGAACGCACACACAGGGCGCATATTGTGGGAAATAATGTTCAAATATGTATTACTTTAGGAAATAGCTGTTAACGAAGTTCACTGTTAGAGAAAGTACATACAAAATATTTTATACGAGGGCAAATAGACACAAAATATTTATGATACTCCATATGAGGCTTGAAAAACATTTTCAATGTTTGGGAATAACTGAACTTTAAGACTGAAAAAATAAAAAATGAGAGAAGCCAAACTCCCAACAGGTTCATACATCCCAGAGGCAGCTCAATTGCACAATTAAAGCCTCACCTGGAAGGTCCCCTGGAGGCAGGTGTGGGGTTTCTGCTCTCAATCCTACCAGGGCTGCTGGTGTGGGGAGAGGAAAGACCTCTGTTCTGAGCATTATTGCTCCGATCCACAATTCTCCTGACTCAGGGATTCCAGGAGTTAATGCTGCACCCTGACCCTGCTGCCTCAAGGTCAACCCACATTTCACACTAACTGCAGAATTAGCAGCCATTCTGCAACGAACATCTGCCCAGGGCCAAGAGTCAGGGATGCTGGGAGCTTTAGGCCAGCACACCTGGAGAACAGCAGGCTGCCTACCCACCTGTCTGAAGTGATGATTGCAAACATGCAATTTGTTATCTAGGCATGTGATGAGAAACCTGGACCCATAAGAGCCAATTCCCCTCCTTAACCCTAGTTGCAAAGAGATCAAACCGGTCAGTCCTAGAGGAGATCAACCCTGACTGTTCTTTAGAAGGCCAGATACTTACGATGAGACTCAAATACTTTGGCCACCTAATGAGAAGGAAGGACTCCCTGGAGAAGAGCCTAATGCTGGGAGCAACAGATGGCAAGAGAAGAAGGGGACGGCGGAGGATGAGGTGGCTGGATGGAGTCACTGAAGCAGTTGGTGTGAGCTTAGGTGGACTCCAGGGGATGGTGGAGGACAGGAAGGCCTGGAGGAGTGTTGTCCATGGGGTCGCGATGGGTCAGACATGACTTTGTGACTAACAAAGTAGTGCTGGGATTTTTCTGAGACTGCAACACACAGAGAGGGGAAGTTTATCTCCTTTGTGGTGGAGGGTTGCTTCTACTTTTACTGTATATTGTAGCTTTAATCTTTTAAATTTTTAGATGTTATTGTGTCATATTCCATGGTTCTCTACAGTTGTGATCCTGCTAAAGGTCTTACCTTCATGCTGCGTTTATCCTTAAGGGGTAAAGCTCCCTTTGGCACAAACAGGAGCTTCCCTAAGGCTAGGGCAGGAAAGGACCAATCTTCATCAGGCTCCTGGCTGGGAAAGGAAAAACCTCCTTGTGAGCAGCATTCCCAGTGGATCCCCCTGTGCCAGGATGAAAGAGACGTCTGTGAGGAGGAATCTCCTGACATGGCTCCTAGCCACTAAAGGGAGTTGACGTGCACAGTATCTGCAGGTGCCCTGAAAGGGCCTTTGTTTTCCACTGCTAAGCTCCTTCCCTCACTATTCCATGTAAAGTGGAAGTTTTTACCTGCACAGAAAGTTGCACATATTTTAATTCATTTTTAGGGTATACATTTTGATATGCATGCCCCCACTCGTGAAAGAATTCTTGCACACTATTTAGAAATATATGCTGCAAATGTACACTAGTTGAAGAAATCCCCCCCCCCCCGCCAACTGGATCAAAACTGTACCTCAAAACTGTACAGGTTGCATTCATTTTCACATTGGGTTCCAGGAGGTATAGTTCAGGTAAATCACAAAAAACTCAACTGAGCACGTTACATCTCTAATGTGAAAGGCGTCATGCCTGTAACAGTTCTAAGCTTAACCGACAGCGCCCTCTTCAGCTGAACAGCAAAGCTGCTGAGACACCACTATTTTTGCTAGTTTTGTCTAGGGATATATGAGTAAGCAAAACCCAAGCTCACTATCAGATAGCAAGCTACATTTTCTTCTGTTCACATGAAAATCTATGCACACTTCTCTGTGTATTTTGCCTAAGTACACATCAGTTGTGTACCTCTTTGAAATTTACATGAACTTCTGCCCAGTGTTTTTTTTGTCATAGAACACCCCGGAATGGAGTTCCGGCACCTTTTTTCAACAGATTTTCCAAGTTTTAAAAGTAACTTTTGAAAATTTGATGTTTGGTCCACGTGGATTTGAATCACCCTGTTGAGTGTAGCAGGTCGGTGGCAAAATCATTAAAAGGGTGCATGCGGGCTGCTTGTGTGTCGAATCCGATGCATGCGTACTTCATTCGCGCTGGTTGTGATGGTGCCGCTTGGCTTTATCGCTGCTCGACTTGTGATTAGTCGTGTGGTCGCACGCTGAGTGCTTACTGCAGGCGGTGACCGTTATGTTTTGTTACACAACTGACGTGCGTGGGTGTGTGTACAGTGATTGACTACGTGCGAAAGGTAAATAATTTCATGAGTTCCGGCACCTTTTTTCTTTCAAAAAAAGCACTGCTTCTGCCATTCATTAGGGTGTACTGGTTAGCCTTTTTCAGCTGCATGTATACTGTTCAAACACATGTTATTTTTCGGTTTGGCAAGCTTGGAATTGTCCTGACTTTGACCTCAGATTGTGCCAGGGCCTGCATTCAGTCCAAAAGGTACAAAATGGGTAAATTTTGATCAAAGATGAACTGACACAAATTCCTCAGCCATCTCTAGCTTGGTGTACAATTGTGGGACATCACAAACTCTTGGTGCTGCTCCAAGACATTTTTCTGCGAAGGCAAAGAAGGAGATAGTATCCCTCCTCCATTCCACATAAAAGAGCAGTCCAATCCCACTTCCGCATTCGCAAGGGGACAGAGCTCTGTCCTCCAAGCGAGGGGAAAGTCCAGGGGTCGAGAAGGAATGGATGGGGGACTCGTCTCTGCCCCCTGAGGTGGTTGCCCCACTTTGCCTGAAAGGTAGGCCACCCTTGATACCACCAGCAGGGCGGTCACACCTCCCACCTCCTCCAGTGGCAGCTGTTCATCATAAGACCCCCCTCTGTGTCTTACATTTCCACCTGGATCAGTCAGAGGTGTATCCACCAAACACTGTGCCTCTAGGTCAGAAGCAAGAAAGTGGGAGATTGAGATCTCTAGATCATTTGCAGGCCATCAGCCAGGGGTTTGGCCTTCCAATGGTTGGAGGATCAGACCATTTCACCTAGAAATCTAGACAGGTGATGGGAAACTGTGGCCAATAACAGCTTCTGTCATTTTTCCCCTTTAATCCTAAATGTGAGGTTTCTCTAGGATTGTAACACACAAGAGCAGGGAAGTTTATCTGGGGAGCGGGCTCTATTTTTATTTTATACTGTAGTTTTTGACTTTTATATTTTAGTGTGTTATATCCTGGCCCCTTCCAATTCTACTATTCTATGATCTTATGGTTTTAATAGGGTAATACAGAAATGCAGGAGATAAAATATATGAATCTTTTTTCCTCTATAGTTGTGATCCTGGTTAAAGTTTTTCTTTCCATTCTACATTGGATGAAAAAAGCCTTCTAAGGCTTACCAAAGTGCAGCAAAGGGCAGTTTTCATTAGGCTTATGGGTGGGAAAGGAAAAACCTTCCAATTAGCAGAATTCTAGGAGTTTAATTTGTTTCCCACTCAAATTAAACTCAAAGTTTGAGTGTTTTTACTCATTTAGAACTGTATATCCCCCCTTTCTAAACAATGCAAACCTAAATTAGCACAAAATTTTATTAAATGTTTTAATTGTGCACACACACATACCAACCTACTAAACCCAGATGGGAAGTAAACTTCACCCCACACTAAACCAGTTCCTGTTTTAAGAAAATAAACAAAATTTCCAAATTCTGCAAAAATACACACACATGCATGCATACAACATGCATGGGCACTAGAATAAGGAATCTGCTGATCTGCAGGGCTATTTTCAAAATGGAGAAGTGTGTATTTCACTACAGGTATCTGATTGCACAACTCAGCTGCAGCCTGCTAATTCACTCAATGTCTTTCTTCTTGTATCCAGTGCTACCTCAACTTTTAGTACAAGATGCCACGTCCCCCTTTGTTGATTCCCCGAAAAGCAGGGGAATGCTGTGAGTTGTAGGGCTTTTTTTTTTTTTTTTGTCTAAAGATGCATAGAATTTCACCAGAAACTGGTTCACTGCCGCAGTGGCATTGCTGAAGTGGAGCACTGTTGGTGTGCTGTTGATATCCATGCTCTTAATTGATTTGTTTTTATTATTTTTAATCAAACTTCTGTTTCAATTTGCATTTTGCTCTTGTTAGCTTCCTCAAGCACGGTTTTTTGCAGAAAGGTGGGGCACACCTGAATGCTGCAGCTCGGCACATTCCTGTCCCCTGCCTCCTTGGTCCTTTTATGCCAGGTTCATCCACCTCTCATTGTTTATGCCACTCACCAGAATTTACCCTACTCTGCTCAGTGCTCTTGCTTTGCCCCCTTTTGTAGAGCAACCTGCTGCTCACCTGATGCTGAGGTCCTGATCAGTGATGAAAATGGGAACACGGACACTTTCACAATGGACTACAGGAAATTCCACTCTCTGACAGCCAAGTGAGTTTTGACACATCTGAATAAAGGAAACTTATTTATTTACATGGTCCATCTGGCTCAGTAAACTATGGTGAAAGTGGGGCCTCTCCAGTTTTTGAGCTCCTTCCCAGTATAAGCCATTTAATGAAAGCTTATTCTTATTCTTATTTATTAAACTTGCATTCTGCACTAATAGTCCCATAGGACTCTCTGAAAGGGAACGCATCTGAGACTTCCAGAATACAAAACATACTTGCCTCTGCTGTGGATTAGCTGACCCAAGGCTCCCTGGTCCACAGGGAGGAAGCTGGGCCTGACTGCTCCATCAGGGTCATGTCCGTAATAGTCATCATCTCAGACACTGGCATAATTTGTAGATTTGGGTCACTGGCCCTTTAATTAGTCATTCCTTTGCTTTGGCCACAGTATTACTGAAGCTAGTCTTTTAACTAATCAACAGCTGTTTCTTTTTATGATCCTGTTTTCCTCTTTGCCATCACAGAAAAGGTTTCTTCAATTAAGAATACTATTACAACTATATAATTTCAATTTTTAAAAAATGAAGAACAGTTGTGCTACTAGGAACATTACTCAACTGCAGTTACTTCTGAATTAAACATTTTAAGAACTGGTGCAGATAGATATGTTTTAGGGGGTTAATGGTCACTCCAGTAGTGCTTTACTTCTAGATAGTTTTAATTCTACTTCCAGTTGATTGAAAAACAGCCGTGGGTCCAAGGGTGCTAGTGTGGAAAGAACTCCAAAAGCCCAGAGACCTGGGGGTGAGTAAGGCCACACCAGCCACAGGAAGGCTGGATCACCACCCTTTTCCTTGAATATTTGTATGACAACCAGAATTCAACAGGGGCAGCTTTGCCCATTGCTGCTTCTCTGTGCTGGAGTTCAAACTCTGCCTGCTAAACTTTTGTCTCCTATAAGCTACTGGAGGTAGAGAGAGGATATGGCACTTGTTGAGCCAAGAGTCCTATAAGGGCCGATAGTGAATTAGCGAATTAATGCTGAAGGGGTGTGTGTACTGCCAAATGGCTTCTGCTTTTCATGCAAGATTTTTTCTTTCTCTCTCTCTCTCTCTCTCTCACCCTCTCCTGACAGCTGACCTACATCATATGGATATCCTTAAATATGGAAGATCTTCTTTCTTATTCCTTAGTGCTCTCTGTACTCACACAATCCAAAACTACCAGCCAGTGGTAACCTGGCCACATCTGTCGTCTGCACTGCATACAACGGATGCCAAATAAAACAAGTTTCAAAAGCAATTCTGCCTGTTTACATCACTTCTTGCCATAAGAAGTGTTTGGTCCCTGTGCACGTCCTCTGACCTGGAAAACAGGGTGTCCCCCTTCCCCTCCCCTGCAGGTCTTCAGTGGGTGCCAGCAAAAGGCAGCCCGCTATCACTTGCCAGGGCTGCAAACCTTTGCCCACTGCCCTGGGAGTAAGTCCATGGTATGTAGCTGAGCAGACTGCATTGTTAATGTATTATGTAACTGTGGGGCAGGAGCTGGGCAAGAGTGGCTTTAAAAAGATTAGCTCACTGATAACAGGTGAGGTACCTGAAATCTACCTTCTCGGCTTCTGAGGGTGGGCCTTTAAGGCTTCCACTTCTAATTGATCAGATGCATTGAAGGAAAAGTGGCATCCATACAATGGGACAATGGATGCACCCTCCCTTTCACATGTCTATGCTATGCTACCCTCTTCTTTTAGCACTATGCAGTGTGGACGCCAGGCTATTATTCTGGCTAAGCGACCAAAAAAATTCAGCATGCCACATGAGGAAGCGGAGAGGGGTTTGATTACTTCCGTGTGACCCTCAAGCTCATTTTCCCTATTGAGTAAAACCAATGGAGGGGTGGATTTTGATTAGAAAGTGTCCATGATGAAAATAATTATTTTAAAAATGGAAACAAGAAATGTTACTCCATTCTGATATTCCTTTGTTTACACTGTAGTTTTATTGAAAACAAAAATGAAAAGCACACAACCCTCAAGAACATTTCTTGTTATTAGACTTCTAAGAAGGCTAAGTTCCACATTTCCCATTTTCTCTGAATAGGCTATTCGACTGACAGAATCACAAGCTTTTCATAAAATGCTACTCCAAATTCAGGCCATCTCTTTTTGTGCAGCGATTACCTCACAGATAATATTCTCATCCGTTCTATAAAGTAGGATTTATGGTCTGAATTATATCACTGCTTAAGACCCTGTGCATCAGAATTATTCACTGTACACCATTCCATAGGCTGGTATGTCTGCTCAGCCTTACCAAGTAATTCTAAAAATGGAGGTCCCTTTGAAGCTGTAAAAGCAGCAGATTCCAACAGATGTTTCAACTGCAACTTCTGCCATTAACCCATAGAAGGCAAATCATATTTAGCATAGAAAGCTGAGAATGTCAACAACCTTGAAAGAACTTAGAAGAAAGAAGAGGAGGAGGAGAGTGTATAAAATTATGCATGGTACCAAGAAAGGATGTATGTCCCATAATATTAGAACTAAATGGGATCCTCCCATGAAGATGATTGGTGGGAGATTCAGGACAAGTAAAAAGAAGTACTTCTTCATGTGGTGCATAGAGGATATTTTTTTTATTTTTATTTTTTATTTATATCCTGCCTTTTTCCTACAAAGGGCTCAAGGCAGCTTACATCTCCTCCTCCATCTTATCCCCACAACAACAACCCTGTGAGGTAGGTTGGGTGAGAGTCTGTGACTGGCCCAAAGTCACCCAGTGGGCTCCATGGCTGAGCGGGGACTAGAACCCAGATCCTCTGAGTCCCAGTCCCAGGCTCTTAACCACTACACCTTCAGTGCAACAAGATACAGCAACGAGCACAAACTTAGGTCACGTTAAGAATTCGCGGATGTTAAGGCTATCTGTGGCTGCCAATCACCATGGTGAGTGTCGTTTCCCAAGGGCCGTGGGTGGGAAGATGGGGCTGCCCTCCTGTCCTGCTTGTGGGCTTCCTGTGTGCAGCAGGTTGGCTGTTCGTGATGTGAGCAGGATGCTGGGCCAGATGAGCCACTGGACTGAACCAGCACCGCTCTCCTTGCGCTCTGCCACGTATGGATGCTGGGCTGTATTTGGCTTGCGGAGTCCCTAGTTCTGCAGGTTTTCTGCACACCGCAGGGGAAAGTGGAAGGAAAATGTTGCCAATTTATTTATGTATTCGTCACATTTGTATGCCACCCCATAAAGGCTCTCTGGGCAGCTCACACTGCAGACATAACACAGCAATACAAATAAAAATAGATAAACAATAATAGCTAGAACCACGGTACATAACACAATATAAAATGCTATATAAAATGTAACAGGAGGATAAGCATCATATAAACAAGAAGACAAAAACAAAAACCAATAAATCATAACCTAAAAAACAAATACTAAATGAAAAGGTCTTGACTTGGGGATGAAAGCACAGTAATGTCGGTGCCAATCATACCCCTTTCAGAAGGGAATTTCAGAGGTGAGGTGCGACAACAGAGAAAGTTGTTTTCCTTGCCAATTCTCCCCTCACCTCATCTGGGCAGCCAGTGCAGTTGGTGGAGGACCAGCATAGTATGCTCTCTAGGGATGATTCTTGTTGGAGGGGGTGCTGCTCTGTTTTGGATCAATTGAGGAACCCAGACCATCTTCAAAGGCAGTCCCATGGAGAGCACATTACAGCAATCCAGGCAGGAGGTTACCAGCACATGGATAATTGTGCGCGGTTTCACTCAACCAAGTAGGAACGTAGCTAGGAAATCAGCCTGAGCTGCTGACAGAAGGTGCTCCTGGGCACTGAGTCCACCTGAAAAACAAGCAAGAGCTCAGGGTTTAGGACCACCCCCAAGCTACACACCTTATCCTTTAGTGGGAGCGCAACCCCATCCAGGATAAGTTGAACATTTCCTAGTTGGATGAACCAACTGCCCACCAACAGTACCTCTGTCCTGTCTGGACTGGGCTTCAGCTGATTGGCCCTCATCCAATCCATTACTGAACTAAGGCACTGGTTCAGGACAGCCACTGCCTCACCTGGGCTGGATGAAAATGAGAGGCAGAGCTGAGTGTCATCAGCATACGGGTGACACTTCAGCCCAAACCTCCAGATGACGCCACCCAGCGGTTTCATGTAGGTGTTAAAGAGCATGGGGGACAGAATGGAGCCCTTGGAACTCCATGGCGCAAATGCCACGGCGCACAGCAACAGCCCCCCAGCTCCACCAAGTGGAGACGGTCAGTCAGGTAGGAGCAGAACCACTCCAAAGCAGTTCCTGAACTCTCGAGCCAGCCAGCCTCTCCAGAAGGATACCATGGTCAATGGTACTGAAAGCCACTGAGAGATCCAGGAGAATCAACAGGGTCGCACTCCCCGTCTCTCTCCTGACTTAGGTCATCCCACAGGATGACCAAGGCAGTTTCCGTTCCGAACGCAGGCCTAAAGCCCAATGGAAATGGATCTGGTAAGCTGTTTCCTCCAAAAGTGTTTGGCGTTACCCAGCCATAGCCCACTCCAGCACCTTGCCAGGAAGGGAACAGTGGCTATAGGCTGATAATTATTTATGTCCTCTGGATCCAGATGTAGCTTTTTGAGGAGTGGTGCGACCACCACCATCTTTAACGGGGTAGGCCCCACTCCCTCTCTCAAGGAAGCATTCACCACCTCCTGGACCCACAGGCGAGTCCCCTCCTTCAATCACTCAATCAGCCAAAATGGGTGGGGGTTGAGTGAGCCAGTTGTGACATGCACAACCCAGCAGCTCGTCCACATCCTCGTCCCGTAAGTTTGGACCAGATGGTGCACTAGACACCTCTGCCGATGGCTCTGGGATAACTGTGGTGCCCAACTTGAGAGAAACCAGGGCGACTTTACCCTCAAAGTGTCGCACAAACTTGTCACAGTGGGTCTCTGAGGGTTCGATGGTGCCGCGTCTTGGGCCAGAGTGTAAAAGGCCGCAAACTACCCAGAAGATCGCCACAGGGTGACAACTCAAGGATGCAATGGAGGCAGCGAAGAAGTATTTCTTTGCTGTCTTCACCACTGTGGAATAGGCCCGATCATGGGCACTAAGCCATGCTTGGCCAGATTCATTCCAAGTTTTCCTCCACCCAAGCAACATCGGTCTTCCCTCTTGCTTCAGCACACGCAGCTCTGGGGTGTAGCAGGGGATCGGGTGGGCTTGGCAAGAGCAGAGAAGGCACCTGGGAGCAATCATGTCAGCCGCTCAAGTCGTCTCCTCATTCCACAGGGTGACCTGGGCATGGACAGGAGCACCACGTATGCCAGCAGGAAAATCCCCCAGAGCTGGCTGGAAGCCTTCTGGATCCAGGGGCAGACCACCTGAATGGGGCCCCCACCCCTCCAGAGGGGAAAAGGGGCCGAAAGTCCAAACCCCAGGAAGAAGTGATCTGACCATGACAACGGGGTTGAGGACAACACACACACACACACACACTACCTTTCTATAGGGTGTTCAAGGATAGGCTAGACATGCACATGGTAGGCATTTCATGAATGCAGCTGGCTGGAGCCGGGGGTCAGACTAGATGGCCCGGGAGGGCCCTTCTGACTCACTCTGTTTCTATGTTTGCAATGTTTCCCTGTGGTCTTGGAGGAAGCAAGCCTATGGCCCCTAAACATGGTTTGAAGGGACCCCCCCCCCCGAGGTTGGAGGCAGTGATGGGCAAGAAATCCATCTGCGGGTGGGAATCCATTAGATTCCCTGGGCTTGGCTCCCCAGACTCCAGTCCGCTCTGCAGCAGCCCAGAATCCAAGCTCCTGGTGAGCATGCACAGCATTCATGGGGCACTTGCCAGGAATTGAGCCCTAAGTATTGCACAAGCCACCAACAGCAGCAGGGAGGCAGAAGGTTGGTCAGATCTGCAGACAGTACTAAAGCAGGGGCAGTAGCCACAACTGAGGAGCAGGTACTCTGGATCCAGAAGGATCTGGACAGAGCAGGGGACAACAGGATGGCGTTCAGTGTGGATAAGTGCAAGGTCTTGCATTTGGGGCATAGGAATGGGTGTCATAAGAACAGGTTAGGTGACAAGTGGCTGGAGAGCAGCCCTTGTGAAAGGGACCTTGGGTTGCTGGTTGACTGCAGGCTGAACATGAGTCAGCAGTGTGGTCAAGAGGGCGAACGCCACCCTTGGTTGCATTGCCAGAAGCGTGGCTTCTAGATCAGCAGAGGTATTGCTGCCACTCTATACGACTCTGAAGTGCCCACAGTTGGAGTATTGTGCTCAGTTTAGGGCCCCTCATTACAGAAAGGATATAGCCAGGTTGGAGTCAGTGCAGCGTGAGGCCACAAGGTTGGTGGCCGGTTTGCAGGGGATGCCGTATGAGGCGAGACTGAGGGAACCGGGTCTCTTCAGCCTGGAGAAGAGGAGACTCAGAGGGGATCTGTTGGCGACATACAGGTATGTGAGGGGGGGTCACACTGTTCTCCCCTGCAGAGAAGGGCAGGACACGCTCCAGTGGAGCGAAGCTCAGGGAACCCAGGTTCCATTTGGATGCCAGCAAGTACTTCCTGATAATTAGGGCATGGAATGGGCTTCCACGGGAGGTCATGGAGGCCTCATCAGTGAGGGCATTCAAGGATAGGCTGGACAGACTAGATGGACCGGGAGGCCCCTTCTGACTCGCTCAGTTTCTATGCTTCAATGCAGGCTGCAAGGGTGAAAGGGGGGCACTGCCCAGGTGCGGGCTTGCAGCAAATCCCCAGCAACACCAACCTTCGACACCAGCCCTGCCCTGGGATCGCTCCTCAGCCCTCCGCTTGCCCAAAGCTTTCATTCTGCTCCCTGCAGAAGAGAGGCTGTTACTTCCTGTCCCACACGCTGCTGTCCGCAGTGCAGCGCTTCTCAAAACTTCACGCCTCGTTCTCTGAATTTTATAGGCCACTGCTAACAAACGGTCGTTTCTCAAAGCAAAAGAGGAAGCAGACACCTCACGTGCATGCCTGTGTGTGCGTACATACATATATCTCTTCTGGAAAGGGGCAGTTTCAAAGGAGACGGATTAGATCAGCCTGGAGCGAAAAGAGAGTCTTGGAATCGGGGAGCCGCCCAAAGAAAAAGCGGCAAGAGGACGAAATGAATCCACAAGGTAACCTGTTGCTCGGGAACTGGCCTCCTTGGAAGCTCCTAGTGGCTAGAAAGGGAAGGGAGTTTCTCTGCTTGCAGTGGGGCAGCCAAAGGTATGGGGAGAGGCTGGGATTTAGAAATGATTAGCACCAGTCCAAGTGGAAGGGAGCAACTTAGCAAGAGACGCACACAAGGTAGGGCTTGAGATAAGCCAGGAAAGGGTTTGCTGAGGAGTGGCATGACAGGACACACGTGGAAGACTCTGAGGGAAGGCAAAGAGCGAGGGAAAGCCCTCTAGCCCAATAGGGCTGCCAGCCAAATTATCCCTCAGAAAAGAATTAGAGAAGTAATCCACCCCACTATGTTCTTTGACCTTGAGTACTGGCGTGCATTGGCATATATTAGCAGGTATTCATGCAAAGCTCTTTGTCCTGAAGCCTTCCAGGACCTAGTGCCTTCCAGGCATTTTCAGCTTCCCTTTCCTCCAGCCCCAGCCAGATGCCCTTTGGTAGGAAAGGTGGGGATGGGAGTACAAAACCACTGGAAGGCACAAGGCTGGGGAAGTTCCTCCCTGGCCTAAGGTCTACCGTGACCTTCATTTCTGAACTTTCTTCTACAATGTTGTTATTGGGTTTTTCTTTGGGGGGTGTGGAATTTGAGGACTTCTGGGTGATGATGATGAACTAGTCCTCCCATCATCCCACACTATTGACCCAGCTGGTTAGGACTGATGGGCACCGGAGTCCAGCAACATCCAGAGGCTCCCAGCCCTAGCTTTGCACACTGCCACTCTGTTCAGCATGCTAAATTTGAGACATTCAATTCTTCCTTTCTTTCTTTCCTTTAGTACTAGCCAAGCTATTTTAGATATTCATTGATTTAAATAAAAGCTCATCCAGAGTAAACAGGGGGAAAGAGCACAATCAGCTCTCCTCTCTTGTTTTAAAACATTTTAAAATGTCAAGTGTAATTTGGATTGCGGTTGCTGAGCCCAGGGCGGGGGGGGGGGGGGCACATCCCTTACTTTCCTGTCACTTTTCCAATCTGAACTGCTGGCACTCCTGGCTCCTGCCACCACCCCATGGCGCACAGATCTCCAGGAGAGAAAATAGCTGCTGTGGGGCAGAGGAAGCAACTCAGATAAGGAAAAAGAAAGAAAGTGTGGGGAAAGCATTAAACACGCCTAGCACCAAAAACCACAATCTGAATGGGAGCGGGGGCTGCTTTTCCCCTTAAAAAAACAAAAACAAAAAAAGTGAGGGAGATCTAATTGAGATTCTCCTGCTAATTCTTCTCTGACTCTTGAGATCACAAGCAAGTAGACAGCTAATTTTAAACCTAAAAGTAGCTAACCCACTCCCAGCTTTTTTGCTGACTGGGTGACTTCAAGATCTTTTGAAGACAAGGATCCTGGCCTGTAGCTGTTGCAAAACCCGAAGAGCAGAGACAGGGGAACAAAGTCCTGCCTGATATAGCTTCCCACTCTTTTTCTCCCCTCCCAAACAAAAATGCATTCTGGATTTTCATGGGTGTGTATGTGCACACACAGAGATGCGCATTCTTTAGATGGCCAGAGTATGACAATTCATTGAACTCACATACGGTCCTGGATGGATTTCTTTGCCAAGGTGACTACAAAACCCCTTAGACAAGTTAAATGCTATGCTTCCGAATCTCTATTTTCTTTCGGAATGGCTAAACTGGTGCTTTATCAGGGTTCCCTAAGCCATCGTCCCAGCATTCTGGGGAAATGTCGGGGTTGTTAAATCACCCTGTTTATTTCCACCTTTCAGGATATGAGTATTGGAAGAGGGAAGTATCAGCACGCTTACAGAAACCTTTAGAGGGGGGGAAAACCCTGAACTGCATGCTGGGAAACCCCAGAACAAACCCCATGCGGACTGTGGATGATTGACTAACTTTTGCAGAGAAGAGGTGGAAAAACAAGGGGGAGGGGAAATGGAGTGTTGTTTGACCTCTCCCTCGTCAGCCCTACCTGCAGATTAGCTGCTAACATTGCTTGCTTTTACTTTGTGCGGGGAGCCAAGGAGATAGACAAAGGGAGAGATTACAGGTTCTGCAAGATATAACGGCATGTTACAAAAGCTCCTCCACCAGAAATCATCTGAAAATGACAGGGCTAAATGTGCCATGTGGAGAAAACGGATGGGTTTCTACTTTTCCTGATTCCATTATTTAAATTGCATGTGGCAGAGGGCAGCATTATGAAGTGTTTGAATTTCTGAACAGAAACATCATTTTTCCTTTTTGTTCCGCGGCCTCAACCAGGTTGCCCCCGTTAGTTCCAGCACTGCTGGATGGGGACGGAGTTCTGGTCCAGCACAACCGGAGGGCGCCAAGCTGAGGAACACCAGTCTCCTCAACCATTTTATAATCGGATGGTGTACCGTGGCTCCATTCTCCCGTTATGGTGGTTGAGTGCCCCACTGTAGTACAAAAAGCGGTCCTCTGTTTGCGGGTGTTCTCCGTTTCAAGACTGTTGTTGAACCTCCGGTCTATGGCACCCCAGGATCCCAATGGAGCCTTTAGGGTTCTCCAGAAGACATGGCCCATGTCCATCAGCTGCCCTTCATTTGGTGGTTCCCTGGCTTTTGCACGGGTTTTCCCCATCCTAGAAGGTTAACAGCACTCTCCTAAGGCCTGGGTACTGGCAGTCAGAGTTCTTAGCTGCAATGGCCTGACATCTTTGGCCACTGGTACAGTTAAGTCATGTTAGATTCTAGACTTAATCGTCTTGGGGGAGTGGCTTTATCCAGCCATGCATATTGCTTCAGTCATGAAGCGCACAACTAAGATTCCTCTTCTCCCACCCTCCCTCCCTCCACCACTTCAGGTTTAAAAGCACTTCTGCATTTCTGAGAGGTAAGAGTAGGGGCACAGAAACCCTTTCACCCAGCAGCCCAAACTCCATTTTGGGGAAGTCCTTGGGAGCTGCATTTCAGTGAAGGGAAGGTTCAAAAGCAAAAGTGGCAGGGCAAAAATTCCAAAAAAGTCAGCATACTTTAGCTGAAAGCTCTTACAGTCACCAGCAATGGAGCCATAGAAGAGGCGTGTCGCGCTTTCAGAATGTGAAAAAAGAAGCACAAAAGCTCTAAAAACTTTGATCAATCAGGAGTCAAGGGAAGGGGTTAAGGGAAGGGGGCATGGCTGTCTGCATGGAACCAGAGGGCTGTACCAGAACCTTTGGAGAGCTGGAATTGGCTGCTGGCTCCAAGATTTTCCATGCCTGTGTTAGACTCCCTCCCTCTCCCTCTCCCTCCCTCTCTAAGTTTTATTCTAAAAAAACCTAATACAAAGAAAAACTAAAAACAACATCAATCATCAGGAACATCGGACCTACTGGGTCAGCCCCCCACAGTTTTTCTTTTTATGTTAACTTATCAACAGATTTAAATCTATGTGAAGCCCCGTTTCTCTAGCCAATAATAAAAAGAGTCCCAAGTTTGAAAGAAGTCAGTATCTTCTTTCTCCTTCAGTGACAAAGTCAATCTGTCCATTTTTGCACAGTCCAAGATCTTTTTTAGGATCAGTTCATTGGTGGGTGGTTCTTCACTCTTCCAGTGTTGGGTAAATGCAATCCTCGCCGCAGTAATTACATGTAAAGTCAAATACATTTCTTGTTTACTAATATCATCAGGTATAATGCCTAATAAGAAAACTTCAGGTTTAAAAGCTAAGGGTTTTTGTAACATTTCCTCAAGCCATTTATGTATTTTATTCCAATACTTTTTCGCTTTATTGAAAGTCCACCACATATGATAGAAAGTACCCAATTTATGTTTACATTTCCAACATCCATTTGACATATTTGGAAACATCTTGGCTAGTTTATTTGGTGACAAATACCATCTATAAAACATTTTATACAAGTTTTCTTTATATGAAGTTGCTAATGTTACCTTAATATTTCTCTCCCACAGCTTTTGCCATTTTTCTAATTCAGTATTATACCCAAAGTTTTGTGTCCACATTATCATAGTTTCCTTAACCTGTTCATCTTCTAGTAAGAAATTATATAATCTTTTAATCATTTTCTCATCTGATTTAAGCATCACCTGATCAAATGCTGTTAAATCCTTATTCTCTCTCTTTTTCTAAATGTATACATATATACTCTGAGCATGTGTATTTTTGCATTTTCCCTTAACACATAGCACCATTATGTCTACAGGAATAAAACAGTCTAGCCCTGCTGCTAAACATATAAGCACCATTTTGTTTTAGAAAACACATATTTTTTAAGCAAAAATAATAAAATGAGCATTTGGAGTGAGCAGAGGCGCATACCTGGTCAGCTCCCCCATCCCAGTCCACCTGAAAAGAGAGAGGGGGAAATGTGCCCGGCATCCACCCCAGGGCTCCCCAAGATGTTCATGCAGGCCCAGCTGCTGAAGTGAGGCCTAATGGCCTTCCCTCCCACCACCTGCTCCTCTCTGGATGGTTACTGGGGCTGCTGCATTGCACCTCCAGCTCTGGCATCTCCTCTCTCATTCTGGGAGCTGCTTATCCCTTCCATTTCCTCTTTGTTGTCCAGAAAGAGCCAAAAACCCCACAGTCATGAAATTTGCTTTAGTTCCACTTCAGTTCCCCAAAACAACACTTTCGCGTCTGCAGTCAGTTTTAGTTTCTAGTTAAACACACCTCCCCATCCCCCTCCACAAGGGTCAGGAAACTGTGTTTGACAGAGAGGACCCAGAAACTGGGAAGCGGGACCCTCCGGAGGGCAGGGGAGGGGAGGCATGGCAAGGGCTCCCAGAGTCACATTCGTCTTTTCCCCTTCTCCCAGGTGGAAAGGCTTTTGGGGTTCTGAAGACCCAGCAGGAGGAACTCCTTGACTCCCTCAACAAGGTAAGGCAGACCCTGAATGCCATGGGAGGAGAAGGCAGCACACTGGACCCCGTTTGGAAGAAGGCCTTTGCGTTTCACCCTCAACGTGCCTCGTCTCCTTCTGGGTGCACCGAGGATGGGGAGTAGCAGTTGGCACCAGCTGGCTTGCCCTGCTCGTGTCCCCAAGATATGCAGAGCAATTCCCAGAGCGGTTTTGCAACTGATTTAAATTAAAAGCCTCCACTTTTTTTAAAAAAAAAAAAAGCGGGGTGTTAAAGAACATGCATAATATTTTTGTATTTTATTGTATGTTATTTTGTGTTGTGAGCCGCCCCGAGGCTTCGGCAAGGCACGGCATAGAAATGTTTTAATTAATTAATTAATTAATTAATAAAATAGCTGGAGAAAATTTACATGAGATGGGGAGGAAGGCATACCTTAACCAGAGAGTGCGGGCTTTTTCAGTTCAGCCCCCTAGCTGTGGAAGGAGTCATGTCGAAAACCCCAGGGAGGCTCTGCCATTCAGAGCAGACAATACTGAGCTAGCCTAGCCAGTGAGCCGCCTTAGTGCAAGGCAGCTGCCTGGCCTGAAGTGCCTGATCCTGCTCCATCTTGCAAGCCAAGCAGGGTCCAACCTGGTTGAAGTCTGGGTGGGTGACTTCAAGTTGCAAACCACCCAGAGACCTTTGCCTACAATATAGAAATGTAATTAATAATAGTGAAGTGGTCTATTTGAAATGGGAGAGGAGGGACAAGGTTTCAAAGCAATTTCAACTTCTGTCTGTGGTGCAAAGCCATCTGCCCCCAAGTGCCACTTGATCGTGCTGGAGGTGGCTCCCACTGGCAGTTACCTGGCAGCCCCATTTGTATAGGTATTTATTTATTATACTGGTATCCCCTCCCCCCTTTTCCCCCCTTCAAAGCAACTCAAGGCAGCTAGCATAATCCTCTTCCTCCTCTCAATCTTATCTTCAAAACAACAACCCTGTGAGGTAGATTAGGCTGTGAGTCTGTGACTGGTCCAAAGTCACCCAGTGAGTTTTGTGGCCGTGTGGAGATTAGAATCCGGATCTCCCAGATCCCAGCCCAACGCTATAATCACTACACTGGTTCTCGAGTACAAAGCTTTTGGTTTTTGTTTGTTTTAGTGTTTTTGATGTTCCTGCCACAGGGCTCAGTAGTCTGTTCCCCAAATCCATAATGAAGGTAGTTTTCAGGAACCCATTGTTGATAAAACAGCTCATAGGTTATTTGGAAAGGGGAAATTGGTCTAGGTTTCCACAATACAATAATCAACGATGAGTAGCAATTCATAACAAATGAACTGTAATGGTATTATGAACTCAGTCAAAATTATTACTACATTGTATTTATACTCCACCTTTTTTCCCCTCTTGTGAGGAACCCAAGATGGTTGCATTATATAGCTGCATTTTATCCTTACAACTGCAACCCTTTGTACCACCTGCTTTGGCTGTGAGGCAGTGCAGAAATGAAATATTTTTATTAATACCTAATAAAACATAATAAAATAGATTGGGCAGACAGTCTATTGCAGGTCCAAAGTCAAAGCGAGTTTCATAGCAGAGCAGGGACTAGAACCAGGAGCTCCCCAGTCCAACATTCTAACAATCATGGCATACTTGCTCTCAGAGTCAATGTATTTATTTCTGTGCTGCATAACAAAACAAAAAGACAACACAGCAAAATCTGCAAGACTGCAGCCTTGAAATTACATCCTGTTATACTCACTGGAGATGGGATACTCTGGATGCTGTTCTCACCCCTAACTGAGTTTTTTCTGCCCTTCCCATCTTCTACAGGAATTCCTAGATGACCCTAAATACAGCACGGATGAGGACCTTGCTGAAAAATTAGAATTATTTAAGAGTGAGTGGCACGGATGGGGGACTCGAGATGATGGGAGGGATGGAATGAGATATTGCAGTATACTAGAGAGAGCGCAATGGTATTATTATTATTATTACATTCCATTTATAGCTTTGCCCCTTTTTCCTCTTGCAGGGATTCCAAGGTAGTAGAAATAGCAATGATAAACAATGTAATTATCATTCTGCTAGGTGGCTTCCAAAAAAAAAAAAAAAAAGGAGAACATAGAGAGCTGCAACAAAATGTTGCACCAGAGACTACTTCTGTTTAAGGTTCCAGCCACTGCATTCCATTCCCCTTCCCAATTTTTCCTTGTTTTCTCCCCACAGCAGTCAGGGTTCTGTGTACTGTGAAAATTCTGTATCACCCTTTTGTGATTGTTGTTAGTCGCGAAGTCGTGTCCGACCCGTCGCAACCCCATGGACAACATTCCTCCAGGCCTTCCTGTCCTCCACCGTCCCCCGGAGTCCACTCAAGCTCACACCAACAGCTTCAGGGACTCCATCCAGCCACCTCCTCCTCTGCCGTCCCCTCCTTCTCTTGCCCTCAATTGTTCCCAGCATTAGGCTCTTCTCCAGGGAGTCCTTCCTTCTCATTAGGTGGCCAAAGTATTTCAGTTCCATCTTCAGGATCTGGCCTTCTAAAGAGCAGTCAGGGCAGATCTCCATCTTGGAGTTTTTTCTCCATTTGCGGGGCTTGAACTGTGTATGGACGGACTTCTGCCTAATCCTTGCTCTATTCAGTTATCCTATTTCTCCATAAACATCTATGGACAGCTCTTTTGTTCCATCACTTGGGACATCTTAAAAGACTTTCGGCATGTCAAACAGGGACTGAAATGGTTCTTTCCACATTTTCTTTATATCTGTCTCCTCCTTTTCCAGCCATTCAATTCCATTCCCCGCCACCATTCTGGTTGCCAGGTTTTTCCTTTCACCATTTATTATGGGATAGTTTGGGTTCATCCACAAGGACTGTTTTCCCACAGGGTCACAATGAATTTGCTGATACCTCCTTGCTGTTGTGTGAGTTGCGCAGTTCTGGCTAGAGCTCCGTGAACCCAGAACAACTTGTCTCTGTGTTAGAAGGATGGATGGTATCAATGAGACAACTCCATCCTGGATAAATCTATCTATTGTTTTTGAGAGGCAAGAATAGAACCTCCATGTTCAGGAGCAGTCTATACCTTGAAGTACAGAAAGCTTTAACTATTGAGTGGTATAAAGCTGTAACAAGCACCTAACCATGGCGACGGACTCTAGCATACCCAGCTGTGAATGTCAGGGGAATGTCTTAACAGCATTATGGGCCCCAGGCAAAGCGGTGTACTGGGGCCCCTACGACAACTACTGTTAATTTTAGAAGTTTTCCAATTTTCCAAGGGTTAACATATACAGATTAGTATGGGGCCCACGGGCAAGTGCCCATCAGGCCCGTGCATTAAGACGGCCCTGGGCACAGGGTGAGAAATCTACTTAGAGATGGGATGTTGCCCAAGATAGACCTTATATATCAGTGCAGTTCTTGTGATCTCATATTACAGTTATATTATACTGTCTCTGCTCTCTTTTTTTGGCAGAGAAATATATGGACTTTGACCTCAATGCACAAGGGGATATAGGTGAGTTTTGCTCATACACCCAGTTTGTGCTGGTGTGCATATGAGCCTTTCTCTGAACAAGGACTGTTCCTGCTCCCAAATTGTGATCAGTAAAGGATACATAGCAGGCTGTAGACTAGATAGGCCCTGAGGTATTTTTCCTTATCCCTGGCAGTTAAATCAAGAGACAGTCTTAAAAAGTTTGTCCACTGGAAGAAAAAGAGGTTTCCGTGCAGAAAAGCAAAATATACTTTTCAGCAAAGTCCTATATGGATGGCTCTCTTTGTTTCCTATCAGCTCAGTTTCCCGAGTCCATTCCATGCAGTTCCACATGAATCTGCAATTCAAAATTGTGAATTTTTAAATTCACAATTTTAAAACAGAAATCTGTTTCAGGGAGCCCAGACGAACCAAAATGGCCATGTGGTTCTGTTCCTTTGTTCTGGCATTGGCACCCCTCCGAAACAGATGTGCCCTACCCAGGGGGGAGAGAAACACGGTGCCTAAGCAGAGTGTAGGGAGGCTCCAGAAGGCTCCCTGGCCTGAGGGGCATGAGCTTCAGCCTCCATGGAAGAGCCTTCTCCAACCTGGTTTCCCGCTGACATGTTAGATTACAGGTCCAGCATGTCCTTGCTAAAACGGGCATTTGCCTCCTCCTAGCTGGGTCAGAGAAAAAATGTTGGGCATTTGCCTCAGCTCAAATTTGTCTTAAAGCTATTCTCTGAGGTCTTGTATCTTGTACGCCTCCCTGCTGGTTATTCTCTTCCCCCTCCAGATGCCTGACAGCAGGGCTAGAAAAACTCCTACCTAAGAGAACCACTGCTGCCAGTCAGTGTTGACAACACTGGGCTAGATGGACCAAGGGTACAGCTCTGTATAAGGCAGCTTCCTGTGTTCCTCTCTTCTTCCCTAAGATATTATGGCCCTGAAGCGCATGTTGGAAAAGCTGGGTGCAGCCAAGACCCACCTGGAGCTGAAGAAGATGATCACCGAGGTGACCGGAGGGATGAGCGAAACCATCTCCTACCGGGATTTTGTCCGGATGATGCTGGGAAAGCGATCGGCTATCCTTAAAATGTAAATACTATGTGCCCTCCCTGCTCCACTTGCAGGATGCCATCTTCTCTAGCTTTCCTTATATCATCCTTCCCCAACCCAGCACCCTTCAGATGTTCCAGACTATAGGTTCCATCATCCCTCACTATTGGCCAGACTGGCTGGGAGCACCAAGCTGGGAAAGCCTTCCTTAGGGAGGGAGGGAGGGAGGACACATGCAATTGATGTGAACTGTACTTCACACTGGGCAGAAGACAGATCACCTAGACTTCTGCCAGCAGATCCTGATTTGTAGTGGATCAGCAAGAGTTTTGCTGTTGCAGCAGCAAGAGCAGCCGATGTGCCTCTCCTTCCACAGCTGGTCCTCTAAATTAGGCTGTGGGAATGAAGAACACTTGGGAAGAAAAAGTTTGTATGAACGGACTGTGAATTCAGTTCAGAGGCACCACCTGCTTGTTGTCTTCCAAAGGGTCTTTTGCACGTGCTCTGCTTGGCAGATGTTGGGATCTGGAGAAAAACAACCTGGATCCTGCAGGCCTGCCCAGCTCTCATAGTTCCCACTACTCAAGGTGCATAGAGGTTGCAACTCAGGCAAGCAGAAGCATTTGAAGGTGGGGCCCGCCACAGGCTGGGTGATGTCTGAACCCAGCCAGCCCCTGACAACACACCAACACTGAAGAGTTAAGCACAAGTTGCATGTGGGTTATCATTGTCTGGACCCAGCAGAGATAGTGAACCATGGTGAACAAATCACAGTTCACAACTCAACAACAAGACATGGGTCTTTATGGGTTGTTCAAGCTTAATGAGCCATGGCTTATTGTTGCAGCTGAATTCAAACACAGCATCCCACATTTTAAAAATCAACAGGAACCCACAGTTCAACCAACAGCCAACCTCTGAGTGTCGGCTATTGTGTGGTCTGAACTTAGTCACTGAGCGTGGCCACCAGCACCACCACAGACCCCACCCCGGGGGCATTTGCCTGTCTTCAGCTCCCTTCCAGAGAGCAAGGGATCCAGGTGACTCTAGAATAAGCAGCTCCTCATCCCAGCATTGACAGAGTCAAGGGCACAACAGGTGAAAAGACTTGGCGTTAACTGGAAGCAGATGAGATACCAAAGACAGGTGTCAAGGACAGCTGCCACTGCTGAATTCATCTGCCCTTTTCTTTTTTTCTGCAGAATTCTGATGTATGAAGAGAAAGCCAAAGAAAAGGATGAGAAACTGGCTGGGCCCCCTCTAAAGAAAAAGATTTCAGATCTTCCTTAAACATTTAACTCCCACCCTCTTTTATTTTAAAGCATCTTGACAAACAGGCTTATTTCAAATACTACTTTTAAAGTCCTGCCATGTGGGAAATCATGTCTCATTAATTTAGAGGGAAGAGTATTTTCCTACAAAATGACATGCGATTCTGCATGCTTCCCTGTTTTGTTTTGTTTTTAATGTGTTAAACTTGTGGAATACAATAATGGATCACAACATCATTCGTTATACAAGGAACCCTTGCAGTGCATGTGTGCCTGCTTATAGGTTGGCCCTACTGGGTTCTGTGGAACTTTGTTATCTTCCCTTACCCAGGTGTGAGAGCATAAGAAGACACCCCTCGATCAGGGCAAAGGCCTTATTTAGCCCATCATCTGATGCCCGAGTGGCCAGCCAAGTGTCCCAATGGGAAGCCCACAAAAAGAGCAAAGAGCTGGGAACAGCTCTTACAATTCACCCCTAAAGAGGAAACACATAAGAGGACACCAAGTTAACACGTCTCTGTAGATGCACATTTAGAAACAATTGTCCTATTTTAAACAAAAGTGCACTATGCCCCCCATCTGGCCCAGAGTGGGCAAGACCGGACCAGGTGACCGGGGCAGCTTGCCTGTTCCATCAGCTGCCCAGGTGCTCCGAATTGTTGACGGAAACAGTTCTTTACCTGCAAACCAGACCTGGGTAGAATGTCCTCTGAGAAAGTGGCCACACAGCCACATTAGACATGGGTGCAATGGCATTTTCCCAGCAATGTCTCCATGGTACTGAGACTCCTATTTGCCTTTGAACCTGGAGTAGATATACAGCCAGCATGACTGGTAACACAATGAACTGAACGGGACTAACTTCTGAGGAGCCATGCACAGAATTGTAAGACTGCAGTTCTGTCTACACATACCTGGGAGCCAGTCTCACTGTACTCTAACGCAAGTCCCACTAAGTTAAGATAGATAAAAATTGTGCATTAACACTCAATTTCAGCCATGAGTACAAATATCAGATTATATATATTCCCTGCCCCATTTTTCCCCAGGAGGGCAGCCGCAGGAATAAAGAGCGCCATTGAAAAGATGTGGGGTTTTGCTTGAAGAGCCAAGGGCAGGGGGGAAGAACTGGAATGTTCAGAAAACAAGAGAATGGGGGACACATTGTGAGACTAGAGACCCGCAAACGTTGTCAAGAAGAGGACCCAGGGAACTACTGATGGGTCAGCTTGATGTCAACATCTAGAAAGCTTTTTGAACAACTTTCCCCAGCCTGGGGCCCTTCAAGCTGTACTGGACTATACCTCCCCAAATTCCTCATCCAACAAATTTGCAGGTGACATCAAACTGGGTGCCGTAACCACTACATCACACAGGCTCACAGGTAAGAGCATGAGTCTGGGACTCAGGCCATCTGGGTTCGAGTCCCCGCTCAGCCATGGAGCCAACTGGGCGACTTTGGGCCAGTCGAAGGCTCTCTGTCCAACCTACCTCACAGGGTTGTTGTTGTGGGGATAAGATTGAGAGCAGGAGGGGCAGGATAAGCCACCTTGAGTTCTTGAGAATGAAAAAGTGGGACATAAATCTAATAAATAATAATAAGTGATACCTTAAAAACCAGAAGCAGGATCCAAGACAGATTTGTGGACAGTCCAAGAACAAGTCATACCAAATTAAGCTTTTTTGAATGGGTTACTAGGCTGGTAGATCAGGAGAATGCTGCAGACATAAGATATCTTGATATCAGCAAGGCTTTTTAACAAACTTGCCTATGATATTCCTGTTGGTAAGCTAGAAAGCATGAGCCGGATGCTGTCAAAGTTACGTAGATTATAGCAGGGTGGTGGTCTATACCCAGAGAATGCTTGTCACTGGCCTCTCATCAGCCTGGTGAGAAGTGACAACGGGTGCAGGCAAGGTGCCAGTGATGTTCACAGCTGCACATGTGAACCATATGAAGGAACAGATGAAGTGTTCATCCAATCCACAGTTGACATCCTTTTGGAGGATACCTTAGAAGACTTCAGGAGAATATAAGACAAATTCCTGAGCATGAGCGTGTCACTGACTACACATCAAGGTGGCTATATATTATCTCTGGTATTAGAGGAAGTCCATCTCTCAGTACCAATTGTTGGGGGACGTGATTGGGAAGATGCTATTGTACTCCTATAGGCTGGACATACACATGGTGGGCATGTTGTGAGTGGAGCTGGCTGGAGCCGGAGGTCAGACTAAATGGCCCGGGAAGCCCTTTCTGACTCACTCTGTTTCTATGTTTTGAGCTTCAGATTGGCCAACGTGAAAAGGGGATGCTGGACTAGGCAGCCCTTTGGTATCACTGGCACTCTCTTCTTGACTGGGTTCACATGACATGGCAGCCACTTGTGGGTTGTTACCCATGATGGGTTGTTGTGTCATGCAAATTTAGACCTATCCCTGGAGGGAAGCTTTCTTGAGGGCAGCATGCCTCCCTCATAAGCACATAGGTTGTCACACCCATGATAGGTTGCCATGTTGTCTAAACTCAGGTGACAACCTGATTGCGGATGCCAGGAACTGGCTAGCAAGCAGCTTGGGAAAGGCATCACCAACCCCTTGTCACTCTTTCCAAGTTCGCTGAAGCAGTGGACAGTTGAGCCATCAAAGTGCTCAAGCGGCATTTAAAAACAGCTGGTATTGGCTTTCCACCAAGATCATGCACTGTTTTTGGCTTACTGCAGGGCTTTTCGCCTTTCCCCTTCTCTTTCTCCTGAGAAGTCTGACTCAACAGACGACTGTCATGATCTGATAGGCATTGACAACCCTTTAAAGCGCCTGAATAGCACCTTGGAGGGGTTGTTAGTGGTTAGGAGTCGTTACACACTGCACAAAAACATTGTATTTATTTTATTTGTGCAAGGGCAGGAATTAAGCTTCTTGCTGGATTGGTGTCAGGGGGAGTACCTCCAACCAGAGTGAAGCAGGGACAGGGCACTGCTTCAAAAAAAGGTCGAAGTCAGGTTTTTCTCCATTTTGCTTTCTCTTGACAGCTGTCAAAAGGCAAGCTGCCAGAGGAAATCAAAAGCACAGGCAATCTTGGCTTGTGAAAATGGGGTGGCGAGAGTCAGATTTCCTTTGTGGCTTGATCCTCATCTCTTTTTCCCGATAGCCCTCAGAACAAGCTGCGCTTTTTCCTGAGGCTCTGTCTGCTCAGCAAAGTGCACCCGACTCAATTTTGTGTCCCCCATTTGTTTTTTTAACTGGGATGTATGGCTATATGTGTACCAATCAAAATTCGCCCACCTTCTGAACTCCGACAGCATTGCCCCACTGAGGGTCCTAATTTCGGCACTTGTTTCCTACACAGTTGTGTGACTGCAGCCAAATTCTTTTTTTTTTTAATAAAGCAAGAATTTTTGCACACATTGAGCATGCCAAAACAATAACTGTTTCCCAACCACTAACAGTCCTCCGAGGTGCCTCTTGAGCACTTTGAAGGGGCTATCAGTGGCTGTGTAAACGGAAATAGCAAAAGTTGGTTGCCAAGTTAGGCTTAAGCATCTCAGGGAAAGAAAACGGAGTAAAGTGGGGGAAAGCTGCAGCAAGTTAAAATCAGCTTGTAATCATGCTGGGGAGGGAAAGACAAGTCTGTCCTGCCTCAGTGTCCCCTGGGATACCAGTGGGGCGGGGGGGGGGATCAAGGGAGAAAGAGGATGAGCAATCCATGAGAAGCCCCTTCATCTTGCCCACTATGTGACATGTGAATCTGCCCTATATGTTCTTGACAAGACGGCCAAAACCAACAAAATGAATTTCAATGGAGAGAACCTCTAAATGGCTGCATTTCCATAAGAAGAATCATTTCTACAAATGCATCCTGGCCTGACCACAGGACATGTGAAAAGAAGCTAAGGCTTTTAGTTAAGCCACATACTAGACATGAGCTACAGCAGTGCCACACAGTGGCAATAGCGGTTAATGCAATTCTTCATTACATCAGAAGACATCGAGTGTCCAGCATGCAAAAAGTAATAATTTCAGCGTGCACTGATTGACACTTTACCTTAGGAAAAAGATTCTCGACAGTATAAACTATTTGGAAGTGTAACAGACTGCTTCAGAAGGTGGCCAGCTCTCCTTCATTACAGGCTTTCAAGTGGTGACAGTGGAAGGCCCACCTAGCAAGGATGTTGTACTAGAGGGTTGGACTAGATGACCTTTCAGATCTCTTCCAACCTGATGGTTTCATTAATCTAATCCCATCTTCCCTACACATTTCCCTATGGAGAGAAGAAGGCAGAAAGACACCCCATAACTAGCCAAGCAAAACCTTCTCTCCCTCCCTGAAGGCTCTCCACTTCCATGAGATGCTACAAACTTATAAGGAGAGCCCTGCGGGATCAGACAAGTTGTCCATCTAGTCCGACACCCTGCTTTCAGCAGCAGCCAAGATGATGCCTCTGGGAAGCCTCGAAGGAGGACACAAGGGCAATAGCTGTTCACAGCTGTTACTCCCCAGAAATTGGCATTTCATGGCATATGGCCTTCGAGCACAGAAGCTCTGTAACTTCAGAAAGAACATAAGGGAGGTGAGACATGATGGAGTTTCAACTCAAATTTCAGATGATTAATTGATGAGAGCATATTTTAATTTGTGAAGCTGCAACTGTACTTATTTACTTTGGACTAGAATCACAGACAAACAAAACAAAAAATCACAGAATAGTAGAGTTGAAAGGGGCCTAGAAGGCCATTGGGTCCAACCTCCTGCCCATGCAGAATTCCAGGTTAAAGCATCCCTGACAGAGGGTTGTCCAACTGCCTCTTGAATGCCTCCAGTGTGGGAGAGCCCACAATCTCCCTAGATAACTGGTTCCATTGCTGCACCGTTCTAACAGGAAGTTTTTCCTGAGGTCCAGCCGGAATCTGGCTTCCTGTAACTTGAGCCTACTATTCCCTGTCCTGCAATCTGGGATAATCAAGACGAGATCCTGGCCCTCCTCTGTGTGTTGCCCTTTCATGTACTTGCAGAGTGCTGTCATGACTACCCTCAGCCTTGACAAATCCCCTGATCATCTTTGTCACCCTCCTCTGAACCTTTCCCAGTTTGTCTGCAACTGCAGAGCCTAGAACTGGACGTAATACTCAAGATGGGGCCTAACCAGTGCCAAATAGAGAGCAACTGGTACCTCACTACTTACTGGCTGCACCGGCACAGAATAGTAAGCCAAGAAGCAGGAGAACCCTGCTTGGCTCCTCCTGCTAGCAGAGGATGTGAAATTATCAGGCACTGAAAGATTACATTGTCTGAGCTAAGAATCCTGGCTTGTTAGTCCCAGGTAAGCCCAGATTTGGAAAGCAAGACATCCTGGTTTGTAGTGCTGGCTTGTAAAGCAAGCAACAAGGCAAGAACCCTAATTTGGATGACATTCAATTCCTCATCAGTTTAGTGACTCACATGGGGGGAAGGACCAAGCAGGAATGGGTTCATTCATTATAGACCATCATTCTCCAGAATCATGGCTTACTGTCCAATGCAAACACAGCTACCATGAACCAACAGTTTTACGCGTTTGCTCATATGTAGAACTATACCTAAAGAATCAAGAAAAGGGCTAACCCATAAGAAATTAAATGCTCATTGAAATTCTTACAAGCCTTCAGTTTTCCGATATACATGAAAAGCACATTGGAAGCTTAGAGTCGGAAGGTTTGGGTTCTTCATACCTGAAGACGTTAACAGACAGGAAATGTATCTGATGCTGCACCTAATCACAGCGGCAAGGATTGCATTTGCTCAATATTGGAAAAGTGAGGCGCTGCCCACCGATGGATTGATTGTAAGAAAGATCTTGGACTGTGCAGAAATGGATAGATTGACTATCACTTAAGGAGAAAGAGGATACTGACTTCTATCGAACTTGGGATTCTTTCTATAATGGACTTGGAGAAACGGGAGAAACGGGAGAAATGGCTGGAGAAACGGGACTTGGCGTAAACTTAGAGATGTTTTCAAATTATTATAGATTGATTTGAATTTGACTTTAGAATGTTAAAAAATATGTAGTAGGAGGCTGACCCAGTAAATCCGATGTATGTGATGTTTGATGTTTTTAGTGTTAGTTTAAAATTTTAATAAAAAATTAAACAAAAAAACAGAAGCCTCATTGGAGCATTTCACTTTCAGCCACTCCCATACACTTGCATGCAAATGCCCACAATGCACTTTGGACACACGCACCCAGGGCATGATCCTGCCTTAGTACTTCTTACGCTCATTCCTCCTTAGGACACAGTCTTATACATGTGTACTTAAAAGCAGTCCTGCTTTGATCTGTAGGACTTTTTCTGTCTAAAATTGCAGAAACTCACCTGCCAAGACCCGGTGTACATGTCATGGCACTCCTGGGTTAAATTAGGTTTGCTCCGTCCTGCTGAAGTCTAGCAGGAAGGAGCAGACATGATGCATAACTGCTTGCACCAAGGAGAGCGTCAGCTGAGCAATCTGAGTTTGCAGAAGGGAACTGTTGGACACTGCATAAAAATGAATAGCTGAGTCAGAACGCGAGGAGCTGATGCTGTCTAGTAAATGCAGCTGTGTGAACTCTGGGGAGACCAACTAACTAGCAGAAGACCACCAGCACAAGATGTGGCACTGCATTTCTAGATCTGTCGATTCCTTAGTCTGGTGAAGCCCTTGTAGCAGCAACTATATCGAACAGTCAGTCTCCATCAGATTCCAAAGGCAGCTCAAGAGGTTGTGCTCAACCTTTAAATTTTACATGGTTCTTAGCCTTTTTATTCCTTCCTGGCGGTGCTGCAGTACTGCTCAACATTTCATCACTAATTTGGGGGATACAAAACATGGGGAAACCATTGACCCATTTGGAATGAAGGCACAATATTAGAGCCAGATCTGACTGCCCAGATGGTGCCATTAATACCAGCTTACTGGGTACCCGACCCCTAATTGAATGGATCGTGTAGCCCAGTGATTCTCAACATGGCCACATGCCCCCACTCCCACAGGGGCCATGCCATATTTCTAGGGGGCTGCAGTAAGTTTCCGAGGTGCCACCCAAACTTAACTGTATCATCAATTTAGCATAATCCTCTCATCTCTGCACTGATTACAGCAGTGTAAATATTCAAAATTGCTACAGTTTGCAATATATATCGGAACTGGGAAAAGCAGTCTGTAATAAATGAAATTTTATAATCATTAGAAACCAACCATGTGATATAATTTAGATGAATAAATCAGGCTCAGAAGGGGGCCATGGGCTAAAATGAGCTGAAAACCCCTGATGTAGCCACGAAGAAAGAACCAACCAACAGGAAGGAAAACTGGTGCAAAAAAAAAAAAAAATGCAGTGTGTCAGAGAACAGTTTAAGAGGCCGTGTAATCCCCCTTTTTGCCTTGTAATGCTCACCCACAAAAGCTTGGGGTAACCCTCCTTAAGAATGCACCTTCTTGTACACGACCCTTCCTTTCCATTGGTATGAGGCTCTTCCCATGGGAAGCCAGTTGGTTGTCAAGTTAACAGAATGGTAAACTAGCCAAGCCTTCAGTTGAAACCAGCACAATTAATTTGTCCTTATCCAGGTATCCTAACACACCTGAAGCTTGGGAAATGGCTACACAATATTTCTGGTTGCACTGGGCTTGTGGAACTCCCTGCCTCAGGAAGCCCGTTAAGTGATTTCTTTCTGGATAAACTTCAAGAGGCAGCTAAAACATTTCCACTTTGTCTGGCCTCTGGCAAATGACCAGGATGCACTGCATTTCATGTCTCTAGATTTTAGCTTTGCAAGCAGTCCTGTAGCTGTGTTCTTCCCATTTTGTGTTTAAACAGATACAGTATAATCTTGTGCATGCCCACTCAGAAAAAGCCCCATGATGTCCAGAGGAGTTTAATCTAATCCTAGGTGACTTTAAACTTGCACCTGTAAAATGCAATTTAACCTGTAAGTCCCATTGAATGTAATATGACTTACTTCTGAGTAGACCAGCAGAGTTCCACTGGTAGTGGCTATTTAAAATGGAAACCTGCATATACCTGCCCAGTCTCTAAGATCTGGAGGAGAAGTCCTTCTTTGGGAGCCGTCTTTGAAGGAAATCAGTAGAGTGACTACACGGAGAAGGGCCTTCTCTGTGGTGGCACCCCAGCTATGGAATGGGATCCCCAGAGAGGTGCACCTGGCACCAACACTTTTCTCATTTCGGTGCCAGGCCAAAACCATTGTATTTTCCCATTATTTTAATCGTAGTGTTTTAGGATTGGCTTTATATATTAATATCTAGATGCTGTATCTTATTTTATTGTATTACCACCCTGAAACATTGTGAGGAGCAGGTTATAAAAGCAAGCAAGTAATAAATAAGTGGGCCACGTTGAGGGACTTTTGGATCCAGAAGACAAGGTGCTGAAGCTGCACATTCATTGGTTTAACCTACTGTCCTTATTTCAGTCCAAATGTCCTCAATTAGGCCATACAACCTGATCATCTTCCTTACCAAACACCATCCTCCATGCCCAAGCGTTAAAGCTGGTGAACATGCAGGTTGAAGCAGAGAGGCACCTTCGGGAGGTTTTAATCACCAGCCCCCTGCGAGGCTGCGCTGCAGATCCTCAACAGTTGCTTAGCCATGCCTGTGCTTCGGAGCACCTTTGTTCCAGATGTGTGTCCCACAACTTCCAGCATCCCCAATCAGCACAGCCAATAACCACTCTGGCTAGGAATACTGAGCATTATAACATGCCATAAATGCCAGGCCCTCAAAAGCAGCCACTTCCCCATTCCTATACCAGCAGCGGCTCCCTGATTGTATAAATTATGCTAAAACGCCTGAGAAACAGCTGCCGAGGAACTCGGCCAAAGCCCACCCACTTCTGCTGTCAAACGCCCTTCCTCAGGGTTTTGTCCCCTTAGCTCCTCCTCTCACGTAGCGTGGAGGGGCGTGGCTTCGTCGCCGCCGCCGGGCCTGGGACCCGGATGGCCGTTTAGTCGGTGCTTAGACGCCGAGGCTGTTACATCGGGCATTGGACAAATTACAAAGCAGGGGGAGGGGGGGATAGTGTAATCCACCTCCATCCTCCGACTAGGACTCCCTTCCGCCCCCGGAAGCTCGTATCCGGAGAGAGCGGACCGAGCCCGATCCGACGAGGTGGGTATCGGCCTGGTTCGTTCCCAGTAAGCCTCCTTTCGAGCTCCCGGAAAGCGGCGCTGGTGCGAGGAGGGAGAATGGGTCGGGTTGAGCCGGTAGAACGTTTAGGCCTCCGCCATTTTGTTCCCTGCTTCATCCGTCTTGAGCTCTCTCGCCAAACCGAATCCGCATCCATCCGGCCCTCGGGCCTCACTCTCCACTCCCCTGAGCCGGTCCTGCTTTCCACAGAACGCCGCCCTTGTTGCTTCGGGTGGGTATTTGCCCCGGTAGAGGGTAACTGGGCGCCGAATTGTTACCCCGAGGCGAGTCGCCTACAAAGAGGTGAGAGGAGCGGGTGCGTACAGAAAGAGGCGCCCTCTTGTCTTGAACCATCCCTAGACCGGTTCCCCTCACGCCAAAATCCGCGGGGTGGGTGTAATTTTTTTTTGCAGGGGTTGCTAATAAAGAATATTAGCGTACCTATCGGAGTTTCAGACTAAAGTTGGAGTTCAGTTATGACCCCATTTTGCGACCCCCGCCCCATTTCACAACACACCTGATATTGGGGGAGAGGAAAGAACCGCCTACATTTGAAGTAGTGTTGTGTGGGGGGTGGAAGTAGGGGTCCAGGGTGATCCCGGGCTAAGTGTGTGTTTAGGGGGGGTGTTACTTGACCCAACAGTATCTATCTTTATGGTGGTTCAGAAATACTGAGGCTATATTTGGGGTGGGGGCTGAGATGCCAGTGGAACTGAGGAGGGAACAAGATGCCTTTTCACCCCTCCCCCGATTTTATCTGAGATCCTTAAAATATTTCCCAACACTGCCTCAGATGACATGTAAGTTAAGACTGAAATGAGGAGAGGGTATTAGCGTGCTTTTCTTATTTTTCTAAAGGATGAGAGGCAGAAACTCTGGAGATGGGTGCTGGATCTGAGGATTCCTTTATCCTCTTCGTATTTCGCCATTATTTCCACAACATTGGAGTGGGAAGGGTGGGGGTGACTTGATGCTTCTCAAATCTGAAATGGCACTTCTAGGGAGCAGGCAGGTCAGTGGGGAGAATCACTTTTTCACCCCAGCATACATACCTTCAGTATGGTATCAACACCTTGATACAGATTCTGCTGGAGCAAGGAGATCAGGTTAATTAAAACCCATCTTATTACAGAGTCATTTCTTTAAAAAAGGAAAAGAAGCTTCTTGAGATGGAAAAGATGGATGGATTAGAAACTCTATTTTGCTAAGGATGATGATTGTATTTCCCCTGAGGTTTACAGTTAATAGATTAGATCTTTAGCATAAAGGGCAATTTTTGTTCTATAGGTTCAATCTGTTATTTACTTTTCCAAATTTAAAAACAGATCACGAGGAGGTTGGGCTGGAAGTGGGGGTGTGGCAGGTGTTCCAATAATTTTAGGCTGCACTAATATTTGAAGAAAGCGGTCGCTTCCAGTACCTACTACTCTAAAACCACTCCAGATTGAGAAGATGCTGCTTCTCAGTTTGCTTGAAGACTTCCCAAATAAAAGCAGTACTGAGGTAGTCTTGAAGTTGCTGCTGCATGAATTGTGAGGTGAGCTGTGCATAAAAGCCTATTTCACTGCGGCTGCATTTTAAAAAAATATCTAACTGTTTAGTAGCCAAGACAGTGTTGATTATGGTTTTGAAGTGACATGGAAAATCAAGATATGTTAATGCTAAAATGCCAGTATCCTGACTTGGAGCTATTTTTTTTTAAATCCAGTAAACAGAAAATTATCTGTCTAGGAAAAATAATCCTATTCCTTGGAGGGTAGTACTGAAATAAAGGGGTGTGCCCTTGGGAAAAAGTGGGTAGTTAACATAAAGCCTTGTGACTCTTATGGCAGTTTTAAACACAAAATCAATTTTGGTGAGGGGAAGGATCCCTTTCCCTTGAGTTCTTAATGGGCTGTCATTTGCCCACTTTTGCTTGGTATTTAAAAAAAATATGGCACAACCAGAATTAATTTAGCTTAAAAGCAGAGTTCGAATTTCCCAGCATTGTGGCAAGAGGGTGGGGTGATTGTGATTTGAGGGTGCTGACATGCACAAAAAGAGAGCTAATATGGCTCCCTTTCATTTCAGATCCATAGGTCTCTGAATGGGGTGATTTCCAAACTATAGGGTGTGTTTATGCAGCTAGAAGGGTGCTCCCCCCATTTGGAGGTACACCAAAATACTGGATAGCACTTAAAGCCAAGTCAGATTTTGGATGAATCCCCAGAGTGGGTCCTTGTCAGGTTTACTCTGCACACACAAAACGGTGTAGTGATTTCATTAAAGATTAGAGATAAAATATAATGGCAAAATCATGTATTCCTGGATAAATGAATTTGCCGTTAATCGCATATGCTGTGAATGTTAAACCCTTTTAATGCAAATTTGCACAATGTTCCTGCTTCTAGTTGTGAGGGCAAGTGAGTGTGCAACATCTTGGGAGTACCCTTCGTTCTCTTTTCCTGTCTTGCAGTCTTGTATCTCATTTTAACATGCTCATTTTGGGAACTAAATGCAGGGGAGGTTTATGAGCTTGTAGCTGATGAGGCGGTGGCTGTTTGTTTCCCTGCTTGGTTCAAAACCATCCTTTAAAATGGTTGTTCAAGGAAAACAGTCTCATCTGGTGCCTTCCTGTTCTCGTGATGGAATTTAGGGAGGTTTCTTATTGAAATGACTTCTGATTTCATTTATTTTAGTTTGATAAATGAATGAATATTTGTTTCTCTTGTTTAAGCTAGAAGTGCATTTCTGACTTTAAAATCTGTTCTCTAATGCAGCTTTGGGATTCTGCAGATAAATTGAATATATTAATAATTAATGGTTGCTGATTCCATATCAGGGTGGCTTTGAAATGGGGAGTCCTTTTCCTATGAACAAGCAATAACTGTCATTAAATTCAGGTTTTAATTACTTTACTAAACATGCAGATTTATAATCTTATTTAAACATGTAAATTTATAATAAATGCATAGCTGGAAAGGATAGTACACAATTGGATTGGAAATATATATATATTCCAGAAAGACTATATAAATAATGAATAAAAGAGAATATCAGCTGCTACTAGTAGGATGTGCTATTTTTAAAACTGCTATTTGGCTTGTTTTTGCTCAGGTGCCATTATATCTGGTTGTGCAGTGCTGGGGGAATTGGACATCTTAGCCATGCATTATGTACTGGAAGTACAAAAGAGGGCTGTGCTGTGGCATTAGATGCCTTTTCAAAATGTTAAACCCAAACCTATTCAACCAGATCAGTTGAAAATTATTTTAAAATCACTGGTAATAGAAGTAAAATGAAAAATGATTATCTTTGCAGTTTTGGCATCAGGAACATGAGCTGAATGATACAAGTGTGCTGCTGATAATTTGGTTACTTTGTATGGTAAACTCATGTGGGTGATACTAATTAATACAATGGGACTTTGAATGGATCAAATCATTAGTCAACACGATCACCCAGATACATCTAGGGGACATCTGTCCAAGGGATTCCAGGCCTGATCCAGCAGTGGTCAGATATTGGGGTGATAATGCTAATCAGCTGTCAGATGAGCAGAAGACTGGCTTTAGAATCCCCCCCCCACCTTCACTGAACATTTGATCATCACTGTTGCTTTTTATCAAGATGCAGGCTAATGTTAGAGTTATGGAGCAGACCACCCTAGGATATCACTTTCACATCTTCATCAGAGATAATTGGCATTAAACATTGCCTGTTTTGAGAAGGGGAGTAAATTACTTATAGCCCTATTCATTTTATAGAAAATATGCACTATCATCTTTAAATCAAGAATTTTATTCTTGAAGAGAGAACTTCACTGTACCTTCAAGAGAATTTATAAATGAACAGGACCTTTGGTGACCATCAGAATAATACAGATTATTGATAGCACTTACAATGAATATGCAGATAGGATGGCACTCTTTAGATCTTTTATTTCTGCAGAGTGATACCTTACAGATAAGTATATAATTAAGTATAATTATGGTTTAGATGTTAGGCCTTTACTGTGACAAGTGCCTGATAATGGAGTAACTGCCACTGCATTCTTAAATGTATTCTTCTGTAAATCATTGTACATGATATGTCAGATATTCAGTCTTTCTGCCTCTTTCTCTTCCATTCCCCCCCCCCCCAATTCAGTTACACTTTAGGATTGACTTTTAAAGAGCAGGGGTATATAATTTTCTACATTGTTATAAATATCTCTTACTTTAAAAATAGTAAAACAAAAATGAAATTTTACCTGGCTGTTCAGCTGTGAATTTTAATTGGTGAATCAGTATCATAAGTTTTGCTTTACCCTGATGAATTTTGTAGGTCCCATTTGGGATGGCATTGATTAAGAGTGTTGGCTGAAACACTGATCACCCATGTCAGTTGCTTAGTCAGTTTTTTATGCTTAAGTATCTTTAAGTCAGGGAATCCAGTGTTTGTTCCCATTCACACACACACACATCCCTTTAATATCCTGCAACTTGGGAAGTGCTTGAATGTTGCATAATACCATGCACCCAGTATGCATGTTTGAGCAATGCTGTCGCATGGCAAAGCCAGTCACATCACTCCTTCCCACAAAAGTGGCATCTCATGGTGTGTTGGTTATGAAGTGAAGGCTTCCGTGACTGTATTGTTTAAATGTGTATGTCTCCAGTGTGCCACTGCATTAAACTGTTACAGCCTTATCACATTTACTAGTAATATCAGCTGCTGGAGGAAAGCAAGAAGTCATCACCTTCATGCTTTGATTGTGCACAGAGAGGTGTTTAGCTGACCACTGGTTTGAAAGCAGGATGCTGGGCAAGCTGAGCTGAAAGTTTTAGGGTAGGAATGGGCAACTTTTGTCTTTGGGGCAGCATTCTTTTGCAGGCATTCTCTTAGTGCCTGTATGTCAGCCATGAACAGACCTGTCATCTCCCTCCCTCTTAAGATAATCACCACTCTATACTGTTTGGATTAGTTCACAAGACATGGCTGATTTGAACATGGTTTATTTTAAATGTGCAGCCCTGAGTGGGGATTGCTATGCCAGGCATACTCAGATACCAAGGATTACTCAAGAGTTGTTTAACCCTCAGGTATGAATGATCAGCCTGTCATGCAGACTCATTGATCAGGTTCACAGGGCATGACAGCCCCTGAATGGGTGTTGCTTAGCCCCCAATGATCTTCAGCTCATGCAAGTGAGATTTTGGATAGAACCCCATGAAGCCTACCATGCTATCTGAAGCAGCTCACCCTATTCCTTTCAAGAATCTCAAGAGAGAAAAAATTGGAAGGGGGGGTGGGGATATTCTCTCCTTCCTTTTTTCCTTCTGTTATATACATATGCATACTTACAGACATAGGAGGAGACTAACTTGCAGCTATAGGTACAGCAGCTTTCAGTTTTAACTGTTTTAAATATGTCACTGGGAAACATCAGGGGACATAAGGGTGTTTCTATTAGTGTTGTTACAGGTAGGGGGAAATATGGCATTGGGGAATTAATGAGGCCATGAAGGAGAAAGAGGGGTTAGATATCTTAAAAGCTACCCTTGCTTTGACCCCCCTTCCCCACAGCCAGAAGATTCCTGGTAGCTGTACAAGTCTGTCCTCAGGCCTGGAGGTGCTGCTGCTGCTGAATCCCAGGTCAATCCAACATAAGAGCTCCCTCATCCGTGATTTGGTTGTGGATGAGGGGACTGACCTGGCCTGCATTACTGAGAATTGGGTGAAGGAGATGGCAGGGGTTGCTCTCTCCCAGTCATGCGTGCCTGGGAACTCAGTGCAGCGCCAGCGTCACCCTGGTCTGTAGGAACAGGATCGCCCTCTGTAGGCTTTCTGTTCGCTCAAGTGCAGGTCTTGGTGTTGGGCTCTCGAGACAGATGAGGGATTCTGCTGGTGCACTGCTTAACCCTCTGTCCAACAGACTCCTTGCCTGAGCTGACCAAGGTCATCTCAGATCTGGTTTTGAGAACACCCAGAATGTTGGTTCTGTGAGACCTGAGTCTCCATGCTGAGTCAGTCTTATCTAGTGTGGCTCAGGACTTCATGGCCACCATGACAACCATGGGGCTGTCTCAGCATGTCACCAGCCCATCTCACGTAAAGGGATCCACCCTTGACCTGGTTTTCTCAACTGGACAGGAGGTTGGTGATCTAGATGTGGGGAATTTAACATTAACATCCCCCCCCCCATCATGTTCAGATCATTTCCTTCTGAGGTTTAGACTTTCAGCTTCCTTTCCCCTCTGCAAGAGTGGGGAACCTATTAGGATGGTCTGCCTCCCCTGGACACTGATGTATCCGGATGGTTTTCAGAGGGCTCTGTGGGATTTTCCAGGTGGTATGGTTGGTACTCCTGTCAAAGTCCAAGTTGCCCCGTGGAACACAGATGACGCGGATGGTTGACAGAATCACACCCAAGTTCCCTCTCCCCCTCAACGGAGCCCAGCCAGCTCCATGGTATACATCTCAGCTAGGGAAGATGGCTAGAGCTCAGGTGGAGGAAAACTCACAGGGAATCTGAGTGAACACGGCTTAGAGTTCGCTATCAACCCTGTGCCGTGGCAGAGAAGGCAGCATAGCATCATCTCTTTGCCACCAGCATTGCATCCTCACAGTGTTGTCCAGGTTTTCCAAGTGACCCATGGCCTTTTACATCTTGGGCCAATAGGTGAGATAAGGTGACAAATTTGCTTAAACTCTGAGGATAAAGTTGCTCAGATTTGCTGCAAATTGGACTCTACAGTTGACATAATTCCATTAACAGAGGCTTCCAGAGCACCATCTGGTCCAGTTTTGTTGGAGGAGTTCCAGCTGTTGAGGCCTGAGAATGTGGACAAGGTGTGTGGTCTGGTTCAGTCTACCACCTATATGTTTGACCCTTGCCCATCATGGCTTGTTACGCAAAGTAAGGAAAAGATGCATACCTGGGGTCAAGAGGTTGTAATTAGACCGGAAAAAATCTAAACTGGATGCAAAAGACATGACCAACTAACAGGCCTGTGGCCAATATCCCCTTCCTGGAGAAGATGTCTGAGTGCGAGGCTCCAGGCACTGTTGTGTCAAACGGATTATCTACATCCATTTCAGTCAGGGTCCGGGCCTGGTTTTGGAATGGCAACTGCCTTGGTTGCCCTCTGGGATGACCTCTGCCAGGAAAGTGATGGGGGAGTGTGATCATGTTGATTCTCCTGGAGCTGTCAGCAGCTTTTGACATCATTGACCATATTGTGCTTCCAGGTAGGCTGGCCAGGTTGGGAATAGGAGGCACTGCTTTGCAGTGGTTCTGCTCCTACCTGCCTGGCCAGTTGCAGAAGGTAGTGCTGGGGGAATGCTGCTCTTTGCCATGGCAGTTTACCAAAGGGCTACATTTTCTCTTCTGTGCTATTTAACATCCACATGAAAGCTCTGGGAGAGATCATCCAGAGTTACAGGCTGAGGTGTCATCAGTGTGCAGATGGCACTCAGCTCTAGCTCTCTCTCTCATCTAACCCAGGTGAGGCAGTGCCGATTCTGAGCCTCAGCTCTGTAATGGACTGGATGAGGGCCAGTAAGCTGAGATTCAGTCCAGACGAGGAGGTGCTGTTGGTGGGTGCTTTGTCCAGCTGGGAGACTGTCAACTTGTCCTGGACAGGATTGCACTCCCCCTAAAGGACGAGGTTTGTAGTTTGGAGGTGCTCCTTGACACAGAACTGTCACTAGAGTCACAGGTGGACTTGGTGCATAGGAGCACCTTTTATCAGCTTAGGCTGATTTACCAACTGCTTTCCTATCTGGAGAGGCACAGTTATCCATGCTCTGGTAACCTCACACTTGTGCTATTGTAACATGCTCTACGTGGGGCTGCCTTTGAAAACAGTCTGGAAACTTCAGCTAATTCAGAATAGGGCAGCACGGCTATTGACAGAGACTGGCCCTCTGGATCACATCACTCCAGTCCTCCATCAGTTGCACTGGCTGCCAGTTGAAGTCCAGGCCCAGTTCAGAATGCTTGTTACAACATCTAAAGCCCTAAATGGCTTGAGGGCAGGTTATCTGAACATAAGTTCCTACCCATTCTTAATTATTGTCTGCTAAATTAGTCCTTCTCAGCGAACCGCTTCCTGAAGGAGTGAGGGAGGTGAGTTAGGAGAAGGGTCTTTTCTAGAGTGGCACCCTACCAGAGAGGTGCACCTGAGGCATCTTTGTTATCCTTTTGGCATCATTGAAAACTTTTCTATTCTCCAGTCATTTTAATTGTTAAGTCACACAGGACTTTTTAAATTCTTGAGTTTTCTTCTTTGCTGCTGTACCAAGAGGTTAAGTTACTATAGCTACAATGTTGTTGTCTTGTTATTGTTGTCTATTCATGGTTTTATTTTCTTCTAATATAACTTTTATTGCATGTTTTTAAATTGAATACTATCCAGAGAGCCAATGGTTTGTGGGGAGGAATGAACATACATCCATTCTCTCCACCCCCCTTTTTCCCCTCAAGAGGTGGTGGTGGTTAGACTGGGGACCTAGTGAGTAAAAACCCACTTTCGATTAACTAATGAGGGTGGGATGGAGAATTTAAGTCCTTTCTTAACTCTGCCATTCATCGCTGAGAATTGAACTTTTTTTTATCTGCAGAAGCTGACACTGTCCCACTATGTTACAATGGAGTGTTGGATAAGTGGTTTTGAAAGTTATTCAATTTGTTACTTGCATTCTTGTGAAAGACAGTTATCCTGCCTTTCCTAGTAGTAGTGGCAAAATTAGGCAAAGGCAGGAATTGTATGGGTATTTGGAGGAAAGACAAAAGGACCTGTGTAAGGCAAAGGCACTCTGCCAAGGGGATGCTGCCAAGCCACCATGAGGACTAATAACTTGTTTACTTAAAAGCTCAGAATTTCATTGATCTGGATTCTGCCCAGAAGTTTCACCCAGGCTGAGACTGGAAGTCAGGAAAAAAAGAATATGCAATTGTCAAAAGGTGCAGAAACTCTACCTGCTGTTTGCTTGTTAGTGCCATTCACAGCTTCTGGTATGAGACTGCGTCCATATTAATTAACAATACTTTTTCGTTTGGGAGTGGTTTTGTTTGTTCTTCTTTCATAGACAGTTCAACTGGGAAAAGCAAGCAAAGTCCAGTCTATCAGCTACTAGCTGCCAGCTACAATTCCTTATTCTAGTTTTTTGATTATTCAGGTTGAAGTCATGTCTTTCTGACCTAAGTGATCCCCAGGGTGCTTCATAGCAGATACTCAACAGAGTTCAAATGTAAAGAGTAAAAATAAAATTAAAGGGTACAATATCACTAGTGGCAGTAGGTTAAAGAAAAAAAAATAAAAGCAGTATCAACCAAACCAGAAAGACTTTTAAAACAGACATTCAGTGTATTTTTCTAAGTAGCCCTAAATGAGTGGGGCTGGAATGCAGTTCTATTATACATCTGAAGGGGCATTGCTGTCATATTTGCCTGTCTTGCTTCCAGGCTCAAGGTGCTCAGAGGAGAGTCTCATAACCTGAGCCAGCCAGAGGGAACATAAAGAAAAGACCCTTAAGGTAACCTGAACCCAGACCATTTAGGTCTAAGTGGGCATGGGCAACTCTTGGTTAAAGTATTTATATTCTAACCATTTTAAACAGAATTGGGACAGTATTTAATAACCGTTGTGTGTAAAATACTGAGATCACCAATACCTAATTCAGTAATCTGAGCCACTTGGTTTTCAGCAGCCTTTCCATAATTCTGTACACCTTTTGAAGCTGTCGCATCAATCTTATGCCATGTCATACGAAAGGCAGGACAGTGAGCCAGAACTTTGTGCAGCTTCTTAAGGCAGCCAGGTCGTGTTCAATTCTTGAGTGTGAAATTTGCTCCAGTAGCTGTAGGATAATGGTTCTTTGGCTTGTGACTTGCCTACCCCAGGCGGCAGATCCCTTCGATCAAGGTATGGTTTTCTATTAGTAAGTACAACTGGTTTTGCACTACTTATGAAGGATGACGTTATCTCTTTTCTTGAGGACTTTGTTGAGACCTCCTTTGTCCCCTGAAATATGTCTTTTTTGTTCCATAACCTGCATAGATGTGAAGCCTGAGTAGTTGCAGCTAAAATTGTCCTTCTGGTCTTGCAAACTTTTTTTTTTAACATCAAAGGCTGCAAAAAAGAGTGCCAGATCTTGAAAGTGCCCTCCTCAGGAGGTAGAATAAGTGTTCCCAAATCTTACTGGTGAGGCAGTTAGGTTTGTTGCAGATAATTCAGTCTGTATACCCCAAACTTCCATTGTGTACACTGGTTGCCTCTTATAATAAACTGGCTTCTACATAACCCCAACCTTTATCACTAGTGTTCCTTGTTCTTGTAAGGGGAAGGATCAGCTCATTTTACCCCAACCTTTACACGCAGTGTCCCCAGACCAATTCCTAAAGGTTTTTGTGTAGCAGGCTGCAATGACCTGCAGCCAGGCAGAGCTGAGTAAAAGGGGGTTGATTCTACTTGTGTATTAAGCCCAAATCTAGGTCCGGTACTGGGAAGATCTCTGCCTGAGACCTTGGAAGGGCCACTGTGATTCAGAACAGGTACTTGACTCTATATAAGGCTGGTTCATGGGTTCCTTATCGTAACGGGTTCCTTGTTCTCGGTTGACATAGCCCATACTAAATGCTGAGAAATAATGGTTATTGTTGGACTTGTTTTATTGCTTCCTCCAGTCAAGTGAAGGTTGAAGCCTCTTCATATCCCAGACTAGCTCCTCTCCTTGTTTGCCCTCAATCCTGCACATATTACTGACCACTTGTGCATTTGTCCATGTCAGTTTCCCTGATCCTGGCTTCAGAATGGAAACCAAAGAAAACCACCATAAATTAATGCTATATTACTTTAAATGATCTGTTTCCCACCTAGATACAAAAAAGAATCTGTGCCACATTTTTTAAACCCTCAGAAATAAAATGTGAACCTAATACAAATGTATTATATGTATTTTTAACTTCAATATTTAATGTTCAAAAATACTGAATTAAAATCTATTTTTGAATGAGGGAAGCGTTTGACTTCTGAGGCTATTGGGATTGTGTTATTGATGAAAGCAGTTGTTGTGGCAGATTATGAATATTTATGACCATTATTAAGACAGTGTGGACATTCACTTCCCAACTTAAGGAGAAATATTGTTTCTCAGTAATTATCTGCTTTGTTTCTGGAGAGGTTTGGTCACTTGACCCTCAGTCAGCATGTCTAATCCAATACTGGATTGTGACCTTTGTCTTTAAAAAAAGATCTTGGCTAGCATTCTTGCATGATTCAACACCTTCATCTGAACTAAAAATTATATATGAAAAAGTGAGTTGGAAAAGGGCATTGCTGAGCAATATTAAAAGTCTAGCTAAGCAGACTAAAGTTTCACAGATTTTAAGTCAGTTGTTCCCTTTTGATTTTTTAAGTTTCCTTTATTTAAATGATTCTTTATATGCTGATTTGGTATAGCCATGGTTCCATCTATTTGCCCAATAGCAACTTAATGTGAACAGTGCAGTATCTTATACAGAGCATTTTGAAATGGCCTTTGGACTGACTGTGGTACACATATTTTGGCCTCTTTATTGCTAAGATTTGTGAAATTCACTAATTCAGTTTTCTGATGGGTTATTGTGGGATGGGAGGTGTTTACTGTAGCCGAGATCTTGCTAGCTTGAGGTAGAGAATGAGATTGTGGGAGGTTGTCTTCAGTTTAAGTTCCACTATTGGGGATATGCAGTGTTATTTCATAGGCAGGAAAATAAGATCTCAGGGGCTTTAGAGTCATAAACTTGCTGGCTTTAGCCTGCATTCATTTTCAAGCATGGAACCCTGTATTGCAATGTTGAACCTTGTCACATCCGGAGGAGTCTTGTTTACAAGGTCTGAGGTGAGAATTTCCGTGGGTTGCAGATGTCCAGGTAGAGAGTTCAGAATCATGCACTCCTTCTTGTACTTCATCTCCTAGTCTCCCATGTAATAGTTTCCACACAGGACAAATTGTTGACTTTGCAGCACTCAGGGGACCGGACTAGACAACTTCTGAAGTCCATTTCAACTTTATGATTCTTCTCTGAGGCCCTATGATGGTAAAGCTTCCTCTGCTTAACTGTGTGGGCTTCAAGAAGAAAAGTAAGGATGCTTTTAAATCATCATGGCAGTGTATGTTTGGGGAAAATGGTTGCCTTTAATTGTGAAGTCTCTAGGACAGATGTTAGTAAATGTGTTTGTGGTTGGAATTATTATTATTTATTTCATTTTATGCCTCCCAGTTGCCAAGGGCTCTCTCGATTTTTTGGTTGATCAAAACATTTGCCCTATTAGAGTGGCTGAGAACATTCCTTTAGTAGGACTAAAATGTAAAGGAAGGCTTAGGTTCATTACAAAAAAGGGTTTGAACTTTGTTAACAGTTGGGAAACAGAAATTAAATTCTAGATTACTGTGATTAGTTGTTTAGCCTTAACGTGTCGTGTAATCATGTGCTGATACTATTCAGCAGACATAATAGTTTTGGGCTTTTTTCACCAGAATCCTAGGGGGATAGCTACACAACTCCAAACAGAACACATAGCAATAATGATTTTAGCCCACCCTTCCCTAGCTTAGTGCCCAGTAAATGCTTTAAAGTACAATCCACATTACCGCCAGCCAGCCAGCCAGGTTATGCTAGCTAGGAATGATGGGAGCTGTAACCCAGCAGTCATTTTGGGTGGTATTGAGGAGTCCCTGGAGAGCTGAGAATGGAGGTGCCCCTCCTGTGTTTTTTGTTAGGAGGTGGTGTGATACTATTGTTGCAGAGGCTTCCACATACTTAAGAGCATTCCTAGCATCCAAAAAAAGTGAATTAAATAAATGGTTCTCATCTGCCTTAGAAATGGGTCCTGATGGCATGGTCAGCCTTCCCCAGCACTACATTGTTCTTTGATTGGGATGCTCCCCTTCACAAACAGGGGTGTTGGCTTGTCTAACACAATTTTTATTGTGCTTTTCTGAAGCCTATGTGAAAAGATCTGAATACTATCGCAGGTTTGTACAGGAAAAAGCCTGTCTAGTACCTCTTGAAAATAAGATGTGCAGATCAATAGGGAAAGAAGGAATCAGAGCCGTGGAGAACTTTCTTCCTCTGAGTCTCTTCCCCCCCTCATCCAACAGAGGCACGTTTCGCGGGGAGCCAGGAGGAACCATCATACTCAATGACCTTACAGCGCAATGTCAGATCGTTTGGGGCAAACAGCAAAGGGGAAGGATGGAAAAAAGTATTCATCGCTCAACCTGTTTGATACATACAAGGGCAAGTCCTTAGAGATCCAGAAACCCACAGGTAAAATGTCCGGTGTTGTGCGGGGCGGTCAATCCTGTTCTCAAAGGAAGAGGCGCTTGCCATGATGAACCTGCTTTGTTTCTGATGCCCTCTTGATGGCACTCGCAGCGCCCTGAGCAGCTGCCCTCGCTGTCTGAGCTCACCCAGAACTACCTACTCATGGCTTGGCATGACAGCTGTCAGTCATTGCTGTGAGTCAGTAAGGGGAGTTGTACTGAAGAGCTTGCAAGAGGGCAGCAGTTGTAACAGCATCCCAGGTCCATATCTAACCCCCTGCTCCTCACTCCCCTGCAGTCACTCCCCGCCATGGCTTGCAGAGTCTCGGTAAGGTTGCCATTGCCCGGCGCATGCCACCCCCTGCGAACCTGCCAAGCTTAAAAGCGGAGAACAAAGGCAATGACCCCAACGTCTCACTAGTGCCGAAAGACGGGACAGGATGGGCAAGCAAGCAGGAACAGCCAGACCCAAAGAGGTGAGGGTGGGGTGTACTTTCAAATGGAAGAGGGATGTCATGACTTTCAGGGGGCTTTCAAGCTTGCATCCGCTGACTTTTTCCCTTCATATGGTCTCTTTTTTAACTTACAGTACCGATGCCTCGACAGCTCAGCCGCCGGAATCGCAGTCACCGCCGGCTTCACAGACATCTGCCTCAAACCAACCGAAACGACCCCAAACAACCCCCGAGGTAAATCTGGAGGAAGAGTGTGGGAGCTGGAGTTTGGAATAAGAAAGGCCTGACATGGGGAAGATTTGTCTGTCACTTTCCAAAATCAGATGGAGCACCTTTGGGAAGTGACAGCCAGCAATCAGACAAGTGGAAATACTGGTTTTTGCTTCCCAATTAAGATCATTCACATTACATTATACCATAGTATAGTATTTTATCCAAACCAGGACTGTGCATGTGAATAATTGCACAGCAAGGAGTAAGGATCCTTACTTTGCTGCTTTTTTTGCACCACACTTATGTACTGTTCTTCCTTGAGTGCCAAATGCTGTTTGGTTTTAAACAAATTGATGTGGTCCTCTAGGTTTGGTCCAAGCTGTTAAGGAATACTAGTACAAGGGAGCTAGCAGGAAGGTCTGTTACTTAGTTTTGACCTACACCAATCTTCTTTCAGAATCCCCCTACAGTACCAAGCGGGGTAAAGTCCTGGGCACAGGCCAGCGTTACCCATGGAGCACAAGGAGATGGTAAGTTTGTCCCAGCTCAAGTTGTATGTAGCTGGAAATCCAGGAATTGAGAAATATCACAGTTTAATCAGTAAATTATGCCCTTTCTGGTCATCTTAAGCCTTTGATCTTGTCAGGGTTCCTGTTCTTCATCAAGTCCATGAACTTTTGTATGAGCCCATCATCATCATCACTTTTGTTCAGTTGCTACTATCTCTCCCCTCATCTCTTCCCTCCCTGCCTCTCCCCCGTGGCACTGGCGCATCCTCCACAAACAGGATGCCAGCTGAGGAAGAGGTGGAGCACAGCCAGTCCCTGTGCTGGTCCACAGCAAGCGGAATGCAGCCCCCACAGACCGGCAGGAATTCTCCCGTGGACCAGTGGGTGAAAACCACTGCACTAGAGGGCAGGACAGTGCAAAATGCTGAGGTCCAAGGTGGCACATTCAGGCTTTGTCCAGTGCTTTCCACCATCCCTTGCCCAAATTTTGGACAGCTACTTTCTGGAGGAAAGTCCTCCAGAGGCATAAGATTGGTGAGGGAGTGATCATGTAAAGGGATCCACCTGCACTATTTTCCTGTAACATTAAGGTGGAAAGGGATCAAGCCTACTGTCGCGATTCTCTCGCGAGGAATTTCCGACCCTGCAGGCGGCTGGCGACCAGGACAAAGCTGGCAAAGAAAAGGACACTACCGATGCGTCGTATGGGCCCGGACCAAACCTCCGCCCCCAGAGTAAGTGGTATAGCTTGAACAACTGATCCTCAACCCTGGGGCAAGGGGGCATCCCTTTCAGTGCAAACTGGGGGTGCCTCATCCTTAACTCTTCTTCCCTCCCCATCTCTTGCAGACGCAACCAGTTGGCGGGATGGAGGCGGGCGGGGCACTGACGGGGAGCTGGTGCCTGAGGATGGACGGGCTGGGGTCGGCATGCAGCCCAATGTCCCGCCTCAGTTTCCTCCATACCGGGGGATGATGCCGCCATTTGTAAGTATGAGAGGTGGCCCATGTTAGAGAGCAGAGGAAAATTGGCAAACCCATCAGTAACCTGTTTCTCCTCTACCCTACCACAGATGTATCCCCCATACCTCCCCTTCCCACCTCCATATGGGCCACAGGGACCGTACCGTTATCCCACAGCAGAGGCACAGAGGTAAGTAGAAAGCTTAGTTGAATGCTTATGGTGCTAGGTGGCTTAGGCAGCAGGGGGTGGATGGGTTCGTGTAGGTAGGGCTAGAGCCTGGGTGAAGGGAGGTGGACTGCTCGCTAGAAGGAGGTGGGAGCCCACTGGTGGTGGTAGTGGTAGAGGAGCCAGGAGAGTTTTTTGTGGGAGCATATTAGAGTCCAGTAAAAGGATTCTGAAACTGTTTTCACCCATTTTACTTAAGGGTTTGCTTTGAGCATCTCCAAGAATAAATAAGATCCATGAAGGGCCAGGCTGCGGGCAGAGTTCATATGCTTCAAAAGCAAATCAGTGGGGCCAGGCAGATCAAGGGGAGCTGGAGATGGCATCTTTGGAATGGTAAAGGCCCTTGAGAGGTAGCATTCCCTTCTCTTCTTCCAGCATCCTCACAAAAATAAAGAGGAATGACTCCATTGGTCTCCCATCATTCAATACTATAGTAAGGGAGTTGCAGCTGATTCTGTACCAAGAGTGCAAGGCTACTGTCTGATCTCAAAGGAACTTCTCCTGTGCGTGGCACAATATGGCCTAGCAGCCACTGCACTACAAAACTCTAAACCAGCCTTCCCCAGCCTGGTGCCCTGCAGATATTTTGGATGACAACTCCTGGCATTCCTGACCATGCTGACTGGCTGATGGGAATGGTATCCAACACATCTGAAGAACATCCAGTTGGGGAAGGAGGATCTAAACTTTGCCTTCACACCTCACAACTCTTACTACAATTTTCTACCCTCTGATCGCATGAAGAAAAAACTGGGCAGGTGAACATGGGAAGACCTCTGTAGGCAGATCCTGCTTCATACTGCTTGAACCTAGGGCAGGAATGGACAAGTTGTGGCCCTTTAAGATGTTTTGCCCTACAGCTCCCAACATCCTGTGTCATTGGATATGTTGCTTACGACGGCTAAGGATGACAGGCCAAAACATCTGGAGGGCCTCATGTTGCCTATCCATGTTCTAGGTGGTTACAACATCTTTTGGTTGGGTAGGGAAGAGCAGGCTGAGGTGGGGCTTCTGCTAATCAGTATCCTGCTGTTTTCTCCTTTAATCCCGATCCTTTTAAGGTTTCAGCGGCTCCCAGGACCCCGCCCCTCACAACCTCCAGTGCGCGTGACAGAGACTGTGAGCCGGCCACCTGTCCTCAAGCAGGATGACCTAAAAGAATTTGATGAGTTGGACCAGGAGAATGATGAAGGCTGGGCAGGTAACAGTGCACCCTCCAAGACTACCCTTGGCACCTGTTTATAACATTTCCTGTCCAGAGCTCTATTATTGCTCAGTCAATCTGAAGCTGCTTGTCTTGTTTCCTCAGGAGCCCATGAAGAAGTAGACTACACTGAGAAACTAAAATTCAGTGATGAAGAAGATGGGAAAGACTCTGATGAAGAAACCACTGAGAACCGGTGAGAATTGGTAGTGAGCTGTTCATGGGGCCAATTGCCATTGGACTTACAAAATGGGCACTTGAGGATGTCAACTCCTTGGGAAAGAGGACACACACAATCAGTCCTACCTGTGTAGGAAAGGCAACCCTTGGCCATAAGTGGTCTCCTCACAAAATAGCAGCTCCCACGAAGCTGTAGCTGTATCTTGAGGACACATGAGTCAAAGTTGTTCTTGTTCCTTCCCACCCCAGTTCCAAGCCCTGTCTGATCTCTTTCTCTTCCTTTGCATCTGTACCAAGCAATGATGAGGCTTCTGGCCCTGAAAGCCAGTCATCAGGCACAGATACGAAGAAGGCTGGAACTCCAAAAGAGGATCATCCTCTAGTGAAAACAGCCTGGGCTGAAAACTCATATCCTCCAGAGGGTGCCAAAGAGCTGCCAGCAACATCTGCACCTGCAGTCCGGCCGCCGCCACCGCCGCCACCTCCACCCAACCGGGGCAACTGGGGACAGCCCAATGATTTCCCGGTGAGTCTTTGCGGGCTGTGAGGCTTCCAAGTGCTCAGGGTTGGCAACTGCGATTCAGGTTGAAACGAAGCATGAAGACTAGATTCTAATATTCCATCATGGAGTATAAAAGTAAATTAGGGTTACAGCTGGGTTGGAAGCTGCTTTATGCTGAGTTCGACCTTTGTTCCTCTAACCTGGTATCATCAGCACCCATGGTTAGCAGCTCTCCAGGGTCTAAGGCAGGATTTTTTCCAGCCCCACTAGGAATGCTGGGAATTGAATCTTGGACTTTCTGCATGCAAAGCAAAGCAGATGCTCTGGCCTCTGTGGTTTCCAGGTAAAGAGAAGCAAAGGTTTTAAGACAGTCACAGAAACACATTTCAAATACAGTGGTACCTGGGCTCACAAACACCTTGCTTCACAAACAAATCGGGTCATGAACAAAAGTTTCATTAAAATTTTGATGTGGGTCGCGAACTCCGCATTGGGTAGCAATCAAGATCACAGCCATCTCCCCCGCCCCCTTCCCCAGAGTTGAGAGATGGCCACGATCACAGTTGCTTTCATGCAGGGAAGGCGTGTGTGTGCTCCTGCAGGAAAGATGGGCGCAATCTCAGCCATTCCCCCCCCCCAACCAGCATAATCGCAGCCATCTCCCCTCCCCACCCCCAAGTGGGGAGATGGCTGTGATTGTGCTGGGGGCGGGGAAGAGATAGCCACGATCACACCCATGTCTCCCCCCCACCCCCAACGCGCCGGGATGACGGGCGTATGCAGGGATGACAGGCGCGATCTCGGTCATGCTGGGGCAGGGGGGATTTGGCCGCACTTGTGCTCGGGAGGGGGGAGATGACTGCAATCTTTGTTGTTACTTTGCTTCACATTTTTCTGATTTAAAAAATGGTTACAGAACAGATTAACCTTATTTACATTGAACCTTATGGGGAAATTTAACTTGGCTCACGACCAGAGTCCTGGAACGGATTAAGTTCGTGAGCCAAGGTACCACTGTACAGGGCAACATGATTCATGTGACCTCAGTGCCTTGCCCTACCAGAAACTGCCTCCGCATCACCTGGATTCCCTCCCCTCACTTCTTCCTTGCTACATTAAAATTCTGTGTACTAGAAGCTCCTCCTTGAGGTGCATCTTCTCGCATGATGCAGCCCAGCTACAGTTTATGCTGTCATCCTTCCCCCATAGTGTCCCATCCGATTCTCCTTACAGTTGAAGTATTTTGCAAGATTGCCAGTCCTTGCTGCTTAGTTGATAAGTTCAAACAGCACTTAGAAACTGGCTGAGACAGGCAGGGTCACTTGTCACAACAACCCACAGTGGTTTGGTGCCCTCAATGTGCTGTCATGTTATGCAAACCCAGTTAGTGATTCATAGTGGGCCATAAAGGGTTGTCATTATATTGAAATGAAGGCACAAGATTGAGATGAAAGAAAAAGATGGTGCTTCTGGTGGGGAATAATGCATCTAACTATAGATGCATAATTGCAGTGGAATCTTTTGGCTGGAGTGCAGTGGGTGGAAGTCTGCAAGCTTCTGGATCCCATCATCTAATTGCTTTGGCTCTGAGCTGCTCTAAACCATCTTTATTTACCAAGAGAATTAGTATTCCAATGCTGAATTCTCCCTCCACTGCTTTCCCCATTCCCAGACATAGAAATGAATTTTGAGTTGTGTCAATGATAGATCCAGTTTGGATGAACAGTAAGCCAGGATTTGGCAGGCTTCTTGGTTTAGAGCTGGTTTATGCTGCTGGATTGCTCCTGTGTGGCTGCTTCTGTAAGTGGGCATAGTTAAACACTTATTCATTTGTCGTCATCATGTGAGAACTGGAAAATTCCAACTTGGCTCTTCCCAGGCAAGCCAATGTCTGCATTGTCATTATATCTGAACCAGGCCTCAGTTTTTTTGCTCATGATTGAGGTCAACAGCATTGGCCTATGTGGAAGGGAAATTTGCTTTGCAATGGCTCCTGCTTTGGTAGGGATGATAATGGAAAAATTGCTGTGTGAGTGTCGATTCCCACTGAGGGGTTGTTAGCAGGTGTGGAGGAAAGGGAATGTCAAAGCCCTCCTTGATCTATTGCATGGGTCCTCAAACTGTGGGCCACAGGCCGGATTTGGCCTGCCATGCCCATTCATCTGGCCCGCCTCAGAGGTTTTGGACTTGCCGTGCCTGCCGCCACCACCTGCCTCACCCCACACGCGGGGAGGTGGCTTGCTCACAGGGGGAAAGTTTTGGACTCGCTCAGAGAAAACGATCTCCAAGCGAGCAAGCCGCTGCCTCGCGCCACGTGCCCTCCCCCACCTCACCTCACCGGCCCGCGTGCACCGCCAGCACCACCTTTCCGGCCCGCGCCCAGCATCGGCACCTTTCAACTGGCCCCCTGGTGAAAAAGTTTGAGAACCCCTGATCTGTTGCTTCCTCAATCAAAAGGCATTTGACTTGATTTTATTGAAGGTTTCCCTAGTTACATTCACCAAAGTCCATTTAAACTTCACCCAAAAGAGGGATTTATATTTTATAAAACAATAACTTAGCTATGTTGTAAGCCGCCCCGAGGCTTCGGCGAATGGGGCGGCATAAAAATGTTTTAATAAATAAATAAATAAATAAACTTGCTTTTCATCACAGAATGGATCTTCTCATCTCTAGGAAACAACCATTATCTCCGGGAACCACTAAATGAATAGCCTGTGATAAGCTCAGGCCTGCTGCTTGCTTCCCCAATAGTTCCTCATGTCAGCTTGTATCTAAGACACAACCCTGTTCAATCCCCCAATCTTCCTTACTCTCCAGAACAGAGGTATTAATTTACTTCTTCAGCCCAACCTGAAGAGTGCCAATAAAGGCAGCAAATAAAGGCTTTCTTTTCCCCAAGGAGGCAGACTTTGCGTACTGTGGAGGGTTAAACCACCCTGTAATCTGACTCCCTGCTCCAGCCAAAAGCAGTGTGTGTGCCCTTTGCTGTCCTTTCCCAGGTCACATCCTCCTTTGTGCTCCCTTTTTGTTGGTCATTCGTTTTGTCAGTCTTTCTGCACTCCCCCTTTTCTCTTTGCTCCCTTTCATCCCTGTCCCTGTTCAGGTGTTGCTCATTTCAGCGGGGATAGCAAGCTGCAAGCAAGGCAAGGCATGTGATGTCACTGGCTTGAGGCATCTCTCGCCAGCTGCTCTGTCCTTGCCAGTTGTGTTGGCCTGAGAGCCTTTTAGGCTGCAGGCACCAACCATAAGGCTTGGTGCAACTCGCTAGGTTCCTAGTAAGAGGCAGTGAGCCCTGCTTGTCCCTTCAGGGGTACAGTGAACTGCGTCCCTAGTAGCAAATTTGGGCTGTGTAGAATCCCAAGATTGTCAGATTTGTCATATGTGCGTATACATGCACTTGTGCCTACACACACACAACATATCATGCTCACTGGAGGAGAGGATCTATTCTGTATGGTGGGGCTGAATCCAAGATGGAATGCAAGAGAGCGTAGCACAGAGGATTTGACCTTCAGCAAATCCACTCCCTTAACAAGCCAAGACTAAGAGAGCCTTTGATGTTGGTAAAAAAGAATGTTTGGTGTTTTTGCTTTGCGGTAGCTATACTGAGCTGCCATAAAATCCTGGAGTAGGGTGGGGTGGGGAAGGGAATTCTGGGTGATATTGGTAAGTATTTCTACACTTTCCCTCTCTATATGCAAGGCTTCTCCCCTGACGCAGCCCCCCTCCCCAACATTATTCTCTTCCTGGAACTTTGCAGTAACAGCTGATATCTAACCACAGTCCTGGCCTTGAGGAAATATCCCTTCTGAATACCTCCCAGTCAACAGGGTCCCGCCACTTCATTCCAATATTTTGAAGAACATTTTCCCCACTTTTTAAAGTACTTCAAGGAGGTTTGCTTTGCAAATAGACTGAACGGAAGAGGGCAACTTCACATTTCCTTTTGCTTGCTTGAGTGCTTGCTTCCCTCTGCGTCTGCACCTGACCCCATTTGCAGCAGGTTTTTCAAACCTCCGCACTAGAAGAAAGCAGGGGAAGACAAACTCTGAATTGTGAAGAGATGATGCTGGAGAGAAGAAAGAATCTAGAGCTGGGCAAGAGAGAAGGGCTGGTTTTGAAAACAAGCTTGCTGTGCTGGGACTTGCCAGGGCAGTGAAGGTAGCATGTATTTTTCCAAGAGAAACCTTTAAGGACCCAAGGAAATGGGCTACAGTGTCTTCTCACTATTAGCTCCTCTGCTTAATTCTGTGAGAAGAGTAGAACACTTTGTAGAAAGGCATTATTTATTTTTGGAGGCACTAGTATATTTTTGAATGTTAGTACAACAAAATTTTGGCCACTAAAGCCTGGATGTAATGTGTGGATCCCTGTAAGAAGTGCTGTGTTTCTGGATTATGTGGGACATGCATTTGAGCTTGAGAAGCACTGCAGTTCCTGTTTGCTTGATGAGTTTCATTCCACAGGCAGAAGAGCAATGAGAATACCACGTGGTCGAAGCAGGGCAGCTGTTCTTATTGCAGCAGGCACTAAGGGAAACTAGATTCTGTAGCCTGTTTTGTGTTGCTCTGCTTTGTGACTCGCGTGGAGGGATCCAGCACTATACTTAAGGCATGTGTGATCCTGAACACTTGAAGTCTTGCTTGGTTACTTCTTTGTCTTCTCTTAAGACCTCACTAGCCATAATGCATACCCTTTCAGACATAAATTTACAGTCTTAAGGACTAACACAACATGCTGATACTTTTAGAAGAGCTAAGATACTCATGTTAAACCCTTTGCCCAAACCAAAATGTGTTTGTGGTGTGGGTGGTGGAATTAAGACTGCTATGTAGCCCTGCTGAAATTAGCTAGCCAGATTTTTCTCAGCTTTTAATAGAAGTTCTGTGTGGAGTTATTAAAGGGGTGAAGTGGTGAGAGAATAAAGTAAGTTGCAAGGGAACATTCCCATTGCCTTGCTTAGGGAAACAGGTTCATTAATGGAGCAGCCTAGAAACAAGACATTTCTTCTCACCTCTGCAGGATCGGCCAATGCGACCGCTTCCCCCAGAGGATGAGGATGAAGCTTGGCGTCAACGCCGAAAGCAGTCCTCCTCAGAGATCTCTGCTGCAGTGGAGCGTGCTCGGCGTCGGCGGGAAGAAGAGGAGCGGCGCATGCAGGAGGAGCGCCGAGCTGCCTGTGCAGAGAAACTCAAGCGGCTGGATGAGAAGTTTGGTGCTCCAGACAAGCGACTGAAGCCAGAACCTCCCAAGGAGCCACCTGCTCCTCCTCCAGCTCCCACTCCAGTGCCCTCCACCCCCCCTGCTCCTCCACCACCCCCAGAGGAAAAGAGAGAGAAAGAGGACCCTGTTCCACCAACCAAAAGTCGAAATAGCGTTAGCGGCAGCAGTGGAAGCAGCTTGGACTCAGCCAGTCCCGGTAACTTGTTTGTGCCATTCATAAAAAATGTTCACGCTCACACAGTTGGGTAGAGAAGTTCCAAGGAGCTAACAGAAAATAGGTCACCAGGTGAAAACACAAGAAAATTAACCCCCACTGTGCAAGTGAAAAACAGAGACAACGTCTGGGTTCATGCTGTATGCTGCACTAATAAAAGAATAACAACCAAGCAGCAATAAATGAATCTGTTAAGGGTTCAGATTGGGAACCATTAGCTATCAGATAATAAGGTCCATGTCAAGCAGGTGCCCTAACGAATGTTCCACAATAGGTGCCACTAGCAAAAAGGCCCAGTCTCAAAAGGTGTGATCACTTGGAGAAGAACTTCATTTTATAGGGCTGGCCAGTTTCCTGATCTCATGGGTTGATTCACATGGATGGATGCCACTTGGTGTGGGTCCTTGCCCAGTGAGTCATAGCCACATGGATAAACATCCTCCATTTTGCAGTGTGTGAAAGAGCCTTCACAACACTCACACAGGCGCTCTGTTGATAATGTAGTCACTGAGTGATGACTGGTCATGAGAATCAGCCCTAGAGTTCATCCAGAACTGGGGAGGCAGTCCTGTTGGCACCCAGCCACAATCTCTCCATTTAGAAAACTTGTAATAAATGAGCTTTTTCTCTCGAACACTAACATGCAGTGAAACGAAGCTGAGGAACAAGCCTGCCACACACAATAACTAAAACTGGCAGCCTGTTGAAACTGGGCATATTAAATGATACTTTACATGGTCCTCCAGGAGTACTTTTCTTAAAGTTGACTTGGTCAAGTAAAATAAGTGTTAATGTGCAAATTGGAAAAAGTAGAAAACTTGTATTTTTCAGGGCACGTATGCTACCACAACCAGATCCAGGTAGGTGCACGGCTTTATAGTCTGAATTTCTTCAGCACTGGACGGTATGTAGGGAACAAGGTCTCAGCAGGTAATCTGCAAGTTGGAGAGGCATTTTTCATTTATTTGAATATTTGTAAACTACCCTTCCTCAAAGCACCAGATTTTAAGGCACATCACCTGCTAGTGTAGGGAGAGGCAGGTGTTCCTTTGGGTTGACAGGGCTTTACAGCAGGATCTGGAGCATGAGCATAGCACACTGATGCTTCACGGAGTCTGCCTCTTCCCATTCTGTGCCCCACAGTTGAGCCACCCCTGCCTCCTCCACCCAAGGAAGTACCTGAAGCGAGGGAAGAGCCACCGGCTGTGCTTGGGCCTGCTGTTCCGGCCGCTCCCATCCCTGCCAAGGTGGAGCCCAAAGGGGAGATGGTTCTCCAGGCACGCCAGCCACCTCCAGCACAGACGCTCGGCTACTCCAAGTACCAGAAGTCCTTGCCTCCGCGGTTCCAGCGGCAGCAGCAGGTAAGGGGAGCAGAGGTTGATGCCTGGGCTAGCAGTGGAAAGCATGCTCTCAAGAGGGGTGGAGAAGCACCCAGTGCTGTGGCGAGCTTTCATACTGGAGTCCCTGACACCTGCAGAAGTCCTCACAGCTCCCTGAGCCACAAGTGCTTCTCCACTGACGGAGATCCCCGAATCAAAGTGAGCAGGAACTTGGCCTCAGGGAGCCACTGTGGAGGTGCTCACTGTTCCCCCACCCTCCACCTTTCCAGGAGCAGTTGCTAAAGCAGCAGCAGCAGTGGCAGCAGCAGCACAGCCAGGTCCAGCCCCCTCTGGCCGCCTCTTCAGCCCAGCAGCAAACAGCAGGTGCTCCTCTGGCCACTCTGGGCCCCTCGAGCACCGTCCACGCTCAGCCTGGGCCACCAGGGCAGCCGCAGGCGCAGCCGCCGCCCCCAGCCCCCCCTCCAGCACAGCAGGCACCACCCAAAGGCATGTACCCAGGCGCCATCGGGCGACCTCCACCAATGCCGCAGATGAACTTTGACCCTCGCTGGATGATGATCCCGCCTTACATGGACCCCCGCATGATGCAAGGGCGGCCCCCCATGGATTTCTACCCACCAGGGGTCCATCCCTCTGGTAAGTAGTGCTGCAGAAGCCCCAGCTCTGCTACCGGTAAGCAGGCAGAGGAAGGCACAGGACTAGCCAGGTACACCTGACTGGCCCAGAGGCGGGGAGCTTGGAAGTGTGCAGGAGCCATTGTGCGTGACTCATGCATCTGGGCGTGCATTGCCCTTTTTTCCTCCCTCAGGTCTTCTGTCCCGTGAGCGATCGGACAGTGGGGGCTCCAGCTCAGAGCAGTTTGACCGTCACCCTCCCATCCTTCGAGAGCGGGGCACCCCACCCGTTGATCCCAAGCTGGCCTGGGCTGGAGATGTCTTTGCCAACACCCCCGCTAGTGCGGATGGGCGGCCTCAAGCAGCATCCCTCCGCCAGGAGGAGGAGGAGAAAGGCTTAAGGTGTGAGGTCCTTGGAGGGTGGCGGGGCAGGGAATGTGCGGTCCCAGGTGAATGAAGCGTACCAGTGCTGATCTGGGAGTCCCGCTTTTTCTGATCTGTGGGCCCTGGAGTCTTATATCTGGAATATCTGTGATTGATTTTGCAGACCTCCATGATGGAAGGGTGGGCCATATCTTGGGCCCCACACCCAGAGAGACCAAATTGTGCTTTCCTGTTCCTCTGGCATAGCCCTTTGAGAGAGGAGACGCTAGTGGCTTTCCTCAGGGCTGATAGTCCCTGTTTTCCTCTTTCAGGAGTGAGACGCCCCCTGTTCGCCTGCGTGAGGCAATCACCCCACAGCCCTACATGGGGAACTACCAGGGTTTCTCAGAAAATGGCAACCCTGCTCCACTGCACCGTTTCCCGGTGGATGAGGCACCGCGGCCAGGCGCCCCCTGGCAAGCCGGCGTGGCTCTGGCAGCACCAGCGGAGGTGAACAGGAATGGGCGCCCCGAGCCCCTAATCCAGCCGTCTCGCAAAAGCGAGGAGGAGCCCCAGCTGCTGCATCGAGATCCCCCTGAAGAGCTCAAATCAGCTGAGCCTCTGGGTATTCGGTCCGTGGTGGCTAAGAAAGCTCCCCCAGAGCAGCCTAAGGAGGAGCCTCCGGTCAAAGAGGAGGCTCTGCGACGGGTGGAGAAGCCTCCACGGCAGCAGCATGAGTTCCACAAGCAGCCCCGGCGGGAGTCCAGGACAGAGACACGCTGGGGTCCCCGTCCGGGCAGCAGCAGCAGCCGGAGAACCGAGGATATTCCTGGGGACAAGGCCCCTCGCCGAGCTGGGCCTATCAAGAAGCCACCCCCTGCCAAGGAGGTAAAAGAGGACAGTGAGGAAATACGTCCCACTGGGAAGGCCAAGGAGGGTGGGGAGCCTGTGAGTAGCAAGCCAGAACCCCCAAAGGAGCCTCCTAAGCCTGGCAAGGAGAATAAGGCCAAGCCGGTGGTAAACGGCGGACCTGTCATGCCACCCAGGGAGCAGCAGGGCCCGCTCTCACCCAGTCGGCGGCGCCGAGAGGGCCCCTACGAGCGTGGGGGCTACACTGGCCGTGGCCGGGCCCGGGGCCGCGGAGAGTACTTTGCCCGGGGACGGGGCTTCCGTGGTGCCTACAGTGGCCGTGGCCGAGGCGGCCGAGGCAGGAGTCGGGAGTTCCGCAGCTACCGTGAGCCTTTCTACCGGCTGGACGATGGGACTGGAAAAGCTGCTGGGCCAGGCTCCAGCTTCCGACCGCGCAACACCAGCGAAACACGTAGTGAAGGCTCAGAGTACGAAGAAATCCCAAAAAGGCGCCGGCAGCGAGGTTCAGAAACAGGAAGTGAAACCCACGAGAGTGCCAGCGATGTGGCCCATTCAGACAAGGAGGTGACCAAAGAACCCACCCCCAGCCAGCGCAGCCGGGGTGGCCCAGTGACGGCGCCATCTGGTCCTTCTTGCCACCAGCCTGGCTTGCCTCGCCTTGCTGACAAAATGCCCCCGCGCCTCTCAGATCCTGGCACCCGTGGCGGACGTGTCTTCACACCGCGTGGTGTCCCTTCACGCCGGGGCCGAGGAGGCAGCCGTGCACCACCGGGGGGATGGAGCCCCCCGTCCAAGCCCCAACCAAACAGGAAACCTGAGAAGCAACAAGAGGCAGTTCTGGAGTCTTCTGGGAAAGAGAAGGTCGCCACAGGACCTCCAGCCGTGACCTTGGAAGATCCCAGTGGCTTCCAAGCCCCTCCCAAACAGCAGACACTTGGCCCCGGCTCAGAGCGTGCCTTTGACCGGCCACCCCGGCGGCGGCGCCATGGACGTTCTCAGCAGCAGGACAAGCCGCCCCGATTCCGGAGGCTGAAGCAGGAGCGCGAGAATGCAGCCCGGCTCAACGGTGAGCAGCGGGCAGGTCAGCCCTTCTCCCCAGCACCGACAGCCCCTCTCCCGGAGGAGTCAGCTGCCCGGCGTGTGGCAGGCACCAAGTCTCCAGACTTGTCCAACCAGAACTCAGACCAGGCAAATGAGGAGTGGGAGACTGCTTCAGAAAGCAGCGACTTCACTGAGCGCCGGGGGGGTGGCGAGAAGGAGCCAGCGCCCGGGGGGCCTCCCCCCACCGCCTTCCTGAAAGGCGGATGTTCTGGCACACCCTCTGTGGGGGGGCGGCCCTCCAGCAACGAGCTCAGCTTGGCCCAGCGGAAAGAGATGTCCAAGCGCAGCTTCTCCAGCCAGCGGCCTGGCATGGACCGACAGAACCGGCGATCCAACCCTGGGCCAGGGGGTGGAGGCAAAACCGGCCGCGGAGGGAGTGGCAGTGGGCGCAGCGGAGGCGACAAGAGGAGCTGGCCCTCACCCAAGAACCGCAGGCAAGTTCTTGGAGTGGCGCATGGGGTCTGGAGCTGCCAGAGAGGCAGGCCAGATCTGGATATGGGGGAGGGAAGTCAGGCAGTGCCATGAGTGGCGTGGCGAAGAATTCACATCTGGATTGTTTGGGCTGATTGGGGTGGCATCCCGCATCCTGGTTGACTGCACTTTCTATCATCCCCAGCCAGTGTCACCATTGGGGTGAAGTATGCTGAACTAAGGCTGACCAGTGGATGGGAAGGAAATCGAAGTGGGTACTAAAATGGTGGGGTCAGACAAGGGTGACTGAGCAATTGTGTTTTTTTGCAAATTTTCTATGCTAGTTTCTATTTTTAAAGAAATCCACAGTGGTTTGCAATGATAGAGAGTACAGATCCTGTTAGTCATTTACATGTTCATCAACGTGTCAGCACAGAAGGAACAAGTCTGGTAAATCTCAAGGCTTGAACTACCCTGGGAAAGAGCCTGGGGTAGCCATACAAAGATCTGCAGAGAGGGCACTTCATGGCAAGGCCACAAGTTCCTCAGGGAGACCGGGTTGCCTTCAGTGTGCAACAGAATTCAGTGGTGGTCTTAATTGCCCATATCTGGGCAAGGTAGGGCTTGAAATTCTGTTCAGATTACAGTTGCGGCCTAGAAACACACTGGTGGCAAAGGCAGAAGTTTCAAAATAAGTGGGAGGCGAATATGTGCCAACCCAGATCTGTCAATAGATGAGCAGCAGCATTTTCCAAATTGCCTTCAAAGGCAGGCAGCCACAGAGCATAATGCCAGTGGCCAGATGGAGTTAAGTATTATATTCCTCCCTTTTTCTGCAAGAAACCCAGGGCCACATACATAACTCTTCTCTCTGTTTTATCCTGACAACAGCCCTGTGAGGTGTGCTAGAATGCTCCAGGTTGGTTGCCTGGAGTTCAGTGACTGATCTGAGGAATGGAGCTTGGGGTGGGGAGAGGAGGAAGAGAGCAGATGGCAGCGCTTAGGCATTACTGGCTCTGCCAAAGCTTTCAGGACAACTGTGTGGGGCATCAGCTGAAATTTCTCCCCAGTTGGTCTTGTCTCATTGTGCTGCTGTACATTGTCAGTCTTGATTTTTGCACCCCCAAGCAGTGCCTCCTTAGGCCCAACTTGCCACTTGCTGCCAGTCTTGCCTGTGGACGAGCTGTCTCTCCATTTACCTCTTCCCCCTTCTAGTCATCAGAAGCACGTTTGCAGGCAACCTCTAATGCACAATTCCTGGGTCTTGATGGGCACAAGGAAAACTGCTAGAAAAGAAACCAAGGAGGAGGTGTAGGAATGGGGGACTGTTTCCTGATCCCAGTGGGCCACATTTGGCGCATTCATACTTAGGGTGACAATGATCTTTCCTGTCCAGACTTTAGAGGCAGCTTCATCTTTATGTGCACCACAGTTTATCTCCTCCTTCAGTACTGAAAGCTCTGCTTTTTCAGTTGAGAATGACCCCAGTGTCGCTTAGCTCTTTGACCAAGATGCTCTAAAGCACTTCAGAGTTAACCTCTGATATACTAATTGCAACCCTATCTGGACAGAGAGAGGCTAGCTATGGTAATTCATGCTCTGTTAACCTCTCATTTGGGTTACCGCACTGTATGTGGGGCTGCCTTTGATAGCAGTTGAGAGACTTCAGCTGACCAAAACAGGGCAGCAAGATTGCTAATGGGAGCTCATTCACCAGAGCATATTACGCCAGTTCTCTTCTGGCTGCACTGGCTGCCACTTGAAGCCCAGACCCTATTCAAAGTGCTTTTATTAACATTTAAAGTCCTGAAAAGCTTGAGGCCAGGTTATCTGAAGGAATATCTCATCTCATGTGTACCTACCTAGACCCTAAGGTCATCTTTGGAGGTCCTTCTCTGGGAGCCACCTCTAAAGGAAGTGAGGACAGAGGCTACCAGGAGAAGGGCCTTTTTGAGTGTGGCTATAGAATGAGCTCCCTAAAGAGGTGCTCCTGGCACCTTCTCTGTGTTCGTTTTGGCGGCAGGTGAAAGCCTCTTTCTTTTCCCAGTATTTCAACAGTTAACTTTTAAATTTTAGTTTTAATGCTGCATTTTATCCTGTACTGCTGTTACACCTCTGTGCTGATTTGGTTACAATTAACTGTGGTTTTATTTTCTATGTTATTTTTTTTGTTTCTTGTTCGTGTGTTTAACTTTTGTTACCCACCCAGAGAGCCTTGGCTATTGGGTGGTATAAAAATTAAAGAAAGAAAGAGAAAGAAAGAGTTCTGATTAGACAAAGTCCTCAGTCGGGCCTTGGTGTGGGATTACTAAGACATCCTTGCCTCTTCTATGACCAAAATTGCACTTTGCTGCTTGTAGTTGTCATGCTCCCCACAACCCTCTGATACTCCCCTCTCCCAGTGTTGATTGAATCCCTTGTACATGGGGCTGGGGCCATAGGAAAGAAACAACCACCAGCAGGGCAGCACAGAGCAAGAAAACTGAGCAGAGAGCCAGGGCATGCTCTGTCCTCGATTATTAGGGTGCCAGACATAATCCCACGTTGAAGGTGGGGGAGGGGGTGTTGCCTGTGGGCAAGGAGAGAGGATGGGACCCACCCACTCCACCCCACTTTGCACAGAGACTGTTGGCTTCCACTTGGTAACCCTTCCTTCCTTCCCTCCCTCCCTCTCTTCCTCTAGCCGGACCACAGATGATCATTCACCAGGCTTGAGCCTGCCTCCGGCCCCCACCACCAGCACGGTGTATCGTTTGGACCGTGTCATCCACAGTGACCCAGCTGGCATCCAGCAAGCCCTGGCTGAACTGGGCAGCCGTCACACCAAACCAGCCTCCCCTGGGCCAGCCCAGCCACCCTTCCTGGGGCCTGCAGCCAGCAGCCCCACTGCCCTTCCACTGGGACGCTTCGAGAATAGAAGCAGCAGCAGCACAGGTAGCGTGTGCTGTCCGTGGCCAGTGGGCCAGCCATGCTGCCTTTGCGTGTGGACTCAGGAATGGCAGCTTCCACCAACCAATACTCTGCAGCCGATTTCCAAGGGGGAGTTGTATTCATGGGACAGGCTAGAAAAGAAACCGCAGCAGGGGCAGGAGATGGCGAGTGGTGTGGAGTGCAGTAACTGCAAAGAAAAAAGAAAAGAAAAGTGTATTTCTCTGAAAAGTTGTGGGCAACTCCCGAGGCTTCCCTGCCTCACCTAGGAGATTTTCTAGAAGCCGCAAGCACTGCACTGGAGGCCATGTTTCATGTGGGCTTGGGGGAGGCTTGCTCCGCTCCCTTCATTGCTTGAGTGCTGCTCCTCTCAGGGTGGATCAGGTGTGCCACTCGCTGGGTCGTTGGTGTGCTCCCACTTCCCTGGGCAAAAGATCACTCCCCAGCTCATTCAGTCACGATGGCACATACCACTCCACAGGCAAACAGTTCTCTACAGGAGAGGGCATGCACTTGGAAGCAGTACCGAGTGCTGTGTGCGTATGAATATGTATAGACAATATCCCAGCTGCTGCCTCTGTCTCAGAAAATCTCCCCAAACAGGCTTTATGAGAGTCGGTAGCTGCCAAGGCCAAGTAATGGGAAGGCCTGAGACGGCATTTCCTGTGCTGGCCTGAGGTGCTGAGGACCAGTCCATCAGCTACAAGCAGGGAGTCCCAGTCCATTTCTTGAGAGATCAGTGGCATGCCCGTGTCTTCCCCATTCAGACTCCTGCTTCCTGGAGAAGAACCAGCTACTCCACTCCAACAGCAGCGCCCCTCTGAAGGAGCCTGGGGCCATGGGCAGCTTTGCTGCAAAGCGCCGGGAGCGGCCACGCAAGCAGGACCTCCTACAGCAGGTTGGCAGATTCCCACACAGTGCTGGCATTTGGGGGGAAAGGCAGATAAGGACGGTATCTGGCTTAATTTCTGACACCTGTTTCTGCCCCCACTGGGGCATGTGCTCTCTCTCTCTCTCTCTCTCTCTCTCTCTCTCTCTCTCTCTCTCTCTCTCTCTCTCTCTCTCACTCACTCACTCACTCACTCACTCACAGGAACCTCTAGCCTTCCCCAGTGGCCCAGGCTTCTCAGCCCCCAAAGAGGAGACCCCAGGGGAGCCTCGCAGCAGGAGTGTCCCAGTCACTGAGGGGCTAGCCCCACAGATCTGGAACCAGCTGAATTCTAGTGAGTTGTTCCTCATTTGTTTTGGGGCCCCTGGAAATCCCAGGTGAGTGTTTGGCAGAAGTGGGAGGAGGAGAGCAGCTGGACGTTTTTCTTGTTCAGGTAGTTTCCCCAAGGGGTTTCTTGCAAATTGGAAATGAGTGACTTTTTTCATGGGTTAAACTGGAACAAGGCTCATGAGTTAAACTGGAACAAGGCTACCTGTGGGCAGGCTGAAATGAGATTCAAGAACAGCTGAGATGGAGCAGGGCCACTGCCTGGCATGCGCCTCCATGCTGCCCAACCTTTGTTTCTTTCCCAGACGCCTCTCGAAAGAGCTTCCGCCCTGCCTCTGTGGAGCCCTGGATTGACCCACTCAACGCCTTCGAGGAAGTTGCCAGCACAGAGGTGAGGGCCTGCCTGTGGGAGGGAGGGAGGGAGGGAGGGAGGGGTGCGCCGTGGAGGCCCCCCTTTAGAGTGCGGTGCTGGGCTTAGCCACTGGGGCTGCGAGGGGTGCTCTCGCATTGCGTCCCGGCTTCTTCAGCCAATTTCTGAGTGGCCCCTTTCCCAGATGAGCCTGTCTGACAGCGGCGTAGACCTCAGCAGCGACTCGCAGGTCTCCTCGGCCACATGCAGCCAGCGCAGCTCTCCCGACGGGGGTCTAAAGGCCACGCCGGATGCCGGCACCAAGCGCAGCGGCACCATTGGCAAAGGCGGTGAGGACACGGCAGCCACTGGACCTGAAGGGGCGGAGCCGAAAGAACAGAAGCGGCGGCCACCCCCAGCCAGGGATGGCAAGCCACTCAAGGACAAAAAAGTATGTAATCTGGTGTGGAACAGTTTCGGGGCTTCAGGCTGTACCAGCCTTTCCCAGTTGGACTCCCTGCAGTCAGACTGGCCAGGTGTGTGGGGAGACTTGGCACAGCTGCCAAAGCCTGCTCTGCGCTGTCACGTGGCCCTTGCCGCTCTCCTAGCAGGAGCAGTCGGCTTGGCAGGCTTCAGCTGCACTTCAGCCTTCAGCCTTGGGCCCGTCTCTCTCACATTGCCAGTGCTCCCCCCAACTGAGAGCACACAGCTGGTGCTACAGAAATATGCAGCAGCAGCAGCAGCAACCTAGAAGCTTTTGTGGATGAATCTTGGGCAAAACTGGGTAGCAGCCCTCTCGGGGGAGCCCTGCCATGCGTGGTCTAACTCCGAGGTGGGCAAACAGTGGTCTCGGGGCTTGAGTAATCCCAGCTTGGTTCTCTGCAGGCCAGGGGAGCTGCCTCATCTTTTGCTGCATTTTCATTTTGTTTGTTTGGTTGGTTTTCTATGCCACCCAATGGCCACCACTCTCTCAGCAGTTAAAAGGCTAACGTGGTGTGGTCTGAGTGCAGAAAGACCTCCTGGCCTCACCTGGTGGCCATTCGCCTCTCCGTCTTGTCAAATGGGGGTGATGCCACTGGGTGCGGCTGGCGGCTTGTTGTTTAGGCAGCTTTAGTGGCTGCTGAGAGCATTGCCCAGGCCAGCAATGGCCTCCTGCCAGCTGGCCTCTTCCTGCCGCAGTGGTCAGGCCTGCCGTGCCAGGCGCAGCTGTTGGGCTGAAAGGCTGCCCTTCTCCTGCTGCAGAAGGGATCGCGAGTGTCTGCCTCTCTTCCTGTGGCAGGTGAGCAGCTCCCCTGAGCCTTCCCCCCGAGACCACCCTCCACCGGGTGCGATTGGCACAGAGCGTTCCCAACGAGCAGAGAAGGCAAAAGACAGCACCGAGGGGCTGGGGGCGACGAAGAATGAGCCAGGCCCCCCACGCGAGGGCCCGGGGGCCTGCCCACCCATCCAGTTTGGAGCCAGCGAGAAGGTAAGTGTGACCGCCGGGAGTTCCTCCTCTGCAGGGCAAGAGGAGGGAGGCAGCGCTCCCAAGTTCTGCCATCAACTTTCTGACGGCGCCTAGCAGGAAATTGTGAATGCCATTCCCTAGTTGGGTTTCTGCCCTTTTCAGGATGCTGACCTTCGCTTTGTGGTGAATGAAGGTCCAAAAGAGGACAAGGAGGAGCTGCACCAAGCACTTGCTGAAGGGGTGAGCCATGCCAGATGGGGAGAACTGGGGCCAGCCTGGGAGTGGGTGCCCTCGCGTTCCTCTGGGAAGGCAGGAGAGACTCCAGGGGAGCTTCCTCGTTGTTGGTGGCTCTGTGGGCTGGTCCACAGCAGCCTCTTTGCTCGAGCCACACAGCCTTCAGTCGGAGAACGAAAATCCATGCCTCAGCTCGTGGCCTGACAACCAGACAGATACAGGGAGTGGCAGCTTCCCCTTCTGCCTGTAAGGGATGGCATAGCCCATTAGGTCCCTCTGAATCCAACATCTCTTGGAGGATCCACATCAGGAAAGGGGTCCACAGCTTGGAGGGCTACATTGCGTGCCAAGTGCAACCGCCCTCTTGGAGCATCTCAAGTATCCAAGGGTGTACATCTGGAAATTGAAATCCACAACATCTGGCGATCTGCCTCCTGCCTCTGCCTCTGCAGAGCGCGCTTAGTCAGCTCCACTGGGGCTTCCCCCAGTTTCCTTCTTCACTGAGTATGGATTGTGTATTTCTGCATCTTTCCGAGCGGCAGCACGCTCTTTCTAGAGAGGAAACGCAGAAGCGTGCTGGATAAGTGAATCAAAATCAGCTTTGTTAGGGCAGAGCAGGGCTGGACAGCTTGTGGGGCTTACCAGTGTTGTGGGACTGTTGTGCTGTCTGGGGTTGATGGGAGTTGCCATCCCACACAATTGGAGGTTGCCCCTTTCTGAGCTAAAGGGGGTGGGCAAACTAGAGCTTGCCTGCTCGTCCCGCTGCATCGCTTCATCGGCCCCTTTCTCTCTGCAGCTGGCCTCTGCGCCCAGGGAGTGGGAGCTGCTCCCCCCTGCCCCTGCCAGCAGCAGAGCTTCCCCCGAGGTGCCTCCTGGTCGGTCCTGTGAGCCCAGACCTTTCCCTGCGGCCCCTGCTGCTGCTGCTGCTGCAGTCACCTCCTGCATCCACAGCCTTCCAGCAGACACATCTGTGTTCTCAGGTACGGGTGAGATTCAGGACAGGAAGGGGAGAGCGAGTCCTTCAGGGGGCTAACCCTTTTTCTTTCTTGTCCCCCTTTCCAGGTGAGAGGGGCCAGGGCCAGCGCCTGTACCCAGAGCTGTTTTATGGGAACCAGGTACCCACTGAGGCACAGAGGGCGGGGAAAGGGGTTGCCTGGCACAGGGGCTTCGTGGGGGCGCCAGAGCCAACGGGCTGCCTAAAGGACGGGGGCCAGGTGTCTTCCACGTGGCCTGATGGCCTTTTGGCATCTTCTTGCTGCAGGTCCCCACTGCCCAGCTCGAATCTCAGCTTCACAGCGCGAGTGGGGGGAGTGGCTACCGGCCCAGCACCCCCTCTCTGCACACGTACAGGTACAGGCTGTGGGGAGGGCAAAGAAGGGGGTTGGCTGGTTGCGGCCGGAGACCCTGGCCTCCTTCAGCACAACCTGTTTGCCTTGCCTTTGCCGGGCAGGCCTTACTGTACACCTTAACTTTGCTGCTTCCTTGACTAGGTCCCAGCCGCTGTACCTGCAGCCCAGCCCGGCCCCCGCCTCTCCAGCCCAGACGGCATCAGGGGCAGTGCTGCCCAGCTCAGCCTTGCTCTCAGGGGTGGCCCTGAAGGGGCAGTACGTGGAGATATCAGCCCTGCAGGCGGCTGAGCTTCCCAAGCTCCCAGCAACAGGCTTGCTGTACCAGGCGCCCCCTCCTTCCTTCATCTACAGCTCTGCCTTCTGCAGCAGCCAACTGGCTCCCGAGCAAGCCCTGCTTCAGGTACTGGGGGTGGGGCGTGTGGACGGAAGGAAGGAAGAGGAGTCCACAGGTAGCTTCTCCATGTCAGAGTGCCACAGAAAGAGGCATATGGCCTTCCCCAACCAGGTACCCTCCAAGTATGTTGACCTGCAACCCCAGTTTGGCTGGTGATTATGGGAGTTGTAGTTCAACACCTTGGGAGGGCTGGGATAGCATTTCATGTAGCCAGCAGCCCCGTCTGTCCAATAGAAAGCTGGGGCTGTGCCCATGGGCTCTGCAGAGGTCCCCTTTAGTGCCACAGGTTCGGGGGCTGGTTCAGAGCAGGCTGCCTCCAGGGCAGACTAGGCAGAATTGCTGCGAACTTAGTCTTTTGCCACCACAGCATGTGTGGTGCTTCCTTCTCATTTGTCCAAGAGGGGCAGCCACCTACTTAAAGATTTTCTTGCCACGCTGCGCTGAGACCCCTTTCTGTGGCATAGTGCCAGCTACTGAAGATTTGGTGTGCTTCCTAGAATGAGCAGGTCTGCTAATTGGCACCCCTGTGAAGAGTTGTGGGGATGCCAGGAGCCTCTCTGGACACAAAGCTGTTGGTCTGTCGGTCACAGTCTTGCTTCAATCTACCGGCAGCAGTTCTCCCAGTTGGCAGTTTGCCGAAGTCTTTCCTAGCCTCACCAAGGATTCCTTGCATGCGGAGAGCATCCTCTGCCTGCCACTGAGCGGTAGCCGTCCCTACTAATGACTGGAATTTTCAGAGTCAAAGCTGCCCGTTGCCTCCTCCCCTCGCCCTTTGGGGAACAGGCTCTGGAAGGCCATTGCGACCTGCTAGTCTCCCTTCCTTCCCTCCCTCCTCTCCAGGTGCGCCAAGAACTTGCCTCCCCCTCTGAGTTCTACCCAGCCACCCTGGGCCAAGGGGGCCAGAACAACTTCCTGACTGCCACCGGCCCTGCCCAGCAGGTGAGCCCACGCCATCGCTTGCAGCCAGGCCCCTCCCTGGGTGCCGCCCTGCTCGCAGTGCAGCACCTGCCTGTCTCCTCTCTATTCTGCCCCAGGTGCTTTTGCCGGTGGTGGAGCCGCCCCAGCTGCCACCCGTGGTGAACTTCGGCTCCTTGCAGCAAGCACCCCCTACTGCCCCTGCACCGCCGCCGCCACCTCCCCCGATGCCCCTGGTGCCCGTAGCCACCCAGGCCCTGCGGCCACCGGGACAGCTGGCCGGGCGCCTTGTGGCTCCAGCTGTGCGAGCCTTCCCTCATGGCGGAGCAGGCCGTAGCGAGGTAAAGAACAGCCTTGGGCACCGGCCTTCCGCTTGCCAGCCAGGGTCGCCTTGCCCTGCCCTGCCCGCTGACGGCCTTTCTCTTCCCCAGCTCCATACTCTAGAAATGAAGCCACTACAAGATTACCGAAAACTCAGTGGTCTGGGGTCTGCAGGGTCTCGACCCCCTTCTGGGGGCAGGTGAGTACCCATTGTGGGACAGAGAAAGCCACAGGGGAGAGTGGGGGAGCCTGGCTGGCCGGCTCATGCTTGGCCAGTGCAATTTCAGGCCAACCCCTGGGCCTCATCTCCTCCTCAGCACGAGCACTTGAACACTCTGTTTGCCAGTTGGCTTCTCAGTCCCATCCCTTACTGGCCTAGGAGTCCTGCGTGCCAGTCAGTAGCTTTCCAGACTATGGAAGGGGCCTGCTAATGAGTTTCTTTGCACATTCATTCAGTACTTCTGTTGGCTTTTCCCTGACGACTGTATAGGTGCAGCCCAGGTGAAATGGGGGCACATCTGTTTTGAAATGTATTGAAACAAAGGCATCTTGGATTTGTGTGAGTTCGAGATGACCTTGCAGACCTCAAGTGAGATGCTGCAGAACAGTATTCCCTGTAGGAATCCATATTCTAGGCTGTTGTTTTTGCCAGTTCTGGAAGTGTTATTTATGAGCCAACATTGACCTGTGGGTGCAGAAAAGCAAATGATGTCAAACGATGATGTGATGTGTTGGTTCCCATCTGTTCAGCACTCGTTGGGCCGCAACTGAAGTACTGTATCCGGTTCAGGGCACCACACTTCAAGGAGGACGTAGACGAGCTGGTGGGGGCGGGGGCGTGTGCAGAGGAGAGCAGCAAGGATGATCTGGGGTCCGGAAGCAAACCCCTGTGGGGAGGGATTGAAAGAACTGTGCCTTGCGCAGCCTGGAGAAGAGAGGACGGATAAGATTGTGCTTGTCAAATGTTTGAAAGGCTGTCACAGAGAGGAGAGTCGGGGTCAGGATTAGTGTTCTTAGTCATCCCAAAGTGCAAGACACAGAATAACGGGCTCAAGATACAGGAATCCACAGTCCAGCTGGTCATCAGGGAAAACCTCCTGACTGTTAGAGCTGTATGGAAATTGAACCCATGACCTGGGGAGGCCATGGGCTCTCCCACACTGAGGCTTTCAGGAGGCGGCTGGAGGCCCTCTGTCAGCGGTGCTTCAACTCGAAGCCCTGCGTTGAGGAAAGGGTTAGACCCAGGGGCCTTCTCAACCTCTTCCAATTTTACTGTTTTGAGAGTCTTTTATTTATAAACGCCGAGTAATCTTCTGCTGCCCTTTAAAGGAAACTTAGATTTTCTTTTAAGGACACGCTCTCACTCCATGTCAGTGCTCTGGCATGTATTAGACACGATGCCTAGAGGCTGTAGTTTGTCAAAGTAGGATCAGAAAGATTAGAGGTCAAATCTGTACTCAGCCATAAGACTCCGTGGGGGACCCTGGGCATCCAAGGTGGCTTAACCTACTGTGCAAGGTTATGGAGTGCAGCGTGAGCGGGAAAGAACCGTGTGTGCCGTGTTGAGCTCTTTTCGGGGGAAGGTGGGCTGTGTGCACGTAAACAAACAATAAATGTTGGGGCTCTTAAAGCCATCCTAGCAGTTCGCACAGCTTGGTAGTACCTCCCTAGCTTTTGAGTCCTTTGGCCTTCTATTTGTTAATAACAGCGAACTTGCCTCTTTCCTGCCCGCCTGCCCGCCCACCCACATCCCCCTCATGGCTGAGGCTTGTTTTCTCGCCCGCAGGCCTTTCGCTGGAGGCTTCAATGCCAGGCTGAAATCCCCCGGGTCTGGCTATGGTGGCATCTTCCGTGCCCAACGCTTTGAGGTCTACCAGCAGGTGCGGCTGCCAACTTGGTAGTTCTCTATTTGGGGGAGGGGGGTGGGGGTGGCTTGATTGGGGCATTAAAGAGGCGGCTCTGTGATGTCCTCCCCTCCTCTTTTGTCCTGGCTTCAGTCAGACGTCCTTCGCTGGAACCCGCCCCGCCCCTGGGAGCGAGCAGCTCAGCCACGTGATGGAGCTCCAGCCCGCCGCCTCGAGGCAGAGGCCCGCTCCCACACTGACAAACAAGACCCCAGGCTCTCCGGCCACCACTAGCCCAGGACGCGCATCCCTCCACTCTTGATTCTGTTAGCCCTCCTCCCCAGAATTGTGGGAGGGGTCTGGAAGGGGCTCATTCTTCTTTCCCCTTGGTATATCCTGAATATGGGGTGTCTTCTCAGCTCCTTTTCTGTTTGTGGGGGGTGACACTGGAATTTGCCCCCTCAGTTAGGGGTGTTAGACACTTAGTGAGGTGCTCAGAGTGTAATTTGGGGGGGCAAGGATCAGGATTTTGGGAGGCTCCCAGCTGAATGTATTTTTGCTTATTTCCTTTGGGTTTCACCTGAGTTTATTTTTCTGGCAGGGGCTGTGTTGCCCTGCCTATCTGAGGGGGGAGCAGCTCTAAGGTGTGGAGTGTAAATATATATAAATATGAATTTGTGCGGTCTCACCTCTTCCCTCTTCTATTTATGGGGGTGGGGGGAGGTGACCCTGGGAGCCCGCCTCCTCTCCTGTCTATTTGCTCCCCTAAGTTTGAAATAGGAAGAGCTGAGTTTTTAAAAAGGTGGTCGAGCTGGTTTGTTTAATAAATAAAAACCAAAAAAATTGTTTAAAAAAACCAATAAAATCAAAAGTCAAACTGTTGGGTTTTTCATGTGCTGTTGCTTATAATGTTGCATTTAAGCGTCCCGGGTTTGGTCATATCTAAAGTTAACCTATTGTTAGGGGGTCATGGCTTACTGAAACCCCTTTTGATTTCAGTGCGTCTACTCCAAGCAGGACCAAGTCTGCAACCAAATCCATATTGGATAACCTGCATTTCCCCACCTATGAAAACTTTAGCTGTAATCACAAGAAAAGAACCCGTGGCACAAATAACTTCAGTAAAAACTTGTTGTAGTAATCCAAGTACCTACCCTTCCTGTAGGCAAATGATCCTGTGTTACATAATGACCATTTGTGTGTGTTACCAAAAACAAAACTGCCCTCTAATGGAGTGCAGCCTTAACTGTGTTAAGATCTTTCCTATCATCAGTCATACCTCTGAACTTTCAGATCCAATTCTCATGCAATAGCAGGACATTGTGGATTGAATCGCTCCTGGGCCCATGCTAGCACCATTTTTAGTGTGCAGACTCTGGCCTACTTGGGAAGTTGCTCCGTGATGTCAAAATATGGACGCTATGGATTAATTGCGCACAGTTAACCTAGAGCTAATGAGGGAAATATGTAAAGAACAGATTGACTTTGACCAATCAACTGCTGTGGTGGTGAAGACTGTTTCGCTTCTGCTTCAGGAGACAGGTTTAAAATCTGTGAAATGCATTTGACGTCACCTGCAGGTGCAGTGCAGCCAAGACCTTTGCTGGGCAAGAATTTGCCTCTCAACCAGTAGCAGGCCTTCCACCCCTCGTGAGCCAGACATCTGCCCACATAGATGAGAGGAGCTACCTTCAGCCAGGGGTATGTGTCTCCTCTCACAGAAAAGAACTGTGTACAGCTGCAGAAAGACCACCCCCCACGACAGGTGTGGGGACAGCCCTCTGTAGATGACATTTCTAGTTTTCTGGCCTGCTGCTTACCTTTAAAAAGAATCCAGTACTAATAATCTATGGCTTCAAGAACTGGAATGGTAGAGCTTTCACCCCGAGAATGTAGACAGAAATATTACATACAGTTAAGCTAAGTTCAGTATAAACTATTGAGAGCAGGAATGGGCAACTTCAGGGAAGCTATATTCTTACTACTTTTGGAGAAGGAATGATTCCCACTTTTATAAAAAACACATTTTGCTGTTATAAAGGCTAGGAAGTGCTTAGAAAGAGCTAGTGGGGGCCACATGCAGCCAAGGTGTGGGGAGTCCATCTCAAGTTCGGATTGTGGCACAAGAGCCTCTCTCTGGATAAAGGGATGACCAGGTATTCCCTGCACCATTCCAGTTGCAGACGTGACCTTCCTGTCTAGCTCTGTTTCTGCTGTGCAGCAGGAGTCCTGCACAACCCAAGACTTGAGATGCCAGAGATCGATTAATGTTAGTCTGTTGATGTCAGGATAGGGTCCCCATGGCAAACTGGAATTCCATTGATTTCAGAGGATTGCCTCCAGACATGACCAAGTCTGGAACCAACCCCATGAAGATAATTTGAATTTCTCCTTTGCATGCAGAGCAAGTGAACTGAACTATTGGGAGACATTGCCCTATAAAAAGCACACTGCAGCTAGTTAATTGCTCTACACATCAAAGAGGACCTCTTGTTCAGCCTGGAAAAGGCATATTCCTAAGCAGAATTGCTCTGGGAGATCAGACAAGGCCCAAAAGTATTAATGAAACTGGGGCCTTTATCCTGAGATTTACCTTAAGTTGGAGAAGGTGCTCAGGGAAGCATTGAAAGGGAAAAAAAGTGCTGGCGTAATGGGAGATTGCAATTGCTTTGTTGCAGAATGGATCCAGTCTCAAGGAAATGGTAACATTTCACAGTACCCTAAAATGGCAGGCAAATTGAGTAGGAGAGTGAGGATTTTTCTCATGCCTCAGCTATGCTCACTAGAGCTGATGGGAGTTGTGGACTAAAACATGTAGAAGGCTACTCACCTGCCTTACATGACAGGAACTTTCAGTAGAGTTTGTAGAACTAACTACTGGGGCAGTGACCCTGGATGGCCTCTCTTGCCTAAATCAAATTGGCAACTCTGCTTTAACTAATTATATATACGTTAAGTGGAAAAGTGCTGAGGCTGTTTAACACAGTCATAGTGAACTGTGAAGGAGGGAACTTCTCTAAAATAACAACTCCTTAAGAGGAGATTGAAAGGGGGCTGGGAAGAAGGTCACATCTCTAGCATGCAACCTGGCAGCACAAAAGCCAGAAGGTCAACAGCGTGTTTAATAAGCACTTGTCAAGAAACAATTAGGGGGAAAAAGCTTGTCCAGATGAGAACAAATAGGTACAGGGTCTTGTAGGAAACAAGGCGAACAGATGGCACAAATGGGAAAAATGAGCTAATGTTAAGACCAATATTTCTGTTTTTAAATACAGCAAGAAACCAGCTGGGGTTGGAGTAGTTGTCAAGGGGATTAAAAGATACAGAGATGGCAGAGAAATTGCATTCTTCACATCTGTCTTAGCTGCTGAAGGCAAAACTAGGCCAAATGGTGGCAATGAGTAAAAGTTGGAGATTATAAATTAAAAAAAAAAAAAATCCAAGTTTAGATTATCCACCTGAGTTTTGAACAGACACAAGCATATAGTTCCTGATTTTAAAAGAAAACACATTCCTAAGATCACCCTCTGTAGATGACTGGAGAATATACTAATGGAGTGACATCTTTTAAAATGGAGCCATGAAATTCTAGGCTAGCTTGCTTAGCATCAGTTGGGGTAAATTAGAAGAATCTTTTATTAAAAATATTTGGTGCTCTCAGTCTCCAAAATGGGAACATGCCTTAAATACCCTATGCAATTCAACATGCAGAAAACGGACTATGAGACAAAGTGCAAATGGCAGCTTGCTGCCATTTCAGATACCCAGAAAAAGCTATTGGGGCTGTAGTGAACATACAACAACTCACTGTGAAGCAACTATGAAAAAGCTACACACCATTAAGAAAGGAATAAAAAATGTAACTGCCAATAGAGTAAAAACCGTTATTAAAAGTTCAGCATTTGTGTACTGAGTGCAACTCTGGTCGCCATACTTTACAAAGCTTACTGCGCAGCTGGAAAATGTGCAGAAATGGCATCCAAAATGATTAAAGGTCTAAAGCAGCTTCCGTATAAGGAAAAGTTACAATGCCTGGGACTGTTTTGCTTGGGAAAAAAGTCAAGCAAAGTGGGGACATGAGGTGCATGCAACTATTCGCATCATGGAAAAAATGGAGGGAAGTTTCCCTCCTTTATAATACAGGAACTCAATGGGCTCACTGACTGAAACTGAATGGTAGGAAATACAGTCTACAGTCTGATAAAAGGGACGATTTGCTCTCACAACAATGGAATTTGCTTCCACAAGGTCTGATAGTTACTGCTTTGGGTGATCTTAAAGGGGGATTGGATAAATTCCTGGATGAAAACAGCACGCATGCCGGTTCAGACCCTCTCTGCAGCACAACGCCAAACCAGCTTCCCACAGGATCCCCCAAGCAGAATGGGCACAAGAGTCCCACCTGCCCAAGCTCCTCACCAACTAGAATATGCAGCTAATGCCTCTGGTAACAAGAGGCCACAAGCAGCCAGTAATGTGATTAATCATTGAAAGCTTTCTCCATTAATTTGTCTAATTTTAAGGGCATCCAAATTGGTAGCCATAACTATTTCACGTAGCATTGAATTCCGCAGGTCTACTCTGGGCTGTGTGACAAAGCACATCCTATTATCTGTCCTGCATCTGCCACCAATTAGCTTCATGGGATATTAAGGAAGAGGGAAAACTGGACGCCCTGCCCCCACCATGCATTATTTTAAACAGCTCTCTCATGTCTCCCTTTACTTGCCTTTTTCTAACTAAATCCCAGTCATAATCGGGCAAGTTGCTCCAATTCCATTTTAGTTGCCCATTTGTTCAACTCACGTTATTTTTCTAGAACTGTAAAGCAATGTTCTAAGTGCAGCCACACCAAAGTTTTGTATAAAGGAGATACCATCCTGGAAATTTAATTTTCATTTCCTTATGAAATAATAAAATAATAATAATAGAGTTTGCCCTTTTCACAGCACTTGCCCACTGGCCGACATTTTCATTCAGCCATTCACCACAGCCTCAAGATCCCCTTCTTGAACTATCACTAGTCCCCTTAGGTTTTTAACCATCCTAAATAGTTTGGTGTCATACCTTGGGCATTTCACTGGTCACTCCTAATTCCAGTTCCTTTATGAATAGGTTGGAAAGCATTGGTACCAGTACCAAACCCCTTGTTTTCATCCCTGCATTGGGAGAAATTATCATTTATTTCTGATCCATAAGAGGGTTCCACCCTCTTTCCATGACTGCTAAATTTACTCAGCTGTCTTTGACTTTTGACAGACTTTGTCAAAAGCCTTTTGGAAGTCTAGATAAACAATGACTACCAGCTTGCCCCTCTCCACATACATCTTTGCACTCAAAAATGCTTAAGTGGGTGAGGTAGAAGCCATGTTAATTCCTTTTCATCAGAGCTTTCCACTCCGTGCTTACTGATTCTGTTTTTAACGATGTTTTGAACCAATCTAGCCAGAATGGACATTAAGCTATCCAACCTGTAAGTTACCAGATCCCCCTGGATCGCTTTTTAAAAACTGGCAGTACATTGGCCATTCTCCAGTCCTCTAGTACAGAGGTGATCTTAGGCATATATGACATGCTTTGTAAGGTCAGTGAGTTAAGATTTGAGCTCTTTAAGCACTTTAGGATAGTTATCTGGGCCTGGTGGTCTCATTAAATTTCAGCTTGTTAATAAGGTTGAGAATTTTGTCTATTACCATGGTAATTTTTGAGTAATCTCAAACATTTTGAAGAGATTTAACCCTCTTAACTCTCCTCTTCAATGTCTTCTTTACCAGTGCCCTCATTTTTGAGAACTTCCCTCTTTTGAACTCAAGTAATTCCTTGGGAATTTTCCACCTAGCTGTACATTAAATCTGCTGGCCAGCTCCTTCAACCACATTTACTTCCTGTGCTATGTCCTGGCCAACCCTGCCTAAGATTAAATCCTGGACGGCCTCCCCTCTGGTTGGTTCCATGACCAAACTGTTTCAGGGCAAAGTTACATAAGCCATTAAGAAATTTTTCTGCTTTGTCAGAACTGGAACATATATTTATGCTGCCAACATGGGAGCAGTTGAAATCACACATTAGTACAGGACTACCTTTTCATTTTCCATCTCAAGTTCACTCTGCATACATACTAGTCTATTCCTGTGATTAGTTTTGGAGTCCAGCTCCCACAGTGCCTCTGCGGAGTTTGTCAGCTGTTCATTATTAAATCTGCTGATCCCTGTGCCCTCCTTGACATGCAGAGCTATACCTTTTCCAGTACACCCTTTGCTGTCCTTCCTGTACAGTTTATAGTAAGAGGTGACCAGTGCCTCCATTCCACCAGGTTTCTGTACCACCCACATTCCCCTTTAATTATTATTACTATTATTATTATAACATTTCTATGCCGCCCCTTGCCGAAACCTCGGGGTGGCTTACAACATGATAAAATACATTGAAATACAATAGTACATAATAAATTACCATTAAATATAAAATACAAAAAATACATTGATTTACAAATACAAAATTAAAATTATCAGTATAAAATAAAAATATAGGAGGAGAAAGAGAAGGAAGAAGAAGTTGCCCAGGCCAGATCATATGTTTTAACAATTGAAATGATGTTTAAATAAAAAGGTCTTTACCTGGCGCCGAAAAACCAGTAACGACGGTGCCAGGCAGACCTCTTTGGGGAGTGAATTCCATAGGTTGGGCGCCACTGCAGAGAAAGCCCTCCTCCGGGTACTTACTCTCCTAATTTCTTTCATGGAGGGTTCCCGGAGAAGGGACTCTCCCGCAGATCTCAAAGGGCGGTTGGGCATATACGGACGTAAGCGCTCGTTCAGGTAGCCAGGACCCAAGCCGTTTAGGGCTTTGTAGGTCACAATCAACACCTTGAATTGGGCCCGGGCTTCAATGGGAAGCCAGTGAAGCTGATGGAGGACTGGAGTCATGTGAGCATAACGCCCCGTCCCCGTCAGCAACCTGGCAGCTCTATTTTGCACCAATTGAAGTGTTCGGACTGTCTTCAGGGGAAGCCCCACGTAAAGCGCGTTACAGAAGTCTAGGCGGGAAGTCACCAGCGCGTGTGTCACTGTCGCCAGGCAGTCGTACTCCAGGTAGGGGCGCAGCTGATTAATCAGCCGAAGCTGAAGGAAGGCGTTCTTCGCTACCGCTGTCACCTGAGCTTCCAAAGAAAGCCCGGGTCGAGGAGTACTCCTAAGCTGCGGACCTTATCCCTAAGAGGGAGTGTTGCACCATTCAGGACCAGGTCAAATCCACCCTCTCCGAAACCCGATCCGCCAACCAACAGGACCTCCGTCTTGTCTGGGTTGAGTTTCAGTTTATTGGCCCTCATCCATTCCCTTACCTCGGCCAAGCACCGGTTCAGCACAGCCACTGCCTCACCTGGATTAGTGGAGAATGAGAGGTAAAGCTGGGTATCATCAGCGTATTGATGATTCCACAGCCCACACCTCCTGATGACCTCTCCCAGCGGTTTCATATAGATGTTAAATAGCAGAGGGGATAGAATGGAGCCCTGTGGTACCCCATGGCATAGCTGCCATGGCGTAGAGATATGGTCCCCCAGCACTACCTTCTGGAATCGACCGTTGAGATAGGAGCGGAACCACTGCAAAGCAGTGCCTCCAACCTCCAATCCCGCAAGTCTATCCAGAAGGATACCATGGTCGATGGTATCGAAAGCCGCCGAGAGGTCCAGAAGAACCAACAGGGATGTACTCCCCCTGTCCTCCCTGCACAGGTCGTCGTACAGGGCAACCAAGGCAGATTCAGTACTGTACCCGGGTCTGAAGCCGGACTGAAAAGGATCCCGATAATCAGTTTCCTCCAAGAGTGCTTGGAGTTGTCCCGCCACCACTCGCTCCAGCACCTTGCCCAGAAACGGGATGTTGGCCACAGGTCTATAGTTAGTGGCCATCTCTGGATCCAGTGACACTTTCTTCAGGACCGGTCGTATTACCGCCTCCTTTAAAGGGGCAGGCACTCGACCCTCCCTCAGAGAAGCGTTAACCACTTCCAAAATCCAGGTCCCAATCCCGTGCTTGGAGTTATTTATTAACCAAGACGGGCAAGGATCCAATAGGCACTCCAGCTGTTTGGCCCCGAGGAGTCTAGCATTTGCACAGAAACACCCAAGTTTCTTCTCCAGACATATGCAACTCATGTTTTGGCACTTAAATGTCTCCAACTTGCTATCAAATCTCGCCATAATCTTCTGACTTAATTATCTGACTTCCTGACTTCAGGCAGGCAGAAACCCTTTCCTCTGGATGACTTAACCCAAGCCAAATGCTTCCCAGCTCCTGTAGGCTTCCTCCCAGAGCTTCATTTAAAAGCTGCTCTGCCACCTTAGTGCACCAGTGGTCTGCTTCCATTAAGGTTCAAATGAAGCCTATCCCCAGCGTGCCGCAAGTTGTTCTTCAGGGCAGAACAAACCTGACCCTCTCTAGCACACCCTCTCGCTCATGCATCAAGGCTCCTAAGCTGGGCTTGTCCAGCTGGCCTGAGCGTAGCAGCGGTCGCATTTCAGAGAGCACCACCTTAGTGGCCTTGGACAGCAGCCTGCTCCCCAGCACAACTGCATCACTGGTGCCAACGTGGCCACAACCGCTGACTCCGCCGGCAAGGCTATCCAGCTGGCACACGATACCCAGAACCTTCACGCCAGGCAAGCAGCTCACCAGGCGGTCTATGTGCCCACTGCAAGCCAGCCAAGGGTCTAATGACTGGATCTCCCCCTGCCAGCCGCTCCCCACCCCTGGAGGCACGTCGGAGGGCTGGCGAAGGGGGCTTCTTCCAATACCAAAGGCCGCACGCCGTATACGCGAGGTGTTGCCCAGCACAAGCAGGGGGGTAGTGCTATGTAAATGATCGCAGGCTTGCATGGCCACCTTGCTGGCCGCTGACCACCAACTCCAGGGTGAAGCAGGCATTTGACCCAGGTCAGCACGGCTGCCCCATTTTCTGGCAACCCCATTGCCTTCCGTGCAGCTAGTGTGTGGTGGTGAAAGCTCTGGGCTGGCGGACTGGGAAATCCAGATTCTGGCCCTGCTTGCCTGTGGAGCTCACTCGGTTGCTTTGGGCCAGTCACGCCCAACCCGCCTCACAGCTGTGAGGACAAGTGGCAACTCTGGAGCCCTGTCAGCTGCCTCGGGTTCCTCAAAAGAGCAAACAGGCAGGTTACAAAGGCTGCAGCATCATCAACAGAACACGCCACTGGTTTTAACCACTGCCCAGGTACATGCTGAGGAAATATTTGCTGCCGCTCTTACAATCTCGAGTGCCTGCCTCCTGGTCCGGAAGAGCACTGCCAGGGCCGGCTCACAAGTGGGCACAACAGGGATGCGACAACCTCAGCACTGCAGCACGAGTCTGGGGAGACGTGCATTACGTTACGCACGAGAACGTGCAACACGTGGTTGAAAAGCTTGGCTGGAGGAAGAGGGTGAGCTGCCTGCCTACAGCTTTATCTTACAAAGCAGGCACAGAAGGAAGCCCTTGGCAAAGCAATTCCGCAGATAATTATGCGGCCGCTCCCAACAGGGGCTACAAACCAAGAGGCCAACTCTTCCCCCCCGCAGACATCAATCTCGCCAGCTGCCAGGAACACACGCACAGCCAGGCCCTGGACAAGTGGCTTTATTGACTGATTTCAGCAGCAACTTGGACACTCCACTGGAGAAGAAAGGTCACAGCAACCAGAGGGCAGGGGATGAGGAAATCCGTGGGAAGGAACTTAAATATTTGGCCTGAGTAGGGAGCGGCTGCTTGCACGGTGCACAGAGGGCAAGGAGACCCACCCCGCTGGGCCTGTGCCTCCAGACCGGGGAGCCTGGGCAGCAGCTGCTATGAGTCCTCGGCCACAAAGGCCTGCTGAGCATTGGGGAACCGCTGGGGAGTGAAGCTGGGATCAGCCTGCAGCCGCTTCTGGAGGTCCGATTTCAGCTGCAAGACAAGAAGCAGGAAAAAGCAATTTGGCAGCTGCCAATCCCTCGGCTGGGAGATGTGGGGAGAGGGAGAACTTGCCGGGCCAGCCCTGCCCTCACCTGCTGGCGGTAGCCTTCCTGCAGTGCCGGGTCAGCAAGGTCTCGGCTCAGGCTCTCCGTGCTGGTCAGAGGTTTCACGCCGGCCACCTTGGCGGCCTTGCTGACCGCCTCGGACAGAAGCAGCTGAGGCCCATCGCCCTGCATGGTCTGTGGAGCGAGGCGGAAGCAGAGGTGGCCTTGGACCTGTCTCAGAGCAGCCTAAGCAAAGCAGCCTGAGGCAGTCGCATGGCCTCCCCGTGGAGCAGCAGGCCGAGAAGTGACCGGCCACAGAAGGGCACGGACACTTCCCCAGCGGTGAGCCAGCAGCGCCCCCCCCCCCCCCCCCCCCGGGAGGATTCCCCTTCTCAAGCCACGTACGGAGTCCCAGCTGCAGAGCCCCACTTCCTGGCCCCTCAAGCTGTGGACAAGAACAGCAGCTCGGGACCAGACCCCACCCCGACCCTGGCAGCCAGCTTGCCCCAGCACGGCCGGGCTGCAGCCTCCCTCCCGCCCCGCCCCAGGAAGGCCGGCCTCACCTTGCGCCGCTTTGCCGGCATGCCGCTCAGGTACGCATCGCTGAGGGGAGGCTGCTGCTTGAGCTTGCGCTGGCTCTGGATGTCCTCGCGGATGATGGGCACCCACTCCTGCGTAGAGGAGGAGGAGCCGTAAGCGGGGGGAGCACGGAGCAACCCGAGCAGGCCCTGCGAGGTGGGTGAGCCCTCCCCGCCTTCCCGCCCGCAGGCACTCACCGGAGGCACCGCCGCAGCCCATGGCTCTGCATCTGGCACGGGGGCCTCTCCTTGCTGCATCTCCTCACGCTCCGGCTCCCCTCCCTGCTGCGGCATGGCCTCCTCCGCCGTGGTGGCTGGGGCTGGGGAAGCGGCGCTGTCACACTGCAGCAGGTGAGAGGACAGAGCCGCCGGAGGGTCTCGCTTCAGCACACCTGCTCAGGCGATGCTCTCCAGCGGGGGGGTGTGGCGGCAGGCATCAACCGGCATCGACAGGCACCAGGCTCAGTGCCTGCCACCTGCCCGGGGGGGGGGGGGGAAACGGGACAGCCCCAGGACCCAGCCCACGGAGGATGCTGGGCCAGGCAGGGCACAGCTCGGGTACCAAGAGGGGCCGCTCGCTCCTTGGGTCTCCAGGGCGCCTCTTGGCCTGCTGGCAGCCGAGCAGTCAAGCCGGGCCGCCAGGATATCCACGGCAGCCATGCTGCCTCGGCCGCTCGAGTACTTCTAGGCCACGTGGGCAAGGCAGCCCCAGGCCTCTGCCCGCAGTCAGGGGTCACGAGGACTCCTCTGCCTCACAGAGCGCACTCATCAGGACTACTGGCCATCTGAGCCGGGCCACGTGCCTTGCTCACCTGGCAGTGTCCCGCAGCTGTTCAGGATCGTGCTCACATGCCCTCTTCCCTTCTCCAACACGGCTGCCCCCGAAGGGGCATGCAAGGATGCTGCCCCCAGCCGTCCAGCAGCAAGCCCTCCCCCCTCCACCCCCATACCTGCAGGGTCTCTGGGGACTGATCCACAGCCTGGACATCCATGGGCTCTTCGGGAGCAGGCTGACAGCAGGGGGAGAAGAAAGCTGAGCCAGCCCTTCAGCTCTACACGCTCACCCCCACATCACCCGTCCTGGCCCCCGCCACTCTGCCCTCCCTTCAAGCCCCAGCCCTCTCAAGTCAGGACACAGCCCCCCAAGCCGGCTCCCTTTGGCTCTTACAGCTAATAGCTATACCAAATTTTAGCCAGAAAAATCGAAATGCCTGCAAGGGGCCGAAAGAAACTGCCGTGAGCCCCACATGCTGCCTGGGGGCTCTGCCACGCCAGAGCACACATGCCCACGATCACAATGTTGCCTCTGGTGACGCTGGCATGGCTGCCCAGCCCCCTGCTGCCCCTGCTTCCTGCCCCCAAACGGCCTCGGGGCTGAAGATTTCGTCTCCTGGAAGTGACGGCACCCCCACCCCCGCCAGTGACCAGTTCGGACCCTCGCCCAAAAGCATTACCTGTGGCGGGTCGCCCACCCGGCGGACGTACTGCAGGATGTGCTCCTCCGTGACGGGCATGTGCTCCAGAATGTCCTGCAGCCGCATACTCATCATGGTGGTGAGCCAGCTCACCAGGGACGGGTTCATATCTGCCGACATCCGCCTCTGGCGCCGCCGGGATGGGCCGAGAGAGAGGCAGGAAAGGGCCATCAGGACCCGGAGGAGGGCTGATCCCACAGCAGTCCCACCCGAGCACTGCTTCCGGGAAACAAGGCAGAGCCCCCCGCCCCGCTGTGATCGTCCTGCCAGCACCAGCTGCACTCCCCGTGAGCACACGTCCCCGTTCTGAACAGGCCACCGCAGAGGGAAAGCTCCCGTTCTCAGAATTATTCAGACTGAGCGAGAGAGCTGCCTGAGGAAAGGCCAGGTCAGCACCGCCACTCACAATGCGGTCGCTGATGACGGCGGTCAGGGCCGCCTGCTCTCCCCGCACGCAGTAGAGGTTCAGCGCCAAGCACTCGAACAGGCCGCGGTTGCACAGCTCCAGCAGCCGGTACCCGAAGGTGTTATCTGGAAGAGGAGGCGGCCGTGGCGGCAAAGATACGTGAAACAGCCGGGGGAGGGGGAGGAAAGCCCCAGGAAGCCCACCGGACCAGACCGGACCGGACCCGCTCCCTACCAGTGCAGTGCAGGATGTGTGTGGCAATGCGGTTGAACTGCTCCTGCAGGAACTCCAGGTTCGTGCGGGTGACGTCCACCCCCTCGTGCACGCGGACGGAAGCCTGGCGTGTGGAAAGAGAAGTGGCCTGAGGCTCGGCAGGGGCGCGGGGAAGCGGGCACAGCCAGCGACTGAAATCACAGGGAGAGGTCGCCAGGGACGGGGCCGCAAGGGCATTCCTGCACTGCCTGGACTGCGTCTGCCCAGGTTCCACGGGAACCCCTCAGAATGGCACCCGGGGAGCAAACGGCACCATCCAGGGAATCTATGTTTAGTCTATTTTTAAGCGAAGTTTCTAGCCCTTATGGTTACTCCAAGTGGTTAAAAATCAACAAGGGAAGCAGAACAAGAACTCTTGGGGGCAGGAATTCAGTCTCCCACACAGCTCCTTGTTAATGCAAGAACACTAGGACACATGGAAGGATGCTTCCCCCCTTCTGATACATAATTATTTAGGTCGCAGAATCCTGCAACAGAATTATAACACTGTTTGCCCTTCCTCCCTCCCTTCCTCCCTTCCTTCCTCCCTCCCTCAGATCAAGAGGGTGAAGATACAGGATGAGCCCACATTCCGAGACAACTTCAGTGGCCTCGGGGACCTTCCTGCCGGGGCTAGGGCCCATCGAGGCCAGTCCCCGGCTTCCACTCTGCAAGCACAGACAGGGATTGGCTCCCAGCCCAGAGCACGCCACTGCTGTGGATGGGAAGCCGGGGCCTTTGGAGCACAGGTGAACTTACAAAACTCTCACGGATGTACTCCTCCAAGCCATTAATCAAATTGTAAGTGGCCATCTGGAAAAGTCGAAAGGGGCACGCCGTTAGTGAGTGAAAGAGGCATGAAAGTGAGATGCACCAGTAAAGCGGGGAGGGGAGGGGTTGGGAGGAGGCCCCCTCACCCGGACATTGCGCTCGGTGGGCTCCTGGCCGTGCAGGTACTCCTCGCGGAAGAAGTGGCTGAGCTGGGGCTGGATCCGCTGCAGCGGCTGGAACTGCCCGTGCAGCAGCATCACCACGTCCACCATGGAGAAGTTCTGGCAGATCAGAGAGAGCAGGTCTCCAAAGAAGCCTGGAATGGGGACACATGCAGAAGGGAAGAAACAGAGGCGCAGGGAGAGCGGCCAGCCCTCCATTCAAGCTGAGCCTCTTCCTGGCCCACAAAGCACCACCGGGAGGCCCAGAGTGAAGAGGTGGCCAAGATACCTTGGGCCCCAGGAAGAAAAAACCCAACCGCTCTCACGGCTGGCCAGGGAAAAGGAAGCGATGCGAGCCAGGAGCAGACACCTCATCAGCAGAGCAGTCAGACGTGCTCCCGGGGGATGTCGCCGCCGGGGCAATCGAGTGGGTGGCAGGCTACACCGTGGAACCAGCAAGTCCCAGTTCTAACTTCTCTGCTGGAAGCCCTTAGCTGAACTCCCCACCAGCAATATAGGGAAAACATGGCCAGCCTGCTTGGAAGGGCTGTCATACCTAGAAAGCGAAGACTCCAACTCAACAAGAGCAGCTTTCTCCTCGACTCGAGCAGACTGGTGGGGAAGTGGGTTGCCCAAAAAGGAGCCAAGCATCGAAGCAGGAAGAAGGTGGGCGTGGAAGGCGGGGAAGCTGCCAAGGGCAGGGGCAGGGGCAAGGGCAGGGGCAAGGGCAGGGGCAAGGGCTATTTGCGAGGCAAGCCCAGTTGCCAACCGTGTGATAGTCAGCTCCTCCATCCAGGAAGGAGGAAGGACAGAGCCCCAAAGCTGGAAGAGGCCTCAAAGGCCACGCAGGCCAACCCTCTGCTGACGTGGGAACTGGCTGCTGGAGTGCTCTCAAGAGGTGGTCGCCCGTGCTCCCACTGGAAATTCCCAAGGAAAGAAGCGGTCTGGGGCATCCAGGTCTCTGGGGAGAAGAGCATCCTGCAACCGGGAGGTGAGGCACTGGAGTCACAGGCAGAAAACGGCCTGCTCCCCAACCCTTACCAAGGGCCCCTTCGGTGCCAGGCTCAAAGATGTTGCTGGTGCCGCTCAGGCGCTGGATGAAGTCGGCGATGCTCTCGGTGCTGCCCTGCTGGGCGCTGAGTGAGCCCATCATGGAGGACAGGACGCCCTGGACCACGCTGGTGAAGAACTCGAGGGGCAGCGCATCCGCCGAGGCCGTCCCACGCCCGTTGCTGCTGCCGCTCCCTCCCACGCCGGCCGGGGGCGCCTCTGTCCCGCTCTGGGGGGGAGGGGGTGGCGGAGGAGGGGGCGGTGGGGGAGGAGAGGCCACCGGCTGCGGGGATGGCGGAGCCTGCTCAGGAGGGTGTGGGGGAGCAGCCCCCATCTGTGTGGCCTGGGGAAAGAAGAGGGGACAGGAGGCACGTTCCATAAAGGCTTCTGGGATGGCCCAGGACAAAGAGGAAGGCATGGGACACCAAGAGAGCTGCCCTCAGGTGACCCAGATCTGCAGCGGGAGCATCCGAGACAGTAGTGGCCCCAAGAAGCAGCTGCCTTCCCAGAGAGCCCAAGGGCCGGGGGCCACCATCCCCCAGCTGATGCCAGGAAACAAGGGAAACACCACCCACGCAGGCAAAGAGGTCGTGCTGCCGCCTGCGCTTCTGGCTTGCTTCTTCCAAGTCTCGCTCAGGCCTCTGTCCTGGGGGCAGCAAGGACTGGCTCCCCCACCCAGCAGCCAGGAGGACTGTCACCAATTTTGCGTGCACCAAGGACTGCAGAGCAAACTGGCCCAGGAGCTCCCTAGTGCCTACTAAAGCTCTCCGCCGCACGGAGTCGAGCCATCAGGTACTCAGGCATGTTGCGGCCTGGTCACTTAGAGTGAAACTGCCAGCACCTCTGGCCCAGCGCGGCCCCCCTGCTCTGCCTGGCAGCGGTTCCCTAAAGTTTCAGGCCAGGCTTTCCCCCAACTTTAGAGTCGTTTATATGGAGATGCCAGGAGCTGAATCAAGGACCCTGTAGGTGGCAGGCCCGCTGCAAAAGGTGGCACTGTCCTCAGCCCTGTGTGCGCACCACTGGGGCCCCCAAGAAAATCAGCAATGGCAGGCCCCGCTGCAGGGAAAGCAGCAGGAGTGGCCGTCCAGTGCGTCTGGAGGGCTACGGGCCGGGGACGGCTGGCCTCGGGGGGACGCAGCAGTGTTTATGTGGCACTCTCTCCCCCCCGCTGCTGACAGGAAAACATGAAGGGCAGCTCTGGGCATGCGCCAAGAGCCGACGGTCAGAGCATCTGGCTGACTCCCCCCTCCCATGTGGTCACTGTAGGAACAGGGATGGGCCTTTAAGAACAGAGGCCTCCGTTTGCTCCCTTTCCCTCCCCAGCCCTTTTTCCAGGCATGTTACCACAATCACACTGCAATCCTGCAAACGACTCATTCTTTTTAGGTCTTGGTTCAGCCGTTAACAAGCTTCAGGTCCTTTATCAATCAACCCCCTCCCGCAAACCTTAGAGGTCCCAGAACCCCTCGCAACATGGAGTCATTCCAGGTGAGCTGCAGCACTTACGAAAGGTGCAAAGACTGGAACCGTGGGCCACTTTGCTGCCCAAACGGACACCCTGAAAAATGAGCCAAGGCCCCAGAACGGAAAGCTAGTGGCCCGACTGCCTTTGCCACCTCCCCACTCGCACTCACGTGCTTTCCTGCATTTCAGGAACAGAAAGTCAAACGGATCAGGAAAAAGACACCTACCGCTGCCCAGCGGAAAAGGACCGCGTGGGTTTGGGTGAGGGTATTTCCGGACAAGACTCACCTGAAGGAAGTCGGTCATGCCCTGCAGGAAAGCAGGCACGCCCGGCATGGCCACGGTGACAGTGGGGGAGCCCATGCCGGCCACCCCGGCCACGCTGGAGCCTGCCGCCCCGAGGATGTTGCCCAGCAGCTGAGAGAACTGGAACTCCGCAGTGCCCGTCGGAGGCTGGCCGGAGGGGAGGGGTCCTCCGGGGGCCCCCGCCGAGCTGCCCCCTGCAGCAGTGGTGGCGGTGTTGGTCGTGCCAGCACTGGCCGAGGCAGTGGGAGGGGACGCGGAGTTGCCAGCACCGAAGGTCGCTTGCGTGCTCACGGAAGAGGAGGATGCAGAGGAGGTCGCACTGCCCTGGGCTGGGGAGAGAAGACAGGGTGGGCCGGTCGGCGAGGCGAGGCGCCCTCTGGTCCAGCACGGACCACCTGGCGATGCCCTTGCTGACTCCGCCCGGTGCCCCCTCTGGTTTGCAGAGGATTTCAGAAGGCGGACAACATGGGGACACAGACACCAAAGCTACCAGGTTATGTCGCTGGAAGGACTTTCTGTAAATAACTAAGCTTGAAGAGCAGCTTCTCCAACTTCTGGAACAGAGTGGGGGGAACTGCATAAAAACCGGGCCAAGTGGTGGTCAGGAAGGGGCCTGGGACAGCCTGCGGGTCCCCACAGAAGCCCAGAGGGCTGAACCTGGTGCCTGGGCCAAAGCTTCTGCGTCCTATTTTGAACAGCGGCGCCCAAGTTAGGGCGAGCTCCGTCGGCAGTCAGGACAGGAGAGCTCCTGAGCTGGCCCACCCAACGGCACAGCATCCTCCTTGGAGACTCTTCCCCGCCGCCTTTTGCCACCTACCTACTATCACCGGCTGCATGAGGAGCTGCCCCACCAAGCCGCTGATCATCTGGGCCAAGGACGCGTTTCCACCCAGGCCAGGGCCCTGAGGGAAGAGGAAGGCTGAAGAGAAGAGATTTCCGTGCGAGAGGGAGGATCCCGTTCCCAAACACGCCGAGGGGCCTCCTCAACGCCCTCCAACCCCGAGTGCGCTCACCCCTTGCCCCGGTGCCTGGTGCGACCCGGGATGAGCAGGCCGAGCAGAAGGACCAGAGGGCCTGGCAATCACGACGCGTGCTGGAGCCGACGGAAAGCTGGGGACTTGCTGGCCTGGGAGGCGGGAAGAGGGGACAGGAGGCAGAGGCCTGTCACATTCAGCGCCTGGGCACAGCCCTCCGGATCCCAGGGGGCGGCAGAGGACCAGCCATTCCCCGCCCTGCATCCCCATCCTCTTCGGTGCGCACCCCCCCCCCACCTTGGTACCTGCAGCCGCAGCAGAGGCAGCGGCCGCCATGGCTTGCTGCGTGATCTGGTGGGCCACGGCCTGCATAAACTCAGGCGGGATGCTGGGCAGCGGAAGGTGAGCCGCACCGCCTAATGGGAGAGATGGCAAACGTGGAGCCGGGCCACCGGGGCCCACAGGCCGCTCGGCCTCAGGCTCTCCCAGCACCGGAGGTCTCCATTCCCCTTACCCATTCCTTGCACTGGCCCGGCTGGTCCTGACAACGGCGCTCCACCAGAGCCGCTCCCTCCCATCGGGGAGCCGGAATCTGAGGAAGGGGAAAAAGCAGGGCGGCTGCTAGCAAAGGGCCGAGGTGCAGCCCAGAGCCTGGTCCTGGCTTCTACCGCCAACCCTTCCTGGTAGGACTGGAAAGCCCCTCCTGAGATCCCGGAAAGGCACTGCAGCCAGGGAGCATCAGCAGGGCCGAGGAAGCAGGTTCAGGAGCCTGGCTCAGCAGAAGACGGCCTCTGACGCCCCCGAAGCAGGGCTGGGAGCCCCGAGCCCCCAAGGCATCCCCATCAGCCCTTCCCGCTGGCCCCGGCGGAAAGGGATGACGCGCGCTACCGGCCACCGCTATCCAGAGGACTCAAGTGGCTCCTGCCCCCCCAAGAGAGGGCGCCCCAAAGGACTCACCCTGTATGTTCATGTGCATCATGACCACGGGCTCCACTGTCTGGTGGGAGATGCGGATCACACGGGGGTGGCCTGTCTGGGAGGCCTGGGTCTGGGTGGGGGTGGCTCCAGGGGAGGCGGCAGGGGGTGACCCCTCCGCGGGACGGGAGGACTCTGGAGGGCTGGAAGTGCCCGGCTGGGCAGGAGTGGTGGCCGGGGGCGCTGCGGAGCCTTCCGAGCCGGCCTGGGCGGTGCGAGCACCATTGCCCGTCATGGTGACCGTAGTGCCAACGTTGATCTGAGGGGAGAGGGCGACAGGCCAGCTGGTGAGGCACTCTCTGGCCGTGCTCAGCCGGGGCTGCTGCTGCGGGCAGGAGGGCCCCTCACCTGGATAGGGATGGCGGCCTGCTGCAGTACCATGGGGGCCGTGTAGTGGGACATCGGCCGCACCACGTGGAGGTGCCGGGGGGCACTGCAGGAGAGGTTGCAGCGCAGGTCCGAAAGGGCGACGAAGGTGTTCCCCAGGAGGCGCAGTGATTCCCCAACCAGATTGATCATGCGCTGGTCCTCTTCACGACCTTCAGTCTAGCAAAAGTGAAAGGCAGGCAGGAAAATCGGGCGAGTTCTCCCAAAGACAGACGAATCCAGCTCATTGAAAGGCCCCCCCACTCTCAGGAGACGAGAAGGGAAGCAGGCCATTCCACTGATGTTGCTGAAAGTCCACAGAGTTTCTTCCTCCTCCTCCCCAAACCTTCGCATGTCATGATTTTTACCTCTCTCTTATTTTTTGCAAGCCGCTCCAGAAGCACTGCTTCAGCTAAACATGGGCGGCCCTGATCTAAGGGGGAAGCAAGGCAGCTTCGGTTCCCCGACCCGGGAACACCAGGTAAGAATGAGGCCTTCTGTTCCAAGCAAACAGGAAGAGAGGCAACAGTGGAGTCTGTGCTAGGAGAGGGTGCGGCTGGCAAATATCCACCCCCCCCTTCGGACCACAACTGCCACAAAAGGCACAGATCACAAGGGCCAGCAGACCAAGGCCACCTTTCTTCCTCCCCAGGGGCAGCGCAGGACACATCCATGGCCTACCCTGGGAAGGAGGGCAGGGATGCTCTCAAAAGGCTAGACCCAGAACCTTTTTCGAACTCCAAGGTTTAGCCCTAAGGTGTGGAAGACCATAATACGGTACACCTCTGAGGATGGGCAAAATGCCCTCTCAAGCAGCAACCACTGCATGGACTAGCAACACCCAAGGCACAATTTCCAAGCAGGCCTGAGGCCCAGCATGCATCTTACAACTAAAGTACTTCATAGAAGGAAGGTCTATCTATTAATTTGCCGAACTTTGGCTATCAAGTGCTCTAAAAATGTGAGGGGGGAAGGAAAGGCCCAAGCTGCAGTAACCTACTGAAAAGGTTTAGCCCCTGGAAGTGAGAACAACCAAGACACCATCATGACCTGGAAGGCCCTCGGACGAGACGGGGGGGGGGGACCTGACCGGCTCCTCTGCCACAAACAGCACAACCCACTTACGTTGTTGTTGTAGTCAGCAGTGCCAGCAGTTCCCAGGATCTCCTCGTATCTCTGCAAGAAGGGCTGGAGTCTGCCCTCCACCCCGCGGAGCTCACCCAGCACTTCCACATACTCGCCCGGAGAAGGGTGGCTGCGGGGAGAGGGGCACGGACACTCAGTCACCACTCAGGCTGCCCACGGCCTCCCCCAGGGATTCTGCCCCCCCCAGCACGCCCCTCCCTGGCCCCTGCCCCACCCCGCCTCATGCTCACTTCCACCTCTCGGCAAGGCGGAGCAGCCCCAGCTCTGCTGCTGCCGCCCACGCTGCCCTGCTCCGGGCCCAGGCCTTACTTGTGTGCCGGGGGCTCGGCCACAGGGGGGGGCTCGGCCCCGGAGGGAGGGGTCTCCTCTGCGGGTGTGGGCTCGCTGGGAGGCTCCGATGCGGCCCCCTCCATCGGCTCCCGCTCCAGGTGGCCAGCGGATGGTGGCTCCTCGGGTCCGGATGAGGCCTGGCCATTGGCGTGACCCTGACGATGACAGGAGCCTGTGACCTGCGTGACCCAGAAACAGGTCCCCGCTTCAGTGCCACGCTCCATCCTGGCACCACCCTATCCACCCCCACCCAGCTGGCTTACCTCCAGCCGGCTCAGGATGCCCTGGATGTCTCGGAGCATGTGCTGGGCCATCACAAGACGGACGCGGGGCTCACTCTGCAACAGATGGGGGAGAAGTCTGGCCCCAGCATGACAGAATCAGGATCCCTTCACCCTTCAAATCTTCGACAAGTTTCATGGACCCACATAGGAAACGCCCCACCTTGTCAAGGCTAGTTCAGGTCCCTCCTGCTCCCCCTTTAGATCTGCTCCCAGAAGCCATGTCACCCAACGGGGCTCACCCCCAGAATGCCTGCAGCCCTCCTCCAAGCCCCCCAGCCCCTTTCCCAAACTGCCACAGCAGGCGACTGGCCCTTCAAGGCTCAGCATCATGTGCCCTACCTGGGGGCAGTTCCCTAGGAGTTCAAGCAGCATCCCCAGCCATCTGCAGCTCTTTTGGGCTTTCAGAGCCAAGATGGCAGGGGTTGGACCTGGAACCTCCTGGATGCAAAGGGGAAGTTCTGCAACTTGGCAGTGGCCCCTGCCCATCAAAGTAATGGCACCCTCCACACACACACACACACACACACACACACACGTCGAACTCAGGGCACAGGTGAGGCTGCAGCGAGCCAATCTCCCTGCAAGAAGTCCTCCCTGAGCGCCTTCAGGGGGCCAAGGAAAGTTGTCGCTGAGCAAACTAGCCTTCTGACCACAAACAAGAACTCCTGGGTCCTGTGCAGAGACATGCCGTGGCCAATTCTGCTTAGATCTTTCCACTGTAAAGCTCAGGGTTCAATCCACAGGACAGATATGAATGTTCCATGGATGCCACAGCACATCCAAGTTCATGCTTAGTCCCATTCCTATCCCGCCTCTTCTCATTTTGCAAGTGGCCTGCCTATTTGCAAGTGGCTTGTTCTATTCACGACCACCCTTGCAAGGCAGGTTAGGCTGAGAGTCCGTGACTGGCCCAAAGTCACTCAGTGAGCTGCGTGGCCAAGCGCAGAGTACAGCCTGGCCCTCCCAAGTCCCAGTCCAACACTCTAACCACCAGGCCACTCCATCAATCCACAAGGGCACCAGGCTGGAGAAACAGTGACCAGCTATTTGAATGCAAAGCTCAAAATCCGTGTAGAGTTCCTTTCACGATCTTCCAAGGGGAACACCACACCAACACATTTGGGCAGACAATCCTCCGGAGGCATTTCCAGCACAAAGTCTGCTGAAGGCAAAAAGTATAGCAGAGGCAGGCCAGTGGCCAGGACGTCCTGCTTATGCAGAGGGGAACTTCCTGCCAGAGGAAGCCACATCTGCCCTGGCAGAAAACTACCATCTAAATCCACCAGAATAGAATGATGCAACAGAGAACGACCATGTTCCAGGGGGGTCCAGTCATTCCCAGTAGCCTTTTGGGACACTTGGGCTCATGGAAGGCCCCACCTTCTCAGAGTGCAAGCCACAGACTGGGGCCCTTGCATTTGGTGACCTGCCATGTTCCATTTACAAAAGCTTGCCTCTCACGACTGAAGAAGGACCACTGTAGATGTGAGAGCAAAGCTGCCCCTCACACGCAGGGTGCCCTTCTGCTATCAAGGCATCGCTCCACTGCTCCAAGGCCCGGATGTGGTGCTGACCCCTTGTCCCAGCCTCACCATGTGGGGGCAGAGGCTCCAGACACTGCAACGCCCAGGAAGGGTGCCCGGATGAGATGGCAGGCAACCTCCTGGTGAAGAGGCACTTGCCCTGGAGGGTGGTCAGCTTGTCTGCAAGGCCTCTGGCACACCAGACCAGGGCAGAGGCATGCCAGGTTACGGGACACACGTGCTGGCCCCCCTCCGTCGTCCTCTTACTTGGGACGCAGAAGTACGGGCCATACGCATTCAGAACACAGGCAAAAGGAGCCATGAGCACCAACTGAGGACGGCTGGCAAGCGTGGGCCCAGGCCGCTGCGAGGAACATGCGCGGACGTTTCCTCTGGAAGCCCGGCTCCTTCTTCATGATGCCAACTGGGAAGGCCGGGCCACATCAACGGACCAGGAAGGGAAGAGCAGGACCTCTACAGACGGTCACAGGCTAGGGGCCCGCTCTAAGCAAGACAGAGGTGTTGCGTGTGGGGACGAGAGAGAGTGCGCCACAGAGGGCCAGCTTGACTCCTGCAGGGCGGGGAAGCAAAGGGCCCTCAGCTGCTGCCATCACAACCAGAGGCCGCCCTGCAGTGCCGCTACATGGCAAACGGCAAGCGGCCACTTACCCCGGGGCAGCCTTGGCTTCACAGAATGTCGGCGACAGCCAGAGAAAAGGTCCACAAGCCTCTCACCAGCCACATCACCTTGCACCACACCAACGGAGCCTGCACCTGAGCACCAGTTAAGCCCCCTCCCCCAGACTGGGTCAGGCAGCCCTTCTATAATCTTCCAGCTTGCACCCGCTATCACAGGTTCCCTTCATGGAAAGGTAAAATTCCTCACCAAAAGCCAGGCAGTGCTGTGATGCTACTGAAATAAGGTTAGTGCTTCCCACATATGTTTAAAGCACATGTGCGCGCGCGCGCACACACACACACACACACACACACAGAAATCTTGTCCCATCCCGCCTGTACCTGTATGGGAGCCTGGTCCATATTTATATGAACGTCCACTGATGATCCATCGCTCTTTGGAAAGCAGGGGGTGAGAAAAGGAAAAGACAGGGGAAATGAATTAAAAGAAACAAAACAAAAAAGGTGGGGAAAGGAGAGGAAGAGAGGAAACAGGGGAAAAAAGAGCAGAAAGAAAGGCAGAAGACAACAGTGCTTCCTCATCCAGGAGTTCCACCTCACCCCTTGAGGTCTCTTCTGACATTACACATTACTTGCAAAATACTTTCTTTCGGAAATGGGAACACCTGGAATGCAGGCACTAGATGTACTCCAGAATTTATTTCCAATAAGATTCTCTCTTGGTCAAGGCTTTTTACTACTCAGTATTTAAATATTATTCAAAATGGTGGGTACACACTATGTACTAAAAAAGGAAAAAACAGTATGCCACGGCCATTCAAACACTATGCCAGGGAGGTAGAAATCAGGCATTTGTATAAACCATAAAATCTTTGTATGTTTCATATGGACTTGTTCATCATCAGAACTGACAAGGAGTTATGAAGGGCACCAAAACTCTACCTGCAAACAATGGCAATCTTATTCAGCCACCCCCTGGGCTTTGAAAAGTTCAGCAGGCATTGTGCACAACTTCAAAAATACTGTCATAAGGGCTAGAACCTTGAGCTTTAAAAAAATGATGGGACTTCTCAGGAAGATGAAATTTTGAACAAGAGCACATTCAGCGCTGTGCTCAAGCAGAATCACAGCCTGTAGAAGGCCCAACATTATCCCAAGTTACACAAGGGTAAGCTCACAGAGAGAAGTAAGAATGGTCACAACTAGCCATTTTCTGACAAGAAATTTCCTTCTGACTTCTCCATGCCATGAGCAAAGCTTTCAGGTGTGTTTTCAAGCAGGGGCTGGCACAATCCAGTGGACAGTTAACTGGGAGTTCAATTGGTAATGTTACTGAGGGGATATGCATGAGTTCGCCTCATCAGGCACTGATCTGCAAAATGCAGAACATGGGGTAGGCATCTCAGGAGACCCTCCTCACAAGCCGGGGTAGTATCATTCAAAGCATATTAGCAAGAGTGTGTAACTTCAAAAGTGGCCCTGGCATGACCCTCACTGAGCCCCACACAACCACCCCCCCACCCGCTGAGGTCACGTAGGCTACCCATGTGAGCCAACAGGAAGTTACAAATACAGAGGAAGATACAAAGGAAAGCAATCTGCACCTGGGAAGACCCCACAGGTGCAAAGCTAGAGTTGCCACTTCTTGCTCTAGATACGAGACACAAGCCTTCAAGTCTCCCGGGAAGCAGAAGAGAAGTCTGACGCGGCTACGCTGAGCCGCCCCCTCCCCAGCCCTGCTGCCTCACCTGGCCAGTCGTGCAGCAGAGCTGGAGCAAGGCTCGCCACAGGAGGGGAGGGGAGGAGACAACGGGATCAGGCAGGAGGTCTCCTCCTACTGCAGCACGTGATTGAAAAGGAGTGTGTCGGGGCCAGAGGCACCCGCTTGAGCTGCAGCACGGGGCCTTCTACCACTGCCTCCATGCCACAAAGACTTGGGAGGCAAAGGCGCCAGGACACAGAGCCCCTACCACCTCATGCCCCGTCCACTAGCATCCCCCCCACCCAACGTATAGCAGTGCGTCAGCTAATTCTTCCCACTTTCAGTGGGGGTGGAAATAAAAGCATTGTGGGGAGGCAGCATCCTCTGGCTAGAACTCACTTGTGTGGCTGGCTGTGGGTCCATAATGCTTACTGGTAAGTTGAAGGTTCCCACCATGACGTAGCTGTTGGCGTTGCGGTCGTGCACTGTGGGACCTGCCCCTCGGGGGCCTGTACCGTTGTGGGGGGAAGAAGATGAGCCGACTCCAGAGGGACCCCCCGAGGAGGGGGACTGTGTCTGGGGGGGTGCACGTTCCACCAAGTGGATGACTTTGCCTCCAACATCTGTCACAATGACAAGGGCACACAGGAAGATAGGATCAAAAGTGCTAAGTAGGTGCTGGCATCACAACAACCCTGCAGGGCAGAGTGGCCTGAGGGGGGCTCATCCAAACAGAGGCAGGGAGTTTGCTGCCCAAGCCAGGCACCTCCCTGGCATTCCAGCCCCGCTTCTCCAGGTGCAATCCCATGACCATACACCTGAGAATAAACTCCACTGAGTCCACTCAGCTTGTTTCTGAGTAAACCAGTGAATGACTGCTTGATGTCCCATCTTTAAATGGCTGGGGGATTATGGGAGTGGTCACCCAGCACACAAGGAGGGCACCGGGTTGGGGAAAGCTGGAACAGCTACTCTGAGGGGCAGAATGGCGCATGACATGCAAACATATGTAATGAAGCTCCAAAAGTCTGTCTTTGTTGATCGACTCAACCCATTTCTCTGCTTGACATCCGGGCACTCAGAATCACCCACTCCCCCTGCGCTGCATTCCAAATGTGCATTTATAAAAACAGAAATGTGCTTTAGAGCCCTTTAAAAGCAAAACTCACACTCCTTTTTTCCCTGCTCAAAACCACGACCACCCAAGCTGTCCACGTGCTGCCTGTTGCAAAACAGCAGAGTTCCACTGGAGCTGTTTGTGCATGTGCCACACCAATTCCACAACAAGAATATAAGATATTACTACCATTGAATTATGCTTTTGATCACTCCTGAGGGCCTTTTGGGAGGCAAAATAGATAGACCCTTTCTGTTTCCTTCATAGTTTTAATTTCTTCTACATCCCTTGCCTATCAGATGTGCTCAGATCGCCCCGCCACCCACCCACCCCCAGCAACCCACAGCCACAATCTGGTTCCACAATCTTGACCCACAGCCTCCTGCATACTCACTGTATTCTTTCAACTTCTTGTCATCTTGCAGGACTCTCCCTTGGTAGATGAGGCGCTGTTTCTCTGAGGGGATGCTGACTGAGCCTGCGATATGTTCCTTGAACTCCTTCACCGTGATCTGCAATGCGAAAGCAAAACTGAGGTGGTCCAGCCAGAAATGCCATCCCTCCTCCCTCACCATGGCTTTTCAATTCATCCTTTACCCCTTCTACATCTCCTTAGGCTAAGAAGTTCTAAACGCTCGGCAGACTGAGCCACTTCTGTATGGGTGCTGGCACACCACTTGCCCCTGAGTGGCAAAAAGCAGCTCCGGGGGGAAAGCCATCAGATCAAAATGGCACAACCCAGACGCGGTGCCACATGTGCTGGGGACAGGAAACACGACTGCTGCTCCCGGGTCATGTCAGAGGAAGATGACCCTGCAGCAGCCTTCCTCATTCTGGTGCTCTCCAAATGTTCTCAAATGGAATTCCCAGCATTCCTGACCATTGCCCATTGCTGGCTGGGGCTGACCTGGAGGGCACCAGGTTTGAGGAAGCTTCCCTAAACCTATACCCTATACCGGAGAGCTCAGGGACACACTCTTTCATATGGCCCCAGCTGCGCGAAATGCAGTCGCATCTGGGCCCATGGTAGCTTTTGATGCTTTTCAGTACTGAGCACCACTGAGGTAGTCTACACTAAGTGACCCTCCCTGCTGGCCAGGATGCTGCTGTCCAGCTGTATTTTCCTGTGTACCATCCCATCCCAAATGTTCTTATTTGTGGGTTAACCACCAGACTGGGGTCAACTGCAGATTAACCACCCGCCTGTGTGGCCCCAGAAGAGACAGCCACGGTTATGCCAGCATCCTTTCACTGCAGCGGTACAGGCAGAGCCCCTTCCCATACACTGTGAGGCTGCCACTTCAGCCTAAGGCTTCTCACCTCTTCCTCCACTGTGAAGGTCCTTGTCTGAGAGTCCAAGGTTTTCACCATCACCTCAAGGTTCTCTGGTTCTGCCATGGTGCCTTGTGAAATTCTTCCTTAAATCTTCCTGCTAGATGGAGGGATACAGGTCAAGCTGGAGATTGTACCCAGAGATCTAGAATTACCAGCAGATGTGAAGGTATCAAAAACCAAAAGCAGAGAACTTGCTTTCCTAAATGGATGTTAAGTACCATTTTAAGAAAAGTAACATATAAAGGACATCCATGCACATAACATGGCTACAAGATGCTAGAGTTACTACATGGCATATATCATTTCACAGAATATATTAGCAGGCAAAACTGTAGCAACCTAGAGATGTGAAAGTTTGCAGGAAATGAACTGAAAAACTGAGGCATTTTTCCAAAAACCTCTGGGAAACAAAATTTCTAAAAATTTGTTCTGGGTCTTCTCCATTTTTGGAGGGAGGGTGGAATGGGTTCAGATATTCCCCTCTCGATAGCCATCTCAGTCAGAGAAGTGTAATGGTTAGAGCAGTTTCACAACCAACAGCAACATCCAGCTCTTTCGGCATAATTTATTCCCCCACCCCAAACCATCCTTTTGGGAATCACTTCTTTTTCATGTGTGTGTTTGAACAATGGGGGTGGGGGGAGAGAGTAACAGAGACACAGAGAGAGATCAGTTCCTCTGTACTGGAAAGAGAAAAACATCGAGGGAACAGCAGAGACTGCTGTGGACAGGAGAAATGGTATGGCAGAGTGTGTGCTGTGTTTCAACTTGATCCGCTTTCTTCTCTGGTTCCTATAGGCTGGAAGAACCAAGTCCAAAATACCCACTCAGCCATGAGGCACATCTCAGACCAGATCCGCATACACAATATCTCTGCCTAATCCACTTTACAGAGTTGTTTTAAAAACACAGTGGTGGTGGACATTCACCCACGACCCCTCAAGTTCCTAGGAGAAAGGCATACATATGAGTAGATGTTTCATTTTACAATCCTGTAGCACAAGCCTTGTCCTGAAGGGTTCTAAGTTCCATTCTTTGAAACAAAGAAGCATAAACCAAGCAAGTCTGGCTGCAAACGCAAATCAGAGATCAGTGAAAGCCACAAATGATATGGAAGAGACTCTGAATCCAAAATGTTCCTTTGATCAGGCAACACTGCAGGAAGCTCAAACAATTATGTGCCTCACAGCCAAAGTGCAATTTAATGAAGAAGGGTTCAGCTCGACATAGGTAGTGGCCAGTTCTGTATTGCCATTCTGACAAAATGGATAAGATGGTGCTTTTAAGAAGCCTGGCAGAAGCTCACTAATTTCCTAGAAAACACCATAGTACTCCGTGTCTGACTTTTCATGACCCCATGGACAACAGTCCTACAGGTTCTCCTGTCCTCCACCTTCCCCCCAAGTCCACCCATACACACACACCTCTCCAGTGGCCCCATCCAGCCACTTCAACCTCTGCCGTCCCCTTCTCCTTTTGTCTTCAATCATTCCCAGTATCAGGGACTTTCTTGCAGCATTAGTTGCCTCAAAAGCCACCAATCAACTCATAAGCCTAACAGCATCAAGGCAGCATCACACATTTACAAAGGGGAAGAGGAAGAACATGAAAATTTCTTCCTAAAGAAAGAGCAGTAAAGCAGCTTGTTAATAACATGTTCAAACATACAAACCAGCAACCTTTCAGAATTCTCAAAGAAACATGTACGTTCAAAAGGTCCAGGTGTATCTGATTAATTAGTCAGAGATCCCTAATTTCTCAATAGCTCTGAATAGCATTATTTAAAAATAGTAACTTGTTTGTTATTATGTTTGTTCCAGAGAGGTTACTGTGTTAGGCCATGACAACAAAATAAAAGAGCAGCATTATGGCACTTTAAAGCAGCCTTCCACAACCTGACATCTCCAGATATTTTGGACTTCTATTCCCATGATGTTTAGCCAGTCTAGACAGGCAATAGGTGGGAATTATGGGAATTGCAACCCAACACATCTAGAAAGTATCACATTGGGAAGTTGCCTTAAAGACTAGCACATTTATTGTGCCATAAGCTATCAAACTAGAGTTTGCTTTATCACATGCATGTTGTATCCTCAGCTCCCAATTGGTCATGGATGCACACATATGAAACATACACAGACGGAAAAGGTTGCAAACAGTGAGGTCATAAGCCAAAGAAATGCCAGAGGTAAATCCTATAACATTTCTAAACAAGATTCCAATTGGTGTTTCTTTTGTACACAGAACAATATCACAGAAATCTCACAGATTGTACTGTTTTGGGGGGTTTTGGATTTTTTTTTTTGTTTGCATTTTATGACCTTTCAGCCACATCTTCGCGCATGCACGTGTGTGTGTGTGTGTGTGTGTGTGTGTGTATAATCATATTTATATACCTCCCTATAGTCCAATAGGCTCTTTGGGCAACTTACAATAAAATACAATTACTCTGTGTATTCTCTGCAACTGGAGAAACATACAAAAGCCTACCTCTGTGAAGGATTTAAAAGTACACTGGAATGCAAGATCTGTGAGCATAAATCAATGAATTATAGCTTGGGATGGAGCAAGAAGAAGCAGACTAAAGGCTGCAATCCTATACAACTCCAGGCCCAACTTCAGTAGGACCAAGTAAACTTGCATAACTTGCTCCAAAAGTCTCTTTCATTTCTTCTTCAAGGGAAGTTATCACTAACACAGACAAGAGCCTTGCAATAAATCCAAAAAATGTTTAAGCCCATCAATCTATATATGCCTATGTTAGACAGCTGAACTAATAGGCTAACTTCTGTAATGCTTCCTTTGTCAGTTAGAATTATCTCTATGTAACAAGCATCTGCTGAATAAACAAGTGGTTGTTTAGAAGGCAGTACATGACCGTCTTTAAAGGGTGCTACACATCTTTCTAGGTACCAGTACTGAACAGAATTAGAGGAGAGAACAACCATTTCTAACTGCTAAACTCCAACCTCACTTTTTTTCTCGCACAGTACAGGACTTTGAATCCTGCTAACTTGTATGATTAACCAAGGAAGTAACACTAAACAAGAACATTATAAATTCATATGAAGTTGTATTAGAAAAACTCTCCTGCTATTAAAAAAAAAGCACAATAGCAAATTTAAGGCTGCAACTAAGCATAATCACTTGAGAGTATATAGAATGAATGGACTTACAGCTGAGTCAACATGGGATTGGAAGTGTTCAGTCTTATTTTAGCTGAGCATAGTGCTGACCCATGTTTTCCAAAGGCCAATCATTTTGATTGGATTCCTATTACAAAGCTACCTTTCCTTATGTGTTTTGTACTATTCATAATGTATCACACATGCAAAGCATCATCTCTTCAGCACTGATTAGGGTTCAAAACACTGCTGAACAACCCACTCAAGTCACAACATCTCAGTTTAATCTGAATTGGGATCACACCTCTGTACTACATTCTTAGCTCCTGGGGGGAAAAAACCCTGGTAACATAAGTGTGTAGAAAGTTGCCATATATTGAACAGATCCTTGTTCAATTCGCCCAGTCCAGTCAACAACTGACCCACAGTGACTCTTCATACTTTTGGGCAAAATTTTTTTCCAACCCTACCTGGAGACACCAAGAATCAAACCCAGTATCTTCTGCAAGCAAAACATATACTCTACCACTGAGACACAGATCTTTCCCCAGTATGGTCTTCCCCCTACATTACTGCCAGCCCGGGTTGTTTATTTGATCTGAAGTCAATCCAATCTCCTTTCAACAAGCATGAATTCAGAATCCATCTCTGACTGTTGCCCACAAGCCAAACTTCCAGGGTACACCCAACTGCCAGCACAACAAGCAATAGAGGAGGATAAGAATATTAGAGGCTTGAAGTGGAGAAAGTCACTCCATCTCTTATAAAAGCCTAACAGCAATAAAACCCTCCTCAATGCAGCTAGGTAGCATTGTCTGTGCTTGGAGCTTTATATGGGGTTCAATCTGACTGGGGCCAGGCCAATTTCTCCCAGGTTCCCCACCCCATATCACCATGTCCAAAGGCTCCTTCCTCTGAGCAGTCAGCAGCTAAGCACTGGGCCCCACAGGGACCACAAAGCTCCTCCCCAGAGGTTCCAGGACCTGCCGCATGTATATGCTTCGGGAATTCAACTTCAGAGGATTATAAATTATACCACCACCCGAACCATTGTCCTACGTAGAAAGGAAAACACTCTCCCTCCCGCCCTTCCCCATATATATTTATGAATACCGAACCCCAACATTATTTTTCCAACCTGGCCCCCGTCCTTTCACTTCCCGGCAAATACGAACCAATTCCGCACTGAACTCCCACTTCCGCTCAACGCAAGGCACTTCCGGTCAAACTAATATCCGTCCGGGTGAGAATTCAATGGGCGGATGCCACGCTCCATAGAGAAAGAAAAAGGGTCAAAAGATTCATATACTACACTAGTCTTTATTAACCCGACCGACCTCAAACTGAACCATCAATGCCGAGTTTATCTATTAAAAAAACCAAGGGAGAGAGTCTCGTCACTCCGCATCTGTAGTGATCATGAACAACGAAGGCGGTCGATCTTCCACAGCAGGTTTAATACTCCTATGTCACTCTACACTGCTCATATCTCTACGAGCTACCCTTTTCACCTATACAACTCACTTGAAAATGGCGACACTTCCGCTTCCCTCGGCAACAAGAGAAGGGGCGGGGGCTGTGATTGCTGAAGTCTCCAGCTTCCTTTTCCTTCTCTCTGACTCTCTCTTCCCTGCCCCACTGCCGAAGTCCACAAAACTCCGAAGCGGGCGTTGGTGGCGAAACCGCCGCCGGCCTCGCGCCTGGAGCGTCTCCCGCTTCCTTGTCGCCGTGTTCCCAAGCTACCAACTCCTGCGCATGAGCAAAAACGCACTAGGACCCTTTGTTCGTTGTTCTTCCGTTTCCCATTGATAGTTGCCCGAAAGAGTGCCTGCTGCTATTCTAGCAACACAGCTCAGTAAGAGCAGCCTTTTCAACTTCCTCAACAACATTTTTGCCCATTGTACATTTAAAATATTTTCTATCATCTGAACTGAGATAGTATTTTATGCTCAATAAAATAAATTCGTTCAAGCTTTGGAAGGCGTAGGAGAAACTTAACGCCGGCGTACTGTTCCCTCGTCTTAGTTTTTCTGTGACGCAAAGAACGCCCTTGGTGGCGGCTTGTGGTCGCCATGTCATTTCAGGGCAAATAGCCCGCGGTGAACCAAACTATCCGGCCATCTTAGCTACGGGCAAGGAAAAATACTTTGGCCTTCGTGATGGTCTAGGAGAGTGTCCACATTAATTCAAAAGACTTTTCGCCGCCATCTTCGTTAACCTGAATCCTAGAGAGAGTTGGCAGAAAAGGAAGGGCTCTGTAGTCCCTAAAACACATTGCATTGGATGTGATCACTAAGGGTCTATTTAGCTGGCCCTGTTACCACATCCTATGTAAGCTTAGGCAGCAAAAGAACTCCAAGTCTCAGCATGCCCCAGCTGGCATAGGATTGTGCTTTGAATGAATGTTATTAAGGATATCAGAAATGGGGCACAACCTTCCCTCCCACTGAATTAGAGTTGCTCTTGGTCTGGGCAACTTGTTGCCTTCCCTTTCAGATGGCTGCCCAGTTGGGTCTCAAATGCTTCCAGTGTGGAAGATCCCACCACCTCCCTAGGTCATTGGTTCCCCTGTTGTACGGATCTAATTGTCAGGAGGTTTTTCCTGATATCTAGCAGGAATCTGGCTTCCTGTAAGTTGAGTCGGTTATTCCATGCCCTTCACTGGGAGACCCTTTCTTTCCTCTTCGTGACAGCCTTTCAAGTACTTGTGAAGTGCTATCATAACTCCCGTCAGTCTTTTCTTCTCAAGGCTAGGCATGCCCAGTTCTTTCAAGCTCTCCTCACAGGACCTTGTTTCTTTTACAAGGTGCAGATCTTGGCATTTGTCCTTATTGCTTTTCATTCTGTTGCTTTTCTTTTTAAAGCTCTTGGCATTGTTGCCCTTTCAAGTGACACAGGACTGTTTGTTTCAGCAAGTGGTAAGTCTCCCCCTACACACACAGAAACGCACACGCACATGCACACCTGTTGTATTTGCATGCTCTGAAAGCCTGCACCAATATTTCTGCCTGTCAAACTGGAATAGAAGCTGTATCAACAAGGTGATGTACTGGCTAAGAATTTCTCAGTTTCTGTCTCGCTTCCACCGCAAATTCACTAAAGCAAGGATTGGCAGACTTCAAGTTTTGTAGAAGATGCCAAAGATCTAATAACAGAGGGTGGTGTACACACACACACACGAATTACAGAATACTGAGTCCCAGAATTTGTACTGCTGCATACCAGAACAGTATATACTCCTTGCATGTGAACAAATCTATTACAAATTACCTCAAGCTTTTCTTCATTTCAGAGCAGTATAATTAGGGGGTATTATGCTGCTTCTTAAAACCTATGGACATCAGAAGTTCTTGCTTACCTACTGGAAATCATACAGAGGTCTACCAGTAAATCCAGATCTATGTTCTACCCATCCTAGCACAAGGGGGTCTAAGTGGTAAGCCCCTGTTCTATCAGCCTTAGTTCTCCACTTCTGCAATATGAGCATAATAATACTGACTTATCCTGTTGTCATGAAGATGACGAGGATGTGTGGAGAGCACTTTAAAAGCATGTCACATAAGCTATTTTAACATCATAATTGCTATAATTATTGAGCAGCCTGAAACCACTGATGGAATGCTAAAAGTAAACTGTATAGTTTTAACACAGCCTCCTCCCTTAAGAAAAAGACCAACCCCCTTTCCTGAGCATGTTTTTTAAAATTTTGCTTTTTAAATAAAACCTGGCTACAATGCTTCCTGTCATCAGATTTGGAAAATACATGAATTTAACATGTCACCAGCCTCTCACCAAACTACCAGTTTAGTCTGTGGAATCCAGTCTGCTGTGCGCCCCAAGTAATCAACTTTGTCTGCAGCACAAATCCTAAAAAGTGGGTTTTACCTCTCAGGCACCTGTTAAATTGATCCATCACTTCCTTGATATTGAGTATGCGGCTGTCATGTCATAACATGGTGACTTGATATAAGCTCACAGTATCAAAGGCATTCTGACCTAATTGAATGTTTTTCTTCATATATCAGTTTGTATCAAATACTCATCTAAAGAAAGATTCTGCATACTGTAACACAGGATGATTGTTGGTGTTGTTGTTGAACTATTTTATTCCCACGTCTCCTATATCATTGCTTCTCCTTCAGATTTTAGCAGCATGGCCCACCTTCCTTGCAGTTATGGATCTGTTCAGTAACAACTCCCAGGAGAGTTGCCAGCTGTAGAAAGTTGACAAACGCTGGAGCTGCTGCACAGCAAATGGCAGGGCAGTTTTGGGGAAGAAGAAGTTGCCCAGCATGGGGGCAGAGGAAGTTGTGTGCCGTTGGCCTCAAGGATTCCTGATAAGCAGGCTTGTGTGTGGGAATAGCTGGGGAAACAAGCAGGCAGGGAGAACAAGCCAGTGGGAAGACAAGGAGTAGCAAAGACGGTGTTCACATGCACATATTTGTTTTAAATTCGCCAGCTGCACCTGTGATCAAACCACACGAATGAAGTAAGTTGAGTCACCAGAGCAGCCAAATTAATGTAGGGGAAAATCTCTTTCTACCCGCAAACATTACCTTCTTCACCAGTGATAATGACCTCTGCACCATCACATCCACTGCTTGACTCACTAATCCCCCCTTGTTTTCTCTCAGGCCTCTAGTTTTGCTTGGTAGAGGTTTTCTTGATTTATGTTTCACCCATACAGTGATCCACAGGGTGGACTCTAGACCCCAGAGAGCTAAATATTTAACAACCAAGGGGCAAAGGTGAGCCTTCCAGGGCGCCCGTGAGGGGGATGATCCTCAGAGCAAACCTCTGGCAACGCCAAGGATGCATGGCCTGTGGTCCTTTCTTCTCTGCTTCTATGGGATCCTTGTGGACATCTTCTCCGTCTGCGAGAGACCCGTAAAACTGCATGCGGATGACCTGAACCGAGAACAGGTAGCTCAGAAGACAGCAAGGGGTGCTGGGGAGAATGCCTGGAGGCTGAGGGAAGCAGCACAGACCCAGCTATTTCCAACTCCCAGCTGACTCCAGGCAATGCCAGGCAGAGCTCTCAAAGGAATAATAATTTAAACAACTGTCCAGAATTTGGCAGAGTGGAAAATAATAGTGCTGGGGTATCATTTGTATCGTTATTAGTGATTTTGTGTCAATGTAAATGAAGTGTGAGAATGAACATTAAGAACATAAAAAGAACACGAGCCTTTGCCAACATGGTTTCCTGCAGATGTGTTTGGATGAAAGTTATTGTTTCTTTTCCATAGCAGAAGCTCATTGGGTGATTTATAAAAGTACATAAAACAATGCCATACAATACAGAGAGCCAGTGTGGTGTAGTGGTTAAGAGCATGGGACTGGGACTCAGACGATCTGGATTCTAGTCCCTGCTTGGCCATGGAGCCAACTGGGTGACTTTGGGCCAGTCACAAACTCTCAGCCCACCCCACCTCACACGGTTGTTATTGTGGGGATAAGATGGAGGAGGAGAATGATGTAAGCTGCCTTGAGCCCTTTGTAGGAAAAAGGCAGGATATAAATCGGGGGGGAAAATACCATAAAACGTAGCTTGCTTCCTAATTAACTGTACCTCAACTTGATGGTGCATTATTCTTTTTGTGTATGTCTATATCTGTTTGTTAGTAAGCATCCCTATCACAATGCAGAACTCAGGGTTCACCCCATCGTAATCCATGCTGGGAGGGCTGATGTGTCAATGTCTCCAACATATGGCAGTTGTATGAACCAGCTCCCTCTAAATGTCCTGTCCTTCACAGCCCTGCTCAGCTCTTGGAAGGTCAAGACCGTTTTTCCTTTATGGAATTGCTCCATCTCCCATTTGGTCTCCTCTTCTTCTGCCTTTAACATTCCCTAGCATTTTTGTCTTCCCCAGTTAGTCTTGCCTTCTCTCAATATGCCCAAACTACAACAGTTTCAGGTTTGTCATTTCTGCTTCCAAGGAAAGTTCTGGCTTGATTTGATCTAGATCCTACTTGTTTGTCTTTCTGCCAGTCTAGGGTATTAGAGGAGGCAAAGCTCCCACCCCACATTTTGAAGGAATCAATTTCCTTCCTGTCAGCTTTCTTTGCAGTCCAGCTTTCACACCCATATATAATGACCAGGGGGCAATATTGGGGGTGATCTCAGCCTTGAGTCTCCAGTGAAATGCCCCTTCCCTTATCTTTTCTAGTTCCTTCATTGTTTCCTTTCTAAGTCTCTGTCTCCTTCTAAGTAATTGTCTACAGCCTCCAACTGAGCCAAGTTACATAAAATTGTTCACAATTAAAATGTCTTCACTGTTGACATTAAAGCCATGCAATTCCTCTGCATTCATGATCTTCAGCTGCAGTCTTGTTTTTGCACTTTCTTCCAGAATCATTTCAATTCGCTGCTGCTTCTCTCAGTAATGCATGCATATCTTAAATTAGTGATAGTTCTTCTGCCAATTTCCCCTCCTTCCTCTGACCCTAATCCTGCTTTCTGTACGATTAGTTCTGCGTGTGGATTGAAGATAGGGAGCAAAAATGCCTTGCCTATAAGGAAACCATTCTGCTTCTCCATATTCTGTCCTAGCAGTAGTATCTTGTGCACAATATAGTTATTCATTAGGACAGTGGTTCCCGACCCCTTTTCACTTGTGTCCCCCTTGACAGCCAATTTCCATAAACAGGACCCTCCATATTAGACCCAGAAGAACTCACTCCTTGAATGTTGCTCACCGGACTGACGGAGGTGCCCGCTTAATATCCACTGGTCCCAGCACAACAGCACTCAAAGGTTCCCAGAGCGGAGGAGAATGAAAGTTGCACCTGTGAGGAGTGAACTATAGTGGTGTGTTTGCCACACACTGTTTACGGGGGGACTCCCCACCATTCACCACAATAACAAAGCAAGGGATCGGGGCTTTTCTCCTGGTTAAATAGTGAAGAAAACCCGCTCTGCCACTGGTCACACCGTTCAATTAACGTCACGACTTCTGGCTCGTATCTTGCCTTGCAGCGTTGGCTTATGTGCCTTTTCCCGCCATTGTTAAATTGTTTTCACCTGCCCCTAAATGTCCTGCTTCATGCCCCTGGAGGGTTGGCAATCGCTGCACCGGGACATTCAAGTGCTGGGGCAGACCCATCCTTAGCTTTTCCCGATCCACAAAAGCAAAGGCTTTGCTGCTCTCCTGACACCTCAGGAGAAGATCTCCCAAGCCTCTCTCTCTGGGGACCTAACCTCCCGTGATGTTAAATGTATTGCTGCTGATCACACTGGGAAGTGCATGGCTTTGCTTCGCCGTTAGCGCAGGGGCAGGTTCTTTTGAAGGCCACGGCAAGTGGGAAGGGGAGGTTTTACCCTTCTCTCACCAACTACAGTCCTCATGGAAGCTGCTTTCACACCCTCAATGCAATTAGCAATAGGAACAAAAGATTCCCACTGGCAGCAATAGTTAATTAATTAATGTTTAAATAATTTTGTTAGCTTGCTTGTTTGTTTAATACATATATATACTGCCATATTAGCCCACAGGGCCCTCAATGTAAACCTCAAGGTGGTTTACAATGATAGAAAATAAAACAATTCAAAATAAATGAATAAATTTGAAAGATTAGAACTTCATAATAAAAACCAATACAATAATGGGTTTGGCAAAAACAATATATGAAATTAACCCTAGCCCGAAGGAGATCTTAATAGCATCATGCATAGTTAGCCCATCAGAATGATGAAGATGAGGATGATGAGTGACGATACTGTTAGATGACTAACAGTTTCCTGCTCTGTCTGACACCCACAATCAAGTGTTTCAGGCAACTCCCTCTGCCTGCCAATGGTAGAGCTGGTCCTCTAAAAAATGCCAGGCCGGCACAGCTTGTGCATAACCCCAAACCGTCAGGGCTCATCAAACCTCCTTTTCCTCTGCAGGCCCAGGCAGGCAGCACAATTAGAAGCACTGTAGGTTGGTGTTCTGTTGGGCTGCCATACGTGGCTGGAGCTCACAAGTTGCAGTGGCTTGGCTTATGCCATCATGTGGGCAGACTGTGCCCTTATTTGCCCTGCCTCAATACCCCCTGCGGAGAAGCTACTGCCCAATAGGGCAGACCATTGGGCTGCTGCCCAATAGGGCAGACTAAATGCTCAGACCATTCTGCAGGCGTTTTGGTATGTGTGTGGTGTGCAAGAGGTGCGTGGAGGTAGATGTCATATATGAAGCAACCCTAAAGGCCAAACTATAATTACATACAATGCATGCATTTATAGTTTGGTGGCACCTTCTTCCACGGGAAAAGCAGGTTTGAGCAATGCAATTTTACATTATGTTGACACATCCTCTTTCAATTCAACCAGCTGGCAAGGAATTCAATTCTGGGCAATAAAAGAGCTAAAAAAAATGCTAAATTCTTTCCTCATCCTCATTTTGCTTCTGCAATCACTTCCTCATTACCCACTGCAAGGTGTTTTGTTCGGGGGTGGGGCAAAGGTGGCAAGAGAAATACAACAGCTGGGGAAAGAATAAGCCCCTCTGAAAGCTGGCACTCCCTGGGAAATCCCAGGGGTTAAATGCATGCATTTGCATGCAAGGCACAGCTCGACTCCAGGAGTGCGTAACCCACCTCTCACCTTTGCAGTATCTTGGCAGATGGCTGTTCATAGCCGCCGCTTCGTCATCGCGTGCCTCACTGGAGACATTCACCAGCACTGACAGCACTGCGTTTAGCATGACTCAGAGCGACCGGCCAGAGCGGCTGCAACTACAGGCAGCCATCCGACTGTGAGTTCCCCTCCTGCCATCACTTCTGCTGCTAGATGAAAGGTCATCTCTTCCCTTCCCATCCCAGTTTGAACCGATGGTGCTTTTACATGGAGGGATCCGACTACAACCATTCAAAAGACATTGGCCTAGTTTGCACAGCACGGGGACTGGGTGTAGAAAACATGAAAACCCACACTTGGTGGGGGCTGAGTGTTGAACCATGGGTTGTTGTGGAAACATGGCTTATTGCTTTGAATCTAGCCAAGATAACAAACCGTGGCGCACAATCCACTTTTCACAACCCAGCAGCAAACGATGGATTCCCTTCATGGGATGTCTGTGGTTAACAAACCAAAGCTTGTTAGCACAGCTGGGTCCAAACAACACAATAACGCATGTTTCAATGAGAACCCAATATTTAACACCTGAGCATGGGTTGTCTAAACCCAGTCTGTGATATTATATGGTTTATTGATATCTGAGGATTGTTGTGTCTGAACCCACCCATGCAAAAACTCCATGGTTTGTTAACTAACAGCGACTCAGAAAGAGAGCCCATGGTTTGTTGTTGTTGGGTTATAGCTTATCCTTATGGCTTGCTGTCTGTATCCAGAACCATGGTTTATCCCTGGCTTGTTTGCACTGTATATGTCCTGAAACAGAGGTGGATAGCAAGAGAACTCTATAGAGAAAACTGTTCTGAAGGCTGGCAAAATGGATAAAAAAGAAACAAGTCAGAAATAGAGTGACGAAGCCAGTTTGTTATAGAAACATAGAAACAGAGCAAGTCAGAAGGGGTCTCCCGGGCCATCTAGTCTGACCCCCGGCTCCAGCCGGCTCTGCTTATGACATGCTGGACAACGCATGGACAACGCATGGCTAAAGCAACAATTTATGATTAACATAAACCATGGCTTAAACTGAATATGCTATTGGTAGGAATTTTGATCATTTGCTTTTGTTTTATTTTGTTGAGTACTGTTTAATGTGCACTGTGTTGCTTGCATATCCGGTTTTTGCAAATAGGCAAAAAGATGGAACAGGTGGTTGGAAAAGCAATGATCGCTGAATTCTTTGTGAAATGTCACGGACAAGGCAACTTGCAAAATAAAAACCTCATTTGGAAGCACATCTGCGTAGGCCCTATGGGGCCGCTGCACCTTGGAACACATGGAGTCATCGCAATAAAGAACAGCATATAAGAAAAGGACTCAGAATATTTTGACATAAGAGGCAGGAAATTTCTCAGAGAACACTCCTTCTGTGGATGCTCTGGAAGCCTAGTCCCAGCACAAAGACAGGGAGAGGGCAGGAGAGACTGGCTGTAAACATGGGGACCCCCTATTCTTGTGAAGAGCAATGAGGGGGTTACCCCCAAACCAGTGGAGCCCAAGGGCCATGCATTGCACTTGTGCCTGCAGGGAATCTGGGATGCAAAGGTCACAGGCTCTCAGCTGGCCGAGGCGGCTTTCTTTCAGCCTGAGGCCTAAGTGGGGGTGGGGGGCTTCTTCCACTGTACATGTCCCAGTCCTTCAAGCTTGAAAGTGGCATGAGTGCTTTGCAGTTTACGGGATTTGCAGCAGGAGCACCTGGCCATAGAGGACGTCCTCTTGGCTTTTTCACTCTTGGCTTTTTCATCCGTGAAATAAATATCTGCAGGTCTCGTCTTGTAAGAGATACTTGAAACTGACGTATTTACCACCCTTTGACAGCAGCCAGAATATGATGCCTGAAGCTAGTCTCTCTCTCTCTCCTTCCCTCTTTCTTTCTCTCTGTGCAGGGCCAGAAAGTACTACATGTGTAACTATGGCCTGCAAAAAGGTTTCCAGGTCAGGGGTCCTTTTTTCTAGGTAGAGTCCAGAGATTCCCCCACCTTATAACTTAGCTACCACATGCTAGTGCTGGACCAGTTCACCCTAATCACTGGCCTCAAGGCTCAAAAGCTCACCAACTCATCATATACTCAATGGCAGCCAACCCCTGTGTGAATTAGGGAAATTGTCCTTCCTAATTAACAAGATAAACAAAGATGGCACCGTTGACGCTAGTTCTGGCCAGCCTAAACTGGAACGAGAACGAACAATGAGGGGAGGGGGGCAAACAGATGGGCTAGTCAGCGGTATAGAAGTTGGGCACCTGCGCAGTTTGGGTGGGTGCTGTATGAGACTTCCCAGATTTGGGCAAAACTAGACTTCTCCAGCAGTAAAGGGGTAGGAATTGTAGTCCGGAGGAACCGTTTCCCACTGCTTCCATCTTTGGCAACTTTGTTCAACAGCATTTGCTCATCAATCCGTCCCTTTGTCCATCATTTTGTGCAGCCCACTATTTTTCAAGGAAAGGCATAGAAGGCACTTGCCAGTAATTACACAGTCCTCATGAGGAATATTTCCCCAGGATCTGACAAATCAAGAGGAATTAAAAAAGAAAAAAGAAAAACAGAAGCCTGTTGACAGGTTTCTTTGTTTTCATCTTTCAGTTCTGTATGATCACAATTTGGCAGCAAATCCATCCACCTGTATAACCACATTTTTAAAAATCTCCCTCTCTCTCTCTGCCCCCCTCCACCCAGGAAGTCAGGCCACTGCTTCCACAAATCATGGGTTTATTTGCTTAAGGAACAGAGCCCTGATCTGTTTACAGAAGGTAAGAAATAACTTTCTTTCTTGCCCATTCATGTGATAATCCCACTGTCAAACCTGAGTTCAAGGCCAGATGTAGCCCAGGAGTGGGGAAACAGCCTTCAAGTTGAAGGCCATGCTCCTTGTTCCCGATCCATGCTGGATCGATCTCTCTCTCTCTCTCCCCCCCCCCCCCCCCCCAACCTCCTTGCCTTTGTCTTCAGCACCATCGCTGGAATTCAGCTCCTGGAGTTTGTCTGGAATTGAACTGGGTCCTTAGGCTGGAATTCCTGGAATAGCACTACAGGGACTAAGAACTGCATGTTGTAGTGGTCAAAAGCAGAGAGCAGCGATGTCTACAGGAATTAATGGGATGGACTGAGACTAAGCCAGTCACACCAAGTTCCCATGGAAATAACGAGACTTCAGTTAGCCATGGCTAAAATTTCCAGCTGATTTTAATGGGAACTAACTCAGCCTGGCCTCAACTCAGTATCTGGAAAATCCATGTCACACCATGCTTCTATTAAAGATAACTTAGGGATGGCAAAGTTGCGGATCCATTTTCATGTGCTTTTAGGCTTCATGAAAATGAAGCTGTACTGTATGTTTACCTGGCCCATGGGTAAAGCAGCACGCCCACTGATTACATTATTGTTCTAGCATCAAATGGCAGAACTTTGATGCAAAGCAGTTGTGGGGAATGTGTTGCCCTCCAGATGTTTTTGGCCTACAACTCCCATCAGCCTTAGCCAGCATAGATAATAGTGAGGAATGACAGGAGTTGTAGTCCAGTGACATCCATCCACATGTTCCTTATCTCCTCTGGAAAGCATCAATGTCATAGCTAAAGCAATAGACATTATTCAGTCATTAATATTAATTTATATCTTTCTGACGCCATTAGAAGTGTAGGATAACTTGTCTGTGTTTCTTATACACATGTAACAGCTTTTTAAAAATTGACGTGTCTTAGTTCTTGTAGAATTGCTTTTTATGTTTTCTAATGTGCATGTTATTTATATCTATTATTAACCCAGTTAAAATGAACTGAATGTCCAAATATTAATATTTGTAATAGATTTACCTCTGCATTGAACTGCTGGATTTTTTCTTGTGTATCACTGAAACTGAGAGTGAGCCTCTTGATTGACTTTTCTTTCTTTATTTAACTTCTTGTATTTTCTTTATCTACTTTTATTTAAACAACTACATTTAAACAACTCACAGTATAGAAACCAGCAATAACACTAAAATCAATCAACAAAAATAGATATAAAATTGACCAATCATTATATTAAACTATTTAAAATAACATCAATAAAAAATTAGGTAAATGTATACATAATTAAATCAGATAAAAATAGCTGGTGCTAAAATCATAATATGGAAATAGCAAAATAGCAGCATGAAACCATCAAACCCATCAAACCAGAGAGCTCAACCACCAAACTGGTAGCAAAAAAGTTTTTAATGGGCACCTGAAAGAATAAAGAGATGTTGCCAGCTGGATCTCACATGGAAGTGAGTTCTACATTTGCGGTGCTATTACATAGAAACAGAGTCAGAAGGGGTCACCCAGGCCATCTAGTCTGACCCCCTGCTCCAGCCAACTCCACTCATGACATGCCCACCATGTGCATGTCTAGCCTGTCTTTGAACCCCCTCACTGATGGGGCCTCAACCACCTCCCATGGAAGTCCATTCCACACCCAGGGTTGCTAACCACCAGGAAGTACTTCCTGGCATCCATCCTACACCTTGGTTCCTTGAGCTTTGCTCCACTGGAACGCGTCCTGCCCTCCACTGCTGGGGAAAAAGGAAGGCCCTTCTTGACGTCTCCCCTTCGGCAAACTAATTTGCCATAGGCAGGGACATGGAGGAGCATTGGAGCCCAGTTTTGACATTCTCTACATTCTGACATGGTGGGGCGCATGACTTCATTCCCTTGCACGCATTATATATCATCCCTCAGCCTTGGACCGCATCCCATCTCTTGGTCCATCCATTGCTCTTTGTCTTTTGCCCACTGCAGGGAGGCCCCTCATGAGGACAGAGCTGTTCTCGGGCAAGTGTCCTGACTGCATCATTGTCCAGGAAACAGACCAAGACTATCAGAGGATCCTTCTGTACTGTAAGTCCTTCTCAGGGGACATGACGTGTGGTTGAACAGGGCAGAGGATTCCTGGGTTCTCCAGGAATGGTCTGAGTTGCACCTCCCTTCTCTCCACAGCCCGGGTCCTCCATCCTGCTGAAGACTGTATCTCGGATTTCAAGAACAAAGCTTCCTGTCTTGACATGGATGAATTTCTGCTGATACCCAGAACCCAAGGTAGGTTTCAGGGGTGAACTGGAGCTCTTCCACCCTTGGCACTAGTACTTCCCCCTAGTGGAAGATTTGAGGGGCCGTAACTGGGCAGCAAAGCACCTGCTTTGCATGCAGAAGGTCCCCAGTTCAACCCTCAGAATTTCCAGGTAAGTCTGGAAACCTCCTGCCGGAAATCCTGGAGGCCACCACCAATTCAGCACTGACAGTGCTGAGCTGGACACTGAATGGGCTGATGGATGCTTGGATAGGGCACTTCCGTTGGATAAGGCACTTTGTCAAAGAGACTGAACTTCACACTTGTCCTCTAGCCAGACTTCTGCCTTGCTTGTGAATGTCCTACTGGCAGCTGGCCAACCAATGTGGCAGATACAACCCTAGATGGGAGAGGCCTGGGAAAGTGGAAAGCTTTATTATGAGCAATTTAATTAATATCCAAGAAAACAGAACTCATAAAAAATTATTAGTGAGCTTCATCTCAATGTTAAAGCTATGAGGTTATTTATAATTAGTTTGAAAAGACTGGACAATTAGTTTAAAGAACTATAAACTTGAGCAATTTGTTTACCAGTCTTAACTAAGGACTGACTGACTTCGGGCGGAAGAGAGAGAAATTTTTGCTCTTTCATGAATTTTTTAGATGTTGACATTGCATGCTGTATTTGTATAATATTCCTTGGCATTCTTTTTCTTACTTTTTTTTCCTTTTTGGTATCGTACTTCTTTTTTATGAAAATAAAAAATAGGTGGGAGAGACCTGTAGGAATGTATGTGTTGATGTAGATGTATTAGATTTTGATTCTCGCCTTCCTCCAAGGAGCTTCCTTGTTTGTTTGTTTATATCCCACCTTTTTTCCTGTCAAGGACCTCAAGACAGCTTATATAATTTTCCTCCTCACAATATTATCCCCATAACAACCCTGAGAGGTGGGTTGGCCTGAAGTCTGTGAGCACCATGGCTGAGTAGAAACTAGAACCCAGATCACCTTAATCCCGGGCCTGTGCTCTTAACCACTACACCACACTGCCTCCCAGCCTGGGGCAGCACCTGTAGTATAGCAGAGCCAGGACATGCAGGGAGGGAGCACTGGCACCTTTTCCTCAGCAGGGATGCTAATATTATTTGCCACTCACCTCTGAATTTCCTGTTTCCTTTGAGCTTAGCTGCAATCTCTGGGAGGGAATCCTTGGGTGGGAGAGCAATAGAGCAGCGGTGAGCTGTATCCCTCAAAACCACAAAGTACTTTGAGGTGGCTTGATCTTGAATGAGCCATTAAGGGCCAGTAGCTTTAGGAAAGACTTGTTCCAAGCAGAGATGAAAACTGCTAGAATTGATTTGCTGATATGGATCAAGGCAGCGGCTGTACCTTTGGCCCTCGCCCAGGGTGTAGCACTCACAAGGGAAGATGAAGACATGCAGTTCAAAGCTACAGCACCTGGCACTGTGCAACCAGCTTGTGAGATGGGTTGGGTTGAGATAACAACTGGCCTAAGGTCACCCAGTGAGCTTCATGGGGATTTGAAGTGGAATCTCCTGGTCCTGATTCAAAACTTTTAATGACTCATCACACTGGTCTTTGATTTAATCTGATCCAGCAAGGAGATTCTTTTATTTAAAGAATCTTGTTTGTCAGATGTAGTAGGTTGCTATGTCTTTACCCCTTTCAACAAAAAACGTGTTGTGCAGTACCTCTGGTGAAAGAGCTTGCTTACACCTCACATCCACCCTAAGCAGAAACAAGTTTTGCAATTGACTTATAGGCCAGCTACAATTCCCTGGAGGTGGAGATTGTGAAAGTCCTGCTCTGTAACATGTCTGGATACGACATCAAGTTCACTCATGCAGTCTCTGTAGCAAGGTAGCTGCGGATTCCAAAGGCCAGGGTCATAAATAGTGTGGCAATGATAATCCCACTACACTAACCATCTTCTGCCCTACCCCCCAGGTGCCTGTGAATTCCAGGAATCCTGACCGTCTAACTCTGGGGTAAGAGAAAACATCTTGTTCTGTCCTGCATACACGTGCTTTTTTGTCACTAGCAATGTTTGTTCTAAGAGTTGAAACACCTTCCTATGGAGTGCCAAGTTGTGTCAATTCAACCCTAAACCCTTCTAAGGTCTGGAGTAGGGAACCTGTGGCTCAATTTCATGCGGCCTGCAGAGGTGAGGTAGCACAGAGGAAGAAAGAGAGAGGGTGCGGTGGCAGAGAGAAAAGAGGGCATACCCAGTATTAGGTGTGTTGAAACTGTTTCAGCAGGAAAGCTAAATTCCATTTTGGCAAAGTTTTGGTGGGAAGCACTCAGCAGAAGTGGGTGGCACTGAAGATAAAAGAGCTTGAGGCAAACCACCAGCATTTTTAGCTTACTGCACCCAGCTAAGCCTTAGGAGACACATTCCAACCTGTTAGAGTGGAGGGAACCATCCAAGTTCAAGCTGGGGCAACAATGTGGTCCAACAGGCCTACTTCACTGCAGGGATGTATGCAGTTCACTGCAGAATGTGGAAAGGATTCCCTTGCTGAGCAGTGCTATAGATATGCATTGCACTTGATTATCTTTTGTTCTTAAAAAAACATGTTTCTAGCTTAAAGCTGCAAAAGTAGATCTAAAGTGTGCATGTCATGAATGGCAAAATCTCACAAATGAAGCTGAAAGTGGGGCTTTGTTTCAGCCTGACTAGCTGTAGTCAGCAGAAGCAGTTTTACAGGTACAAACTATGCAAACATACGCACAATTGCACATTAGGTAAATTAGCATGACTGATCCAGACTGCGGGTCTTCCGGAGGGGAGCAAACTGTCACCTCTTATCTCTCATACCTGTTCCTTCCCTTTCTGAGTGATATCACCTTACAAAATGGAAGTGCAGCCTTAAGCAATGGTGACATGAACCTGCATGAAGCAACCTGTGGGGGCCTGCTCACACCACCCGGTCAAGCCAAGCCTTTTTGCACTGTGTTCACACAGCAGTCTTGCGCATGCTCTTATGCATGCATGTGTGCATCTAGCAATTTCATAGGACTGGACCACTAGACTGCAATAGGTGAAGCCTTATGGGAGTTGGCCAACACCACAGTTTTCTGGATTGGGAGTATATAGCATGGGCATAAACTCAACAGAACAAGGCACGGATATAAACAGAACTCCCCCCCCCCACCCCCGTCATGGCTGAAAAGTCCAAGAGCCCCTCAGAAGCTCCCTCTCCATTGCAAGTGAATCCCCCTCCCCCATTAGTTTGCCTGAATGGGCCACCATGAAAGGTCACATCTGCACTGAATAATTTTAACCATGGCTGGCTCAGACCATGCACATTCACTGTCTGCCATGGTTGTCAGCTCTAGTTGGAGGCTAGCCATGGTTAACATCTACTCCAGTGCACATGTAACAATGCCTCAAGGCTCAGCTGGGAAAAGGGATGGAGGGGAGAATTATATATCAGGTATTCTTCTGAAGTGGAAATGTCCAGTCTGCAGCAGGCATGTGTCTTCTAGAATCTACTGATCAGATTCAGTCCCCCAGCTGAGGAGGTTTCAGGTCTCCAATTAACTGGGCAATCTTAGCATCAAGAAGACTGAGGGGAGATATGATAGCACTCTACAAGTACTTGAAAGGCTGCCACAAAGGGAAGGACAGATCTCCTCCTGATCATCCCAGAGGGCAGGACATGGAATAATGGGCTCCAGTGACAGGAAGCCAGGTTCTGGAGGGACATCAGGATTGTTAGAGCAGTACAGCAATAGAACCAACGACCCCGGGAGGTTGTGGGTTCTCCCCCACTGGAGGCATTCAAGAGGCAGCTGGAAGCCCTCCGAGAGGGATGCTTTACCTAGAGGAGGTTTGACCTGATGGCCATCTGGCCCCTTCCAATTCTACTATTCTATGATTCATATTACCCTCCCCAACCTCATGTCTTCATCTCCTTCTTTATGGTTCTCTCCTCAGCTCGAGATCCACCGTGACTGGAATTAATCATCATGGATATTTATCTGTCTCAGTCAGAGAATCGATTGCTTCACATATGGCATTAAACAAAATTCCTTTTCTGGTAGCCAAAAAGCATCCCACTACCAAATGTAACATACAGATAACTGAATGATAGAAGAGCCCAAGATTAGTGACAAACCCTTTAGAGGCCGCCCTCTCTCCCCCCTCACTTCCTCTCTCTCTGTGATGATGCTTTAGAAGTCTCCCTCCTTCCCCCCTTGCTTCCTTTCTCTCTACAGTGATGACAGTTTTTCGCAGTGATTTAAAAAAATTAATAGGCATTATGGCAATTCATTCGTAAATATGGGTTGTTTGTAACTTGGATGTTTGTAAGTTGGGGGCTGCCTGTGTATGGATGAAATAACAGAATAGCTGCTAAATGGGTTTTGACTGGTAGGACTAGAAGCCCTCTGTGTTTCCATTTATTCTGGGATCTCTGTGATGAGCATTTCCTAGCAACATACTTTCACTGGAAAGTGTGCACAGAAGTACATGGGAAGCATCTACTCCCTGTTGGCTAAAATCTGAGGGTGGAACACATTAGGAGAGTAACACACGGTGCCAAACTTTTTCCCTCTTAATTTAGTAAGAGGATCAGCAGGCAGGAAATGCTTCCTTTCCCATCCATTCTTTACAGAAGGTCCCTGTTTTCAGCCATTTAAAATACTTTTCCCCAGCTGAGCTGTACAAGTAAATCCAGATGAAGGGGGATTTGCAGGAGAGGCTGGCAGGTGCCTAAGTGGTTAGAAACCTCCTTCTCCCTCCCATCCTTCCTGTAAATTCCCCCTCACTCATTGCTACAATTCTTGGTAAGCACAGGGTTGAGACCTTGTGTTTACTGAGTAAACATAGCAATTCAACTTGAATTTTTAAGTACCCTGATCTACGGAATCCTCCACCATAATCAGTATGTCAGAGTCTAGCAAAAGCTGTCTGTGTGCCAAGATTTATCAATTCCCATAAGGACTAGTGGCATCTCTAGCTAATGAATCCTCAGGTGGTGATCAAGTATCATGGAGAATATGTTGTTCTTTGACATTTCCCTTTTTATTTAAATATATATATATATTAACACAACGTGGAAAAATAAACAGATCCAGAACATTATCATTTAGAGGGATAAACAGGGGTCAGGATATAGATACACAGGTTAGTTCATGTACTTCCCCCACCCCCCACCCTCCCTATTCACATCCCATGCATTCCCAAGTAAAAGAGAGTAATTTGGTGACTCCTGAAGAAGGAATTCACCCACCATATTCACACTGCAACATTCTCTCTAAAAAAGGCAGAGATCTCCTAGACTGGTGCAAGACAGGATAGAGAAGAGGTATATTTTGGCTCTTGGGGTTTGAACAGACAGCATGTTTTGAGACACCTCCCCCTCCTGTTGTGCACAAGAAATTTATTTGTGCACGACACATTTAAATGTGCACATTTATTATTACTTCTTCTGCGTTTCCACCACTGGCAAACTGCTTTCCTGTTACTTTCCTAATACTGCCTCAGGACGTACCTTTTCAAATCCTAGTGTCCCAACAGCAGCCAGCAGCGCTGTGAGACGAATGTGTCACAGACAAGGACAATGTCCAGCCATCAGTACATGCAGTTTTGGCATAGTTTTCAATATACCTATATGTTAGTTCAGTACAGAGTGAGTGCTTACTAGCTTTTCTAAATAAGCATCCATATAATTCTTTAAAGGTGCAATCCTATGCAGGCTGCCCAGGCAGGCATAAAATTGCACCCTAGAAGGCGTCTTAAAAAATAGTCCTGTAAGTCCTAACCAGAACTGTTCAGATGCAGCTAACTTAGGGTGGAATTTCACATTATGAGGACAAGAGAGTTCCTAACTTCATATGTTCCTCTTAGGGCAAGGATGGAGTTCAGGACACTTACAGAGAAGAATCGGTGAGCAGCCAGAAGGGCTTGGCTCTTTCTTCCATGCAGATTCCCCTAAAAATGCTTTCTTCCACAGGCCCAGTCTCCCCCATACAAGAGCAAATCTGGCTGTGGAAAGAGCAGGGGGGTGGCTAGGAAGCAACTGCAGGGGGAAAGCGGCGGGTACAAGAAGGGATCACACACGCCTTCTTCCAATAAGTCCTCCCATACAAAAATGTTCACGTTCACATTCACACCAGTTTGCCAAGCAGGCTCTGCTCTGAAGTGCTGCCATTTTGGGTGGATCTTCTTTGTAATTAATGTACAGTGGTCCTTGGTTGTAGGGAAGCGCAAGTAACACTGTCATTTCAAACGAGTTTGTCACGGTCTTTTTCTTTGAAAAATGGGAACAATGAGATTTTCCCCTGCCAGAATAAGGGCTTCATCTGTTGAAGCATTCAGAAACCTTTCATCAGAGGCTCAGGGGCTCTCTAGACCCTCCGGCCTCCATTTTCTGCATTAGCCCCTCTTTTAAGAATGGCCTAATTACCAGTGTTCCAAGGCTCCTCTGTGGGTGGAAGGAACCTCTAGACAGCCCAGCTAACAGGTTTTAGGTGGGATTTGCATCCAAGGGAAGTCTAGCTGTCTTTGTGCTACATAAGGAAAATTGCTGGTGGTTTTGCTCCTAAATGCCTAGTGCTGTTACAGGCTAAAATAGGATTTCAACAGTACAGTTCTAAATGTCCATTCTGGCCCTAATGTGCTCCAGTCCACCTCACTCCTTTTGAGAACAAAGCAAACCGAGCTGCCGACACTTGCTGGAGCATGCATGCCTTCAGCAGCCGTACCACTGCTCGGCCGCTCCAGATGGGCATCGTGGGGGGAGAGGGAAGAGATTTCTTTGTGTCACACAGCTGGGCATCACAAGAGGGATTCTGTGAGTCATCCAGGAACATGGCACCACAAAGACATCGCATGCATGACCAACACCAACTGCTGGCTTGACTGGTCAGCTGCCAAGGCCTTGCTCTGGTATTTTTCCAGCACAATTCCAAATGGGCCCTCCTTTCAGAATGGTGTCCCATTTCTCAAGAGGGGGAGACAGCAGGGGCAGAGGCCTCCACCGACCTCCAGCAGCTCTCCAGTGGCTGGAACAGCATATGGAGATGTTAAGGAAAAATAAGGCGAGCGTGTTGGATTTGGCCCTCAGCAGAGGGAAGAAAGTCCATGGCAGCAGGAATTGCGGGGAGAGGCACAAACAAAGTAGGTACTTCAGACTTATTATCCGGCATTCCAAAGACCCTGAAGCCAAGACTATTTTCTGCTCGCTTTGTGACTCTTATCTAAATGGGAAGTACATTCTACTGACATCAGTGGGAACTCATGTCAAGGCTATATGCCTTGGCTTAGGCTGTAAGATGGCCTCATAGCACAGGGTTAGGGTGGCCTCGATGAAAGGACGGAAACACGCATGGATGGAAAGAAGGCATTCCACATCCTAATTGGAAGACTTCTTGCCCAAAGTAGGTAACACAGAACATTCCAAAACCACCCAGACAGCAAGAATCCTTAAACTGAAAGACTGAGGATATCACATGCCATGCTCTTTGAGCTGGGAAGTATTCCAAGAAGGAACTGCAGATGAGAAAGCTATTAAACAGCTTCTTTGTCCCGAAGCAAGTGTCCTTTTAGAGAGGGTGAGGGAAATGCCTGCTCAAAATTAGATGAGCTTGGTATGAATGTGGATGCAATGAAGAAATTATTTCCTGCACCCTTTTGAGTAGGGTTGTTTTTCTGTATTTTGACTGCTGGTGCTCCCTGCTTCATTTGTCACTGCCTGGAGGCAAAAGAGAACTCCAGTTAAACTAGATGTCTTGGAATTTCAAGGAGCTAGATGGAACAGCCGAATAAAAACAGATGCCAGGAAAAGGATTAATGGGAAACTGAGGCATATGACTAAATTTCAAAGATGCAGACTTAAATCTTGTTTTATACTTTGCAATTAGTATTTCCAAATTTCAGAGAACAGAGGTTAACCCAGGCTTCTTCAACCTAGCGTATCCCACATGTGTTCAGCTACAGCTCCCATCGTCTCCATGGGGAAATGGGCAATGTAGTCCAACAAATGGAGGGAACTGAGCCGGAGAAACTATGTATGCAGAAGGATGGGGAAGACATTGCATGGGGGTGGGCAGGGAATTATTTTATTAGCACTCTGTGTAATTCATCTCAGTTAAGACTGATATTAAGTCTATGGGACTGTAGATTTTGAAGGGAGAAGAAAGATACACAAGAGTTTAAGCTGTAGACCTAGCTGAGCGGTATCATGGGATAGATAGCGCCTTCTAGCCCAGGAGTGTCTTTGTTCTAGAGTCTAGATTCTGCAGACCTGAGCTGGAAAAATGTTCTTCATCAGGTATTAAGAGACCTCACCAGAACCTCACTAGAATGAGTTTCCCCAGTTCGAGAGAAAAGAAACAAGATTTCAGTCTGCTCTTGACCGTCTTTGACTTTAGTGGCTGCAGGTGGCTATGCCTTGCTATTACGTTCTACCTCCTGACAAGCACAAGCAGGGCCTTAAAGTGGGGAGGCAAGGGGTTAATTTTACCCTTGGCCACCAAAACAAGCACTCACACAATGACTTGGGATGACACAGATCAAGCTCTGCCAGCAACCCCCATCCCATTCAGAGGACATTTCCTAAGGTGAGTTCTTTCGTCTTGGGGTAGCTCGGCAGGATGGATGCTAGCACACCTGACACAGGTATGTGATGGTAACATGGCCATGTGTGGGTCACGTGGAGCTAAGACAGTGCAGGGAGAGCTTAGCTCCTCTCCCAGTTGCACATGCCCCTTAGGACATACACAGATCGATCTAGAAAGAATAATTGTAACATTGCAAAAAGGGTGGTGGGGGCGGGGAAGCAAGAAAGGGGGTGAGGTGCTAGTCCCTGTCCGGGCTTCCAGAGGTTCTAGATGCTGGTGAAAGAGGAAGAGGTGGGATCCAGCTGAAATTCTAGGCTCAGAACTGCTTATCCCTGAGGTTGGGGTACAGGAGGAAAAAAAGATCAAGCTTGCAGCTATCCACCTCTCCACTTGGCGGCAACTCCATCAGAAGCAGCTGTGGAAAGCCAGCTCACCTCTAACAGGGAGTCATAAACATTCCTGCTCAGTAGCGATCCTT